TTAGTAATATACTATCTAGTAAAATATTTTTACTCTAGGTAGAGGCTTTACTTATTATAATATCTTTATTTAAGTTAGTTTATTAGGGAGGGATTTTTTAGGGGGTATTTAGCACTTACTTAGTTATATGTTTTTTTAGTATAACTAGGTTTTTTAATAACTAAGAGGTTTATAAGTTAGTATAGGATAATAAGATGTCTATAGCTTCTATATAAAGCTATATATATAGGTCTAGATACTCTTTTATGTTCTTAATAATTCTTTTTACTATCTAGATATTTAATCTTATCTAATATAGATTAACTATATTACTACTATCTAGTTTAAACCCTTTTTACTAGTTTATTATTCTATAGAAAGGTCTATTACTATTAAATTCTATAAATATAAGGGTATATATATTATTATAAAGGCTTTATAGTAGAGAATAAGTAACTTTATAATTTAGATTCTACTAAAGCTATATATATATACGCTATATATTAGTAATTTAGCCTAGCTATACTAGCCTTAGTATACTGTTTCTATAAGCTAATTCTTGTTAAGGTAGAGGGGTATTTTTACTATATCCTAGCAAAGAAAAATTTTAAAGGTGTAAATTAAGGTAGTTATACTACTACTTAATATAGCCTTCCTACTAGCTATTATAGATTTAATAGGAGAAGTAAGGCTATAATAGGTAATATAAAGTAATATAGTATAAAGGTAAAGTATAATAGTAGAGTAGTAAAATAAAGTAAATAATAATAAAGAGCTAAATAAATAGTATAAGACAAGAGCTAGGTATTTATATAAGTTATCTATTAAGGTTACCTTTTCTTATAAGAGGAAATAGGCAATAGGATATATACCCCTAGGTATATACCTAGACATATACTAACAAGGTAATCCTACGTCCTACCTGTCTATTTACTATATAAGGCACTTGTCCTATAACATAAATAGTCTAGCCTATACTACTTACTATCTATTAATAGTAAAGATTATACTATTAATATTAATAGCCTATATAACTTCTATTTTACCTTAGTTAAACCTTACTACACTAAGAAGAAAATAGGTAAGCCTACTAATATAAATCTTTAACCTAATTAACCTATAGATATTAACTATACTAGTAAATATATAAAAAATACTATTATTATTACTATAAGAATAAAAGCACTTATTTAAACTATAGCTTCTTCTTCTCTATAGTATACCTATAGGTAACTATATAAGACTTTAGTTAATATACTACTATAGAAAATAAATAAACCTCTCTTTACTACTTTTCTTTTTACTAAAGAAGAAGTTAACCTAGCCCTTATATAACAACTATATAACTAAGGTATTATTACTACACCTAGTAAGCCTTTTAAATAGTTAGGTAAAAGTAAGATCTAAGGCCTTATTAACTATAGTATATTTAAGATTATTATATATAATCCTTTTATTTACTAGGGCTATATCTTTAAATCTTACTTTATTAATAAAGTTAAAGGTAAAAATAATAAGCTATATAAGAAATTATAACTTATAGTATAAGGTTATAGTAATAATAGTAAAGAAACCTTACTAGTTTAGTTACCTATAATTTAGAGAGCTAGCTAGTGTATAATTCTTATACTTACCTCTTCTCTTATAGCTAATAGTAAAATAATATAGCTATAAGATATAATATAGGCCTATATATAGTTAACTTTATAACTTAACTATACTATTTATATATAATTTCCTTTTTAAATCTATAATTACTACCTTTAAGGCACTATTATAAAGGTAGTAAAGCTATTATATAGCCTTACTAAAGTAAGTACTTATTAGTAGGCAACCTATAACTACTACTACTATAAAAAGCTTAATATAGTTACTACTTTATATAACCTATACCTACTCTTTTTATCTATAAAAAACCTTAACTTTATAATAATTAAAATATAAACAGATAATATAATTAGCCTAACTAGTGTTAATTTCTTTAACTATAAGGATAATAAGCTTACTAAGGTAAAGCTTCTTATAAAAGAGAAAATTTTACTTATAGAGAATAAACCTCTAGTATTTAATAAAGGAATTATCTTATTAACTTTAGCTAAAAACACCTCTATTATACTTTACTAGAAAGGCTAAGGTATAAAGCTAAGACTTATTAACAAGAAATTACCTATAGCCTAGTAAAACTATATCTAGTAGTAAGCTTAAGGTATATATATTACTTTTATTTATTAGCCTAAAGTATACTTTAACCTATCTACTATAGCTTAGTATAAGAAGCTAGACAGTAAAGCTATTTAATAACTTAACTAAAGAATCTAGTAGTAAATAAATACACTTAACTATAGCTTTATCTTTATTCTCTTTAACTTACCTAATATAAAGCTCTTTATATTTATTAATAAATCTTTTACTAATAATTATAACTTAACTTTATAGTTAGGATTTATTATCTTTTTACTAATAAAAAAGTTAATAACTAGTAAAGTAAGTTTACTCTTTATAGTAATATCCTCTATTTCTTATTAACTAAATCTAAATAAGTAATATAAAGTGTTCTTATATTAAAAGTCTATAGTATAGTTATAGGCGTTAATATAGTATATACTCTCTTTATAACTATTATAATAGTAGTAAATAAGCTTAGTAACCTATTAATTCTTACTATTACCTATACTAACTTATACTTACTATATAAGTGCCTAGTAAAGTTAAGTACTACCTATAAAAAGTACTTAATAATTAATATTATAGTACTATAATAATTATATAAGTAATATAAGCTCTTTAAGGTATAATAAATCTATAGTAATAATAACCTTACTAATAGGTTTATAAAGTCTTTACTAAACTAAGCACTTAAGAGTCTTATTTCTTATAATAAAGCAAAGATATAAATAAAAGGATAAGTTATATAAATATAATAAGAAATAATAAAAATAATAAAATATAAGATAATAAGCACTTAAAAGAGAAAATAAGTTATATAAACTATATAAATTAATAGTAGTTAAATTTATTTAATATAAGTATATACCTTTAATAGCTATAGCTAAAAAAAAATATACTTAAATAAGATAGTATAAGCCTACTTTTACTAAGTAAATAGATAAATAAATTTATAGTAGTATATAACTATAAAAAGTATAATACTTTTACTTTTCTTATTTTTATTATATTTTTAGGCTTTTTAAGAGGAATAGGAGCACTAGTGACTTTTACTATATAAGAAAGTTACTAGTGTTAGTATATAGGTAATATAGCTAGAGGCAGTAGATTATATAATATACTACCTATTAGTAGAATCCTTTACCTTTGCCTACACATAAGGGTACTACTACACTTATACTCCTACTTTACCTTGTTAACTAGTTAACTATTAATAACCACAAATTTAACTACCTTTTCTTAACCTTTGTAATATTACAAGATACAGGATCCTATTAATTATCCAGTAAAAACCAACAAGAACACTTCTAAATATGTGACACTAGAACGCATACGCCTAGTTTAATGTTACTGTCAGAATCAAAATCTTGACGCCCAGCGCCTAAAAGGGGAAAACCCGCTATTCAGCTCATCTATTCTGTTCTACTGATATCAGCGTTTATTGTCTGATGAATACAAGACTCGTTACAAGCCTACTTTAGTGGTAATATCCGTGCCTGTGAAAGACTTCCCGCCCTGAGATCGCGGTGGCGTTCGCAGCTCTCTCTTGCTACCGAAGATCTCGCGAATCATCCTCTCATAAAACTGGCGCATACTCGGAACACAGGCGGTAAACACCCCTACACAGACTTCTATTTCCGTCCAGATGGTGGTCGGTGAAGAATCGACTGGACAATCAGTACTTTTTGCAAGGACTATAGGATTCAACCGACCTACCAGTGATATTCTTCGAATTGTAGGTATATACTATCAGTGCGTATAGACGATAAGCACTCGCGAAGGTGAGACTTCAAGATGTTGTTAGACGACCTGCAGAGGAGGATGGGATGAGTGTTCTGGGGAAGGGGATGTAGGGAGACTCACAAAACCCCCATGCAGAACATGGACATGACACCGAGCTTTTGGCGCAGTTTCATATTCAACCTCCATATTTGTGTGATGGGCAAGATGAGCATCCAAACATCCAGCGCGACGTTGATAACTCCATGGCTGAGTGCTAGATCGAGTTGGCGGAGGCAATATCCTGGGCGGTCCTGGGCCCAGAACTGCCAGGCCAGACTCAAAGGCTGACATTGGAACAACACGGTAAAGACACATACAAGACAGACAATCAAGTTGACAGCTTGCGTACCCCACAGCGTCAGTCGAATGCCGTCACCAGGGAATATTCGCAGAAGCATAAACAAGATTGATGTTTTGATCAGTGCCAATGATGCATAGTAGATGGCCTGGCTGATGTAGCCGATCTGTGTTTCAGTCAGAATTCGCCTCCATTGAGAAGTGAAAAAGGTCCATGGTGGGAGACAATACCAAGAAAAACCCATCTATTTGATCGAACGAAAGAGTCCAAAGGTTTATTCCCGCCCCGGTCCTCACGACTGACAACAGAGACCACTGTCAGCAATATCCTTGCACAACCCAGTTCCCGCTGCGTATTTCAAGACAACACCTACAGAAAATGTTTATTGGAATAAATGCAAGCATAAGGACCTTGGATCCGGGATCAGCTTTCCTCTGGCCAACGACGAGGAATGCTAAGCCTTACATAAGCTGGCACGATAGTGGCATCGTCAGCCCCCCAGGCCGACCATCTTCGGATCTTGACTATCATGCGTAGAATTACAGATATGGTGGGCGGTATGGTGAGTAGGCTGAGGCTCGCAAGCTTTACTCTTGGAGACTCGTCGACCTCGGACGAGTCGCAGCTTTTCGATGTGGTATTCGCTGTCACTAGTTGGCTTGTCAGACGCATGTTCGTTTTCAGCCTGCCAAATAACGGAGGATATGAACCTAAAGCTTCCTTGATCGTGCAGCCCGCACTGATGCAAGGCTCTACCAGTCTGGATAGTGTCGAGTCTTGGCAAAGGCATGTCTGGTTTGTTGCAGTGCATGTCGTCTGTGGGAGAGCCTGCAGAATGCAACGCAACTATGGTTGTTAACAGGAGCCTCGCAAGCAAGGCGGGAAAAAGGTGCTTCTTACTGCACATGGAGGGTACCCTCCACCTTCTTGTGCGAGGCCTACAGACAAGAGAGATGGAAGAAGCGTTAGAAGTGACGCTGGCCGCATGATCGGCTCTTCACTAGCCTCCCTTAGGAACCTGTTGAGTGCCCAGTCTGTCGCCCAATTGAAGTTTGCTTGAGCTTTCAAGCGAAAGTTCTCAACGCAAATTGCAAGAAAAGAAATGGGGAGAAAACAAAAAAAAAGATTGCAAAAGCTCCCGAAAACATTGAGGCCAAACGCTGTCAGACGTAACCGCTGCTTCCGCCCAACTTCTCAGTTAGAGAAGATCACTAATCACAGGCGATCTGGTGTGCGTTTTCAGAGTCCCCGGAAAATCCCACTTTCACGCCACTACAGCCGGATCGCCTTCGCATGCAGTGTAGCTCGTCGGGCTTGGGGGGGCTTTATTCCAGGTGGCAAACTCACCGGAGAGACATTGGTTATTTCAATGATTCCAATCGGGATGGTTGTCTGTTTGCGGTTTTCGGAAAGAGAACTGACCAGTCAGGGCTCTCGGCAGTTGTACTCGCGACAGATGTCGCTTACCATACACTTCATATGGGTATTTCTACCCTGTATTGTCCCATATGGCGCTTTTTAACAGACGTTGTGGCTCATCACACGCCCCAGTATGGCTTGACGATCTGATATTTAGTGTTATGCCTATTGTGTTGTTCCGATTGACGTTTGCAGACCGACCGAGGTGTGAGCCAAGGCCCGTCGAGTCCGGGAGTTCCAATTCCCAAAATGAGACAACCCTGACCAGATGAATTAGACCCTTGCAATCATACATAGGCTTTTTTTGCCTTGATATGGAATCACCCGAGCTACTATGTATTGATCTAAATTGAAAATAGGGGTATCTGTCCCAGGTCCCATCACTTGTCTTAAATCATCGCTGTAAATACATTCCAATCGCTATATACATTCTAATCGCTATATACACTTTAATCGCTATATACACTCTAATCGCTATATATACTCCAATCGCTATTGTTGGCATATGGGTGATGCGGCCGGAGGAGGTGTGTCACGTGACACAACGCCTACCGGCAGTATCCCCCACCCTTGCCCACGCGCAAGGGTGGTGCCGCACTTGCGCTCCCACTTCACCTTGCAACTAGTTAACTATCAACAACCAACAATTGACCACCTTTTCCCAACCTTCGTGATATCACGAGATAGGGATCCCCCATCAACTAACCAGTGAAAACCAACAGCTATATATACTCCAATCGCTATATATACTCCAATCGCTATATATACTCCAATCGCTATATATACTCCAATCGCTATATATACTCCAATCGCTATATACATTCTACATGCCCACCTATAAAAGGGAATAACAGGTAACTTGAATCTGTTCTTCTATAGGTTGCTCCGAGTGGGAGGCCGTTCCTTAGCACAGCAGCTCTGGTTGCCCGAGGTCAGCTGGGAACCAATATCCTTATTCGAGGGCACGTCGAGGGCCGGGTTGCCTGTGAAGAAATCAGAAGGCGTAATGTGCAGCTGCAGCATCTCGACGGGCCTGCGGAGAGTTTTTCGTTAGCGGGGAGACTCGATGATAACGCAGTCAAAGAAGGGTGTGAGGGGGGGGGGGGGGGAGAGGAGGGGTGAAACTAACATCACGGGCCAGTCCTCGACACGGGGGTTGTGCGTCAGCCCGAAGACGCTCCAGACCACGACGTCCTGGTCCAGAACGTCGTCGTTCCTGTCGGCGGCGTCCCGGACGCCGCCGACCTCGAGCCTGCTCTGCAGAGTGTACCGGCCGCCGGCGTAGAGCTCGTGGTCCTTGTACTTGGTCACCCAGAGGTGGTGGCGCGCGAACAGCGCGCGCTTGGACTGGATGCCGTTGGGGTCCGCGAGCAGCAGCTGCGTCGCGGGCGGCGTGATCTTGTACCCGACGGGCTTCCCGCTGACCGGGTTCGTCTTCCTCGGGTTCTGGATCTTGAAGACGCGGTTGCTCATCGGCGCCGCGTCGAAGCCGCCCGACGTGGCGATGGGCGTCTGCCTGACCTCGTACAGGTTGCCGTTGGGGTTCGTCCGCCGGTCCATCCTCAGGGGCAGGCTCTCCTCCTGCACGACCGTGTTCTCGTTGCCGTCGATGGCGGGGTCGATGCGCACGCAGAAGACGTGCTGGTGGTTCTGCGCCAGGGCGCCCGGGCTGACCACGTTGCCCCAGGGCGCCGTCTTGCCGGGGTCGATGTTGACGACCGACACGATGCCGGTGGCGCGGGCCTCGACGACGATGCCGGCCGCCTGGTCGAACTTGTAGTTGAAGATGTACTCGTAGTTGGCGAGCGTGATGATGAATTGGATAACGAGCTCGCGGCGACGGGTGACGACAGCGCGGCCGGTGCGCCAGTTGGTGTGCTTCCAGTTGATGCCGTTGTCCTGCTCGTGGAGGCAGATGACGTTCTTGCTCTCAGTGGCATTGCCCTTGACATCCGTAAGAACTCCGTCGAAATACTGTATCGCCCATTGTTAGCATCGAGAACCAGGCGAGATAACCTCGATGTGAGACATCACCTTGATGACACCAAGGCAGTCGCAGCCGAGAGTCAGGTTGTTGACGCAGTCGCCAAGACCACCGTCACCGAAGTCGAATGCCTGCTTACGGTGGAATGGCGGGCGAGGGTCTGCGTAGGGCACAGTCTAGGACAAAAAGAACGTCAGAACTCGGCCCCTCTCTCTCTCAAGGACTGGACAACGGAGGAGGAGGGGCAAAAGGCTCACCATGTCACTCATGCTCAGACGGTACAGCACCGGACGGCCGTCGTATCGGATGTCATGAACAACGGCGCCCTCGCGAGGGTTGAAGGTGACACGCATGCGCCACTTCTGCCACTGGATGAGGTTGTCGTCCGTGACCGAGAAACTGGGTCCTTCGGGCTGGGCCACGGTCAAGGGCTTGAGATCCTTGCGCGTACCGTTCGGCAACAGCTCTGGCACGTACTCGCTTCCCTTGCAATGGTCGACGACAGTAGCCGCGTGCGTCTTGCCCTTGTAAGCGTCACCCTTGCCGCCGGTGGCGAGCTCGTCGATGCGCACGACCTCCTTGGTGTGCGCGTCCATGATGGGGATCAGGGGCAGGGGGTAGGCGTAGAAGTTGGAGTCCGGGTTGCTGCTCCTCGTGTCCTGCGCGAAGATGAGGGCCTGGAATAGACGCTTGTCCCCGTCCGCCGGGTCGGGGCCGCCGTAGGGCCAGGGTTCGATGACCACCTCGAAGCCCTCTGGCAGCTTGAGCTCCGCGATCTTCTCCTTGAAGAGGGCGGAACTCTCGACAACCTGAGCAAGGGTCTCAAACTCGAATCTGGGCCGCCCATGCACGTCAGTACACGAGTCGCAGGACGCGGGTAAGTCGGGGAAAGGTGGGCTTACACTGTCAAGCTTGCCTGGTGCTCGGAACCAATGACCTTCTGGTCTACCATCTTACCCAGGCCGAGGTCCACAATGGACTCGGTGTACTGTGCTTTGCTGGCACCGCCAATGACATCGTAAAAGACCTGTGCGCACCTCGCTGGTCTCGGTGATGAAGCTGTGAGTTTCCCAGAGTGTTCGAGGTCCAGGAATTCCAGAACCTCGGCCTTTGGTGGTTCCCAAACATAAATTTGTCTAAAGTCAAGGACAAACCCGTCGTGTGCTGCGAGGACAATGTCTCGGGCTTGGTTGGTCTCTTCGAGAGATAGTGCAGACAAGGGGTGAGGAGTTGATGCCATTGTGAATGAGAAAGACGCTGATGAGTTGGCAGGCGACGTCGTGGGTGCGAATCCCGATAATGAGCAATCGTGTTTATGAAAGCTTGGAAGCGCGAAGGACCACGACTTTCGAGCGCTCAACTCATCAGCTTCTATATTGGACGATTGGACAGTCATTCCGCGAACTTGGGCAGACGGTGCGAGATCGGAAACGGTTCCAGTTCCGAGTGCTGCTGGCTGAACAGCTCGGAACCATGGGACGGACCCTTCAAGACAAGGATCACTCACGACCCATCGTTCTTATCTCTTGCCCCCCCCAGCGTGGGGAAATAGGCTACGAAAGTCAAGTCAAGAAACCCACGTCTGGAGGCTTGTCGGAGCCGCTCATTCGATTGGTCGCTGATTATGATGCCGTTACTGATTGGATCCAACCGCCGAAGATAAGGCACTGGAATACCAACTTCAGTAACAGCCGTGATAGAACGTTGTCTCCGTTCCGGGGGGGGGCCTTGCCCACAGCAATACTTGGAAACTTGTGACAATTCAAACGATAAGCTCGAGCATGCAGTTACGTCGTATGTAGTAGTCATGGCGTACATAACTCGGGGAGGGGGACGCCTGATACACGGGGATGAACCCTATAGGAACCAGATTAGGACTGCACTGCAGACCAACCCAGAACTCCTTGACACAATGAGCAACGACACGGAGAAAGACGCCGCAACTCTGGCCAAGGTCAACTCTCACCAAGACGTTGCCGATGGTGGCGACGACGACTACCGACTCGCCCAGCTCGGGCACGCGCAGGAGCTGGAGAGACGCTTCTCGCTGCCCGCCCTGGGAGCGTTGTGTCTCTGTCTCATGGCGACTTGGGAAGCTCTGTCGACTGTCGTCGCACCAGCTCTAGTCAGCGGCGGCGCGCCTTGCCTCTTTTACAACCTGTACGGTTTTTTTTTGTTTTTGTTTTTTTGACGATACCGCTTCGTGGGTTGTTGCAAAGCGGCGAGACTGACACGGGCGCCATCAGCATTCTTTCAACCCTTTGCACCGTTTGCATCGCCTCATCGCTCGGAGAGATTGCTTCCATATACCCAACTGCCGGAGGTGAGTAAACCATCACAAGGGGCCTCCTCCAGCTTCGAACTCAGGCGGGGCGCGTTGTTGTTTTTTCTTCTTTTTCCTCTTTGAAGACTTTGGTGCCGGGGAAAGAAACTTGACAACTAATGGGGTTTCCTTTTTTTTTTTTTCCCTTGTCCAGGCCAATACCACTGGGTTGCAGCACTATGCCCATCATCGACTCGTTCCGCGGCCGCCTTCGCAACCGGCTGGATCTCCGTCGGCGGCCAAGTCGTCTTGACCTCGTCCGCCGCGTTCGCGGCCGGCCTCCAGACCCAGGCCCTCATCGTCCTCAACGACGGCTCTTATACCCCGGCACGCTGGCAAGGCATGCTTTTCTACTGGGCCATCCTGGTGTACGCCATGGTCGTGAACATCTGGGGCCACAGGCTTCTGCCGACGGCGAACCTGGTTTCCGGTGAGCTGCCCTGTTTCGTCCCCCCCCTTTCCCAAGTCCGGCTCGTTGACCATATGTATACATGTCCCTAGGCGTCCTCCACGGCCTCGGCTTCCTGGTCATTCTCATCGTGCTCGGCGTCATGGCGCCCAAGAACACCGCGTCGTTCGTGTTTAAGGAATTCGCCAACTCCAGCGGGTGGGAGAGTGACGGCGTTTCGTGGCTTGTCGGGCTCATCAGCGCAGTCTATCCCTTTCTCGGGTAAGGTCCCCCCCCACCGCCAATCTTCTCGTATAATATACTTTCTCCTGACGACCCTGTGTAGCTATGACGCGGCATGCCACCTGGCCGAGGAGATGCCCAACGCAAGCCGGCACGTTCCCCTCGCCATGGTCGGCAGCGTCGTCGTCAACGGCCTCATGGGCCTCGTCTTCGGCACCGTGCTGCTCTTCTCCACGGGCCCCCTAGAGGCGCTCCTCTCGACCCCGACCGGGTTCCCGTTCATGCAGATATTCCTGGACGTGACCAGGTCCCCCGCCGCCGCGACGGTGCTGTCCGTCATGATCGTCCTCACCGCCACCGCGGCCACCGTGGCCGGCACCACGTCCACCTCGCGGACGCTGTGGGCGTTCGCCCGCGACAAGGCCACGCCCTACGACCGCCACCTCAGCAGGGTCGACAGCCGCCAGCGGATCCCGGTGCACTCCGTCGTCCTGGTGACCGTCCTGCAGATGCTGCTGGGCTTCATCTACCTCGGCAACACGACGGCCTTCAACGCCATCCTGTCAATGTCCATCATCGGCATGTACGCCAGCTACATCTTGCCCATCGTCTACATGCTTGCCCACGGTAGGAAGAACTTGAGCCCTTCCGACTACGGCCCTTTCAAGTTGGGCCCCGTGCTGGGTCCTGTCCTGAACATCATCAGTCTCGTATGGATGACCGTTGTCATCGTCTTCAGCACCTTCCCCTCGGCGATGCCTGTCACGCCACAGAACATGAACTATTCCGTCGTCGTGATGGCGGGATGGCTGTTCTTTGGCGTTGCCTACTATCTCTCTTTTGGCAAGAAGAAGTTCGAGGTGCCAGTCTTTGGTAGCAATGTAGTGAACGGCGTCTCTGTTTCCGCGGGTGTCTGAATTCGCTTTTTCTTTTCTTTTTTTCTTCTTTTTTTTTTTTTTCTAGACACCTTTTGAATAGTACCACACTCTAATTATACCTCAAAACACTCGGAACTTGATCAGCCTCGTCATTCATATGAGCCCTTGGAACCGTCGTGAAATCTCCTCTGGGCCGCCAAGCGGCGTGCCATGCTCATTGGCCCCGAAGAACCCTACGGGAAAATCCGACGGCGCCGGATGGCCCGCATTCGCGTGCCCGAACGCGTCGAAGAGGTCCAGCAGGTCGTTTCCCATTGTGAACATGTCCGGTATCGGACCATCCGCATGATGACTCGCGTCGTAGGCGTCCCACTGGCTTTCCGCCCGCCTCCCTTCCCGCTCGTCTTGGTTGACGGCGTGGTCCTGGGCCGCCCCGTCCGGCCTTGCGTCTGCCGGGCCCTCGTCGCCGTTTCCCGCCGCCGCCGCACCCGCCGCCGCCGCTCCCGCCGGGCCGTCTCCCTTGTCCGGGTCGCTCCGCAGGCCCAGCGACTTGACGCTGGGGAGGAGGCTGCGGATGGTCTTCCACAACCTCCGGCTCGCATGGCCGTGGCGGGAGAAGCCCTTGACCAGCTGGACGGCTTTCGAAAAGGGTTCCTTGCACGGTTCCGTGAAGACGCCTGGCGCGTGGCACACGGCCAGGAGGATCACGACCAGTGCGCTCATGAGGAAGTAGTTGAACGCGTTCTGCTGCCGCGCGTAGATGTCGCTCGTGTCGTTCAGGTGGACGAGCACCTGGACCGAGTCCAGCGCGATCTCGGTCACGAGCTTCGCGCTCTGCATGTCCGCCTTGATGCTGGCGGTGCTGAGGACGTGGTGCCGGTGGATGAGCATCCGCATCTGGTTGCCACGGAGGTAGAGGAGCGTTCGCAGGCGATGCATGCTGCGCGGCTGGGCCCTGGGAGCAAGACCCAGTCTCGGGTGGCGGAGTTGCAAGTCGGCGGGTATCGCGCCGAGCCAGTTCAGCGTCATGAAGTCCAGGAACGCCACGGTGTCCCTGGGGATGAACTGCGACGGCGACTCGAACGGCGGGAGTGCCTCCCAGACTTTGGAACAGAGCCTGCCGTACGCAATCATGCACCGAAGATATGGATACTCGTCTCCCTGTAGCAGGTCTGTCAGTCGTCCGGTCCAGAGCGGCGCTGATGCACGGAGCGGCGTGGACTCACTGGCTCGGGCAACTCGGGGTCGACGTCCCTGTCAACGATTCCGAACGACAAGCTTGTACCGAAGCTCCAGCGACGGTCCAGAACATAGACGCACCAGAAGCACCGCAAAGCCCGCTCTCTCTCCTCGGGGTCTTTGAAGTTCTCCATGAGGATGGCCCGTCGATGCAGCCCCATTTCCAGCACCTCTCGCCCCGAGATGCCAATGGACCTCCAGGCTAGCAATTCCTCGCCGCAGTGGAACCAGTAGATGCTCTAGGCGTGGTCAGTCGCAGGCTTCAAGAGCAAGTTGAGCCACGCTCGTCAAGGGACTCTCGGGTCGGGTCATACCAGCATGGTCATGATTTGCAGCTCTTTCAAGTCTATGAAGGCGTCTCCGGAAACGCGGCAGACAACGGGCTCCACTGAGTCGACGAGTTTCGTGCTGATGGCATTCTGCCCCTGGGCATCCATCACTATGGACGTGGCGATTGCGACTTTGACGATCTGGACGTCTTTGAGTTCGATTTGGGGACGGTCCTCGACAGACTGGCTGTGCGGGTCCCTGGCATAGTCGAGGATACGCGGCAGGTTGGCCAGAATGTCTCCAATGTCACTAAAGGGGTAAACCGACTCGATTTCTTCTTGGTAGACATCGAGCAGCCGGACGACCTCGTCGAATCCCAAGGTCAGAAGAGGGTCCGGGTCCGGGTCCGGATCCTTTCGGGTCGACGAAGACGGCGCATAGCGGTCTGCGGCCTCGGACGGCGCCCTCGTCGCCGAGGCCGCGGGAGACGCGGAACCGCTCGGCGGCGAGGCGTCGCGCGCCTGGACAGGCACGCGCGAGAGGGACGACTCGGCTATGCGGAGGCTGAAGGTGGACCTCGTGGGGCCGACGAACTGAGGCTCCCTCGGCTCGCTGGGCCGGCGGGCCGACTCGCTCGCGTACAGAGGGCTCGGCAGCGTAGGGCCGCCGAGGGTCGCCGGTGACCGCGTGCTGACGTGGGCGATCTTGCCGGTGAGTTCCCTGAGGGACGACGTCAACGTGGCGACCTGCTCCCGGAGGACGGCGACCTCGTCGCTGAGTTTCTTGTACTGGAAGCCGGCGGGCGCGATCAACGCGGAATGGTCCTCTGCGGCGCCGTTGCGACCACCATCGTACGGGGTGATGGGCTCGTCCCTCTCGTGCGTGAGCCCGCGTTCTCTTATCGGCGTCTGTTGCGGGCCCGGGACGAAGACGCACTCGCCTCCGCTCATGAGACATCGCCGGCAAGCCGACCAGCTGTCTTCCTTGATGCACTTGAGCTTCCGCCTCTTGCATTCGTTGCTATGGTCCGTCCAGTTAGCCGTGGTACCTACGAGCCGAATACAGTATCAATCAGTGGCAGATGCATCGCCATACCACGCTACAGGGGTGTATTTTGCCCGTTTGGACCTCTGGCTCTCGCCCGAAGCAGACCCGGGGGCGGCGCGCTTCTGGGCGGATGCGGAGCTTGCCGCCGTCGATTGCGGCGCCACGGCTGCCATCACGTCGGGTTCCGAGGTCATTGTTGCGCGGGCAGGCCGAAGCTCGGCGATTTTTGGCGGGGGGAATGCAAACCAGCGGAAGTGGTCGGAATCGTGGAGCGATGTGGGTGTTGATAAAATGGAATGGTTCCGAGCGCGGGAAGCGTGCGTTCCGGTGAGCACGGGATTTCCTAACTCATCCGTCAATCACCCTTATCTCGCATTCCGATGTTACAGATGTCCGTACAACAAGTTAGTCGCTGATAAGGACCGACCAGCAAGCATCTCTCCGACGCTAATCCAACAACAAAGTGATGGATGGCAAATGACTACTGTTACTTCACTATCGTGACTGACCGTCTCATTTCGCTAGTGGTATTAGAACTCGATGTTCTGATGAGGCACAAGCGGCTTAGGGTTAAGCAGTGGCGAACTAGACCGGTAAGAACTTGCACTCTCTCGTCGCTAATGCTTATCTTTCTAGGCAAATCTTCACAGCCAGCTAGTCTTACAAGGTTTGCCAGGCCCTCCTCTCTTTTTCTTGTTCGTTGTTATCTAAACAGTACAGTCCGCCAGGTTTCTAAATGTTAGCGTGGTGAAATGACCCGGAAACCCACAAAAAGGTTGCTTTTCTTCTACATCTTATAGGAAGAATACCTCTACAGAGTTGTTTGATCTCTTGGGTGTATCTCTAGATGGACTTGATTTAGCTGTAGAAGGACTGACTCGATGCTTCGTAGGAATACTGCGTAGAGTGTGCTTGTTTATACAGACCATACGTGTAAGCGGGGGGCTCGTAACAAGCTAACATTTAGAACCCCACACGCCGTGTTTGGTCACTCCCAAACACTACAAGCTTCCTATCTGCTCCTGCAAAACCTCGAAACACACAACGTCAGACGACTGTTGACCACCGTCGGCAATTACCGCGCGTTGGAGAGGAGGGGCAAGGGGGAAGCCCTCGATCCTCAATAAGGCGAGCATTAACGCGGATGTAAACATCAGCACCAAGAGCCACCGAACGATTCTTTGGCTGCGGGAGGAGGGCGCAGGGGTGATAGGATATGGTACTATGCCTGGGGAGGGCCAATAATGCACAGGACAGAAAAAACGACTTGTACAGAGTACACAAGAAGCGATATAGCAAAGTACTCCGTAGATATGTCTCAACTAGTCAACGTCTTACAAACAAAAGGGGATCACACGCCCTTTTCCCCTCAACATGCTCCGCTAGCGTGGAAGAAGAAAAAAAGAAGAAAAAAAGCCACCATAAATAGAAACCGAGCACATGCATTTTTCCAGCTCCCGGTCCCATTCCCGCTCTACAAACCATCTGCCGGACGAAGCTGGCAAAGGGGACGGGGGTCCGGTGTATACCGATCCGGCCGTACCATGGTCCTTGAGGTGCCAATGTTCCCCGAAGTGGGTTTCGGTAAAAGGGGAGCGAGGGGTTTAGACTCTCCAGACTCTTCAGATCAAGTTTGACTCGAGAGAAAGAGAGACTGAGAGAGAGAGAGAGAGAGCAGAAAATAAAATAAAATAAAACAAAACCAGGAAAGATGGCCACGTTCGCCCACGCGATTGGTCCGGGTTTGCCTTCCCCCTCTCCCCCAATCGCCATGGCACACAAGAGGGATCCGAGGGCGCGACATCTCCATCTCGCTACCGAAGAAAAAACCAACAAGTCTTTGACCGCCCGGGTTATTTGCTCGTTGCTTTAATGCCGCGCCCGCCCGCCCCGCTCCCCCTCGGGGGCACGGGCGACGAATATTATCCGATGTAGGTGCCGGTATCCATCCGTATTTTTTGCGGACTTTTCCCGATGCCCCCCCTCCCTCCCTCTTGGCCTGGGTCTAAATGGCTTCGGCTTTTCTCGAGGGGCCTTCGTCCCCTTCGGATCCGGGGGAGGAAGGTGGTCCGGGTGGGCGGGGGACGCTGGCGATGTATGATGCACAACACTCACGCTCTACATTCTTCAAAGGGGTAACCGTCGGTTGCATTCATGTGGACGAGTTCCAACCCCCCCCTGGTACTCCGCGCTGCCGTCACCGCTCCTGAGACCCCCCCCCCCCCCCCCCCTAGTAGTCCCTGACCCATCCCCAGTTTCCCCCCAAACATCGGCTCTGCGGTTCACCACGTTTGACCAACTACGCCGAGTAACGAGGATGACGCAGGAGCTCGGGGGGGTCGGGTTCGGCGCCCGGGGCCCGGGGGTGATGCTTTACAGGCTTTGGATGGGAGTCGGCAAACCCGGAAACTCTACACTTCCCGAGTCATGCGCCTGCTCTACTACTAGTCTACTACACTCTCACAAGGCCGAATTCAGAAGCTGATACCATTGGTGACTTCTTGGGCGCTGAACACCCGATTCTTGTTTGTGCTATACACTCTTCGGGGCACTGCTCGAGTCCTTTCGCTATCCAACGAAAGCGTATGCAGTGCGCTTTACCCAACCGACCTCGTGGTCCTGTGTATATACATACCATACATGCCTATGCCGCAGGGCATCCCAAGCGCCCGCCCCCCCATCTTCCGGGCCCAAATCAGACCGGGAACGAGACGTACCATATCCCCAACACCTTGCAAATAAACGTCAAAATCTTCTAAAAACAATCCTCCTTGCGGAGGGTAAAAACGCCTGTACAGTCCATGTCAGGAGTGACATGCCTATCCCGTGACCCACAGCGCCCTTTTGGTACCTGAGGACTTTGCGTCCTATGTACAGCTTCTTTCCAACCCAGGGTACACTCTCGAAGCATCGTGAAGAGGCGTGGAGTGCTGTCATCGCACTTCATTGCCCATATAAAACGTATCGCCCCCCACTCTTGAACACATCAAGGAAATAGAGAAAACATTCGGGTAAAAAATAAACGGGGGGGCAGCAATTGGGCCGGCTGAGTAGATGCAGTGCATCCGTGTTCCCACCAAGCCAGCATCCAGCAACCCTTCATGTGTACTGAGCATGATGTCACAACATTGACCAGTAGAAGAAGCGAGGGCCTTTCTCTCTCTCTCTCTCTCTCTCTCTCTCTTCATTGTCGTGTTTTTTCAATTTTGCTTGGCCTTGCAGATCGCATGTTGGTGGGCAGATGTTGGGCAGGCTTCGCGTCATGCAAAGGGTGTGCAGTCAGCCCAATGGGTGCCTGAGCGCTGCCTAACGGCGATCCGAGCCACAAGCAGGGGAGGGATGCAACACGAAGAGAGGGAGAGACAGAGAGAGAGAGAGAGAGAGAGAGAGAGAGAGAGAGAGAGAGAGAGAGGAAGAAATACAATCCATAACCGAGAGGATCGGATCGAGGAGATGCAAGACGTTCCAATCAGTAAGCGACGTAACCGTCGAAGCCTTCCGCGAGTGGGTCCTGGAAGGTGGTTGGTGTTACGGTGTTTGAGGACGAGATGGAAAAGGCCGGCTCGTGCGACAGGCCGTTCATTGGCGAGTTCTGTGTAAAAGGCGAAAAGGCGAACGCTTCCGATGCCGACGAGAGCGGCATGTTGCAGACGGCCAGGTAGGGGGCCTGAGACGTATCGATGGCCGCAAGTTCGGGCATGTGGTAGGAAGTCGTGAAACCACCCATGTCGTACGTCATGTTCTCGCCCATATGCCCGATGGACAGGTCCATCGACATGGAGGGGTCGAACTGTGCGGCTGCGGCGGCGGCGGCCGCCGCCGCCTCCTCCTCGTCCTCCTCCTGGGCCTCGGCCTCGGCGGCCTCGTCGTCGGCGGTGACAAACACCTCCTCCATCCACTGCTTGAGCTCGTTCATTGGGGGCCAGTCTCCGCCGCCCTTGCCGCCGCGCTTCTCCTCGTCGTCGCCCCTCTTGTTCTTGCCGCGAGGGGTCTTGGGCTTGAAGTGGGTGCGGCGGAGGTGGGCCGCGGCGTTGTAGTAGGCTCCGTACTGCTTGCGGGCGACGCACTGCTTGCACTTTGACAGCGCGTTGATGGCCTGGACGCCGGTTTGGATGCCGACCGTGGAAGGGTCGCGGCACACAAACTTCTTGACGATGCCCTCGTGCTTTGCGTTGATGTGTCTCCGTAGCTCATGGTCGCCGCGGAAGCCGTCAGGGTGTTCGTTGCACATGTCGCAGAACACCTTGGGATGCTTGGGGCGAGTGTAGGTGCCCTTGGCCACGGCAACCTTGCCCTCCTTCTTCGCAGCAGCGGCGGCGGCGGCGGCGGCGGAGGACTGAGACGACTTGGCAGCTTCCAAAGGCTTGGGGCAGATCTTGGTCCGGTGGGCGTTCTGAATCTGCTGCAGGCGAGCCTCCTTCGCCCGGCGCTCAGTAGTAGACTTGGTGGAGGCGGTGCTGTTGGCGGAGACGGAACGCTCCATCATCGAAGAGCCCTGTGAGAGGAACTGGTCTTCCATGGGCGACTGCTGGCCATATCGCGGCGAGAGGCTGGCGCCGGCCCCGACGTAAGCGAGGAAGCTATCCGGCTTGCCGTTGGGCGAAGTGCCGGTCGGCGGGACCGCGTACACGTCAGGAGTCATGTAGTCGGCCACTTGCGACTGGGTCGAGTTGATTCTTGCCATCTCGAAGGCGCCAGCGAGGGACTGGTTGTCAAAGCGGTTATCGAAGGAGCTGTTCTCCCTCGTCAGGGGCATCGTCTCGGCGGCAGAGGTACCGGAGCTCATGGACGGGCAAGCGGAAGTGATCAGGCTGGCCTGGGAGTTGCGGCCGTCGTAGGGGTTCAGGTAGCTCTGCTGGGGCGGGGGGATCATGGCGGGAGATGGTATCTCATCATGTGCAGCCAGGTAGTCGGCGATGTTCATACCAACGCCGGGGTCCATAAAGGCTGCATGTTCTTCCACTGGCGAGAGGCCGGGATGACGGCGGTTCGACGGCGTGCTCTGCAGAGACGACTCGAACAGGACGTGGGGGTCGTCTTGGCCTTGGTAGAAGCGGTCCATCATGGTGTTTGGGTTATTTGAAGTCTGGAGGGGCTGCAGAGGACCCTTTGCAACAAAGGGGATCGACTTCTCCGACCTGTGGGAGGCGCTCCTCGCCATGCCCGTCATGGGCGCTGCACGGGGGTGCTGCTGTGACATGACTCTGGCGCGCTTGACGGGATGCGGTGAGTCGTCACTGCTGCGCTCCTGCAAGCTCGTTAGCACGGACGGGACTTGATTCACGGCGTAGATGACGGTGGGTGGAGCAGTACCATCATTCTCGTGGGTGCGGCAGAGTAGCCCATGTTGGACTTGCTCCTGGGTATTGTGGCCCGGCGGCCCAGCGAGACGCTGTTTGACTGTTGATGTTGCTGCTGCTGTTGTTGCTGTTGCTGTAGAATGAAGGCGGCAGCGGCAGCATCAACATGGAAGTCACCTTGGACCGGGAGCAGGCTCACGGGATTGCTCTGGGCAGGGAGCGGTGCAGGTGCATTTTGCTGGATGAGGAGGTTGTGGAGGTTCGCCAGTTCTTGCTGCTTCTGGTGCATCTGGCGTTGTATCTCTTCAACGTTCTGATAAGGATGGCTCATGTCGTCGAACAGGCGGGGTTTGGTTCGTGCCGAGGTGTGTTGAATGAAGCTTGACGGGCGTCAACTCGGTGCAGGGTTGTGATATTCCGGGGCGGTTCCGAGTCAATACGGGAGTGCGTGTTCGGCAGCGGCAGGTGGGCAAAGTGCAAGTGACAGGCGCGGGATTGGTGGTGCAGCCTCGTTCTCTTGTCTTTTGGGCACATCCAAGGGCCCCCGAGTGAGGATGGTGGAAGCTCGACGGGGATAGTTGTCCGAGGGGTAGACAAGCAAACAAGCGAGACGAGACAAGAGTTTTGTTGGTTCGTCGTGTCTGAGAAACAATGAGCCCGGCAGCTGTGAATTTCGTTTGTTTCTTCCGCCGAGGCTCTTTTCTCCAAGAGGGGGTGGGTGTTTGGTCCTCTGTTGGGAGACTCCAAAGATGTGTGCGAGCAGTAGGTTTCCAAGTTTGACTTGGAAGGCGAGGCGAGGCGAGGCAAGTCGATGGAACAGGGAGGTTGTGGCTTCGAATAGGAAGACAATCGTAGGAGGATATGAGAAGGCGGATGGCGCGAAGCCAGTGGTTTAAAGAAGTCGAAAGGATCAGCAGCGCAATGAATGTCCAGTCATGGAAGTGAGGCTTTGCGGCGTCTCCACAGCGAGCTGGTAATGTCGGTGGGACAGGCAAGACAGAGCACGCTAGACGAGCAGGGATGGAGGAGGAGGGATGGAGGGTGTTGGGTGAAGATGGTGGTCGAGGTGGTGGTACATGGTAGTTTGATGGATGGATGGATGGACGAATGGAAGGGAAAGGGGGGGGTGTACTTTGCGATGATGATGATGATGATGAGAGGTGTGGTATGTGTGGTCTGTGTGTGTGTGTGTGTGCTTGCGTTTTCGAAGTTGAAGGGGGAGGGGGGTACGAAGAGGGGGGGTGTGTGAGTGTATGGGATGAATGAATGGAGAACGAGGTGTGGCCGGTGGGCGGTGAAGGGTCGGGCTGAAGAGGAAGAAGTAGAGGAAGAAGAGGGGGGGGGCAAGAGGCAGAAAGAGAGACGATGATAGGATGGATGGGTGAATGGGGGAGGAGGGTATGATTGGGAGAACGAGAATGAGGGAGAGAGAGATGGACGAGGATGCGAACTTGGTGGTGGTGATGGTGATGAGCTGGCCAGCGTGGAGCTGCATCATGATTGGCCCGTCATTCCAGGACTAAATATTACATTCTGACAGATATATTTGTACTCGGTACCGTATGGTATGTTATGTATGGTACGGATGGATCCAATGCCCAAGGTGCTTACATAGTCTAAGCACCCGAGTCTCTCACGTGTTCTTCTCCGTCTGTCAGTCTTCCCATGTCCCGAATTTCATTATACTCCTCTTTTCTTTTTTCCTTCTTGTTTTTTACTATCTGTTTACACTTTCACCGGGATTCTGACTGCCATTGCAGGCATGACGCCATGCGCCTGGGTTCGGGTGTTATTCTGCTCGGCGGGAAAAGTGCGGTGAGAGGAGTGAGAGGGAGAAAGACAGGAATGGGGGGAGGGGTGTGGGACGAGCGATGATAGGCACGAGCCAAGAATACCTATACATGTACCTAATCCCGAACGGTACGTATCTTTCAATGTCACACACAAGAGCCGAAAGCTGGAGCAGGAGCTGGAGCAAAGCAGAGCTGGGGGCAGGAGCTGGGCCGGGACAGGAGCAGGAGCAGGAGGGGAGAGCAGGAAGGAGCAGGACACTGCTACGAACCGGGTCACACCAGGCCGGATGAGGACGGACCGCAGCCCCCCCCTAGAGCATGATTCGACGGTAAGGTAGGCAGGTAGGTAGGTAGGTAGGTACGATAGGTAAGTACTTAGCAGCTCAATAACGGGGGGAGGAAAAAGAAACAAATTGCCCCATTGGTGGGCGACAAGAGACGAAGACACGGGCGTGCAAGAAAAATAAATAAAGAAAATGCAGGGAAAGAACGAATGGAAGCGAGGAAAGAAGGTTAAAGTGGGTGCATGTCCGCGCCCGCCGCCCGTCCGTGGGTCCCCCCTTCCCCCGGTACACTAATGGCGACTTGCAATGTTATGGACTCTGGCCAGTCGCGTTGCAGCTCTCTTCCGGAACACCCAGCGGTACGTACCTCCAACGTTGTGTGTCGTCTCATTGCCCGCCGCCGGTGGTTGTGGTGGCAGGAGCAGAGCTCGCTCGCCCGCTTGCTCACTCACTCACTCACTCACTCACCTACTCACTCACTCCCCATCCAGCGAAGCACACATCCAGTACCGCAACAGGTCCAACAAGCCTGGTGCAGTTGATGGGAAAGCTTAAAGAACCTCCCCTCCGATCTACACTAGCATGTTCCTCGTCGGGCTCCGAGCCGCCCACTGCGCTGCGCTGCCTTGACGCCGCACGCGTCATTCCCAATGTCTCTAGGTATCTCGCCCGGCTGGCCCTGGAAGCCCAAAGCCCACCCCCGCCTTCTGCGTGGGACCGAACCTAGTGCCGGGTGGAAGAAGACGAAGAGCAAGAAGGAGAAAATGCATTTCGGGCTTTGGTGACGAACGAATGTCCCGGTCCCCTAGCGTGGTATGGTACCGGTATGTCTTGTCTGTCTAGTGGTTCGTTACCAAAGTGTGGTGTGCGTGTGCTGGCGATGGAAATGGTCGAAAGGTGCTGAGCAGCACCCATGAGAGGGGTGTATGCATGCTTGTGTGTAATTGTATCTAGGTACTATACGTATACGTGAGCAAGTGTGTGTGTGTGTGTGTGTGGACACTGGACACGTCTACTAGTGCGTGCGAGGTCAAGGGTGCGACTCTCAATCATTTCTCCATTGCGCTCTTTCTTCAGCTCTTCAGCAGTTGCCGACGACTCTGTCTGCTCACTCTCACCTTCACTCTCACCCTCACATACAAACACACACACACACACACACACACACACTCTCTCTCTCTCTCTCTCTCACACACACACACACACACACTCACAAACACTTGCCGTTCACCTTCACCTTCAGGGTCTCAGTTGTTGACTAGTGGGTTTCGCCCGGCTGCCGTTCAGCCAAGGCGGCACACACCAGGCTAGCTACTAGGCTCACTGACCACCCCTGTTGGCGGCCAAGATGGCGTGTATATGTGACTGATAGACGACGCCAACGACGGCGCTCTCTATATTCTTAGCAGCCAGCCGCGTAGCCTTTGGTTTGGCGCGTCCTTGACGTGTGCCTATCGAGACTGGTCCTGGATCGCCTCTCAGGAACCTCGCTCTTGGCTAGGCCCGTAAGCTGGGTTGTAGCTGGTCTGTCACTGTCAAAACCGTGCCCGGGGAGGGTACCTTAGTCTAAAATCGTGAAGCTAAGCTTGCCATAACGCCCCCCCCCCCCTTAGCGTTCGTTGTTGGCCGTCATTGCCTGACTTTCCGTCTTAGTCCGCCGGCGACAGTCATCAATCGGTTAGTCAGCCGTGCTGTCAAAAGAGAAACAAGCGTTAGGGCCTGGCCGGGCCTGAGACCAGGCTACCCTCCAGTTCGAACAGAACGGCTCACCCACTCACGACACAGCAAATGGTCGTCCCGAACTCTCCTAAAATAATAGGGAACTGCTCGTTGTGGGGAGGGGGGGGAGGTATGGCCTCGACTTGCCCTGTGAGAACAAGACGGGGTGACACGATGAGAGGTGAGATATCTCAACCCCCCTCCATATGCATCTCCTCTCCTTCGACCTCGTCGCAATTCTCGCACTCTTCCCGTCACTCCCATCCGGCTATCTGAACAGGCGGAATGATCCCCCTTTGACTTCTACCCATCTCAACCCACCTCGTGCCCCTTGAATTGCCGGCCGTGCGCTACCCTTCTTGCGCCCATTACCTGTTTCCCACTGCCGGCTTGTCCTAACGTGGTCACCATCGCGCCTGGCGCGAGAGAGCTGTGCGCGGAACCCGACGCCCACGCGGCCCCTCGCGGCCTCGTGGCTTCTGGACTTCGGCGCACGGCAACACCTCAAGGGATCATCGTCCGTGAGAAGATCAGGAGATCAGGAGACGAGGAGATGAAGAGGGAATGGGAGGTGTGTGTGTGTGTGTGTGTGTGTGTGTGTTTGTGTTTGTGTGCGTCTGTGTTTACGGATCGGCTTCTGCAACGCAACGCATGAAAGCATTCGTCGGCAGTGTTCAGGAAAACACTAGACCAGACCACGGTCAAACCAGACCAGCCAAACCATCGTCCTCGTCTGGGTTTGTGTGTGTGTGGATGTGTGGCATCTCGAGAGGTCTTACCGCAAAATTCAGCTCATGACTCGTCTGCGCGCGGCGCCATTTCGACAGCTTTTAGGTTTGCCGCGCCCGCGGTACATGACATGACAGCTATTTTGCCAGCCAAAAAAGCAAAACAAAGACAGAAAACGAGGTGGGAAAAGGGGGGGGGTACATGCGGCGAAAGCGGTAAACCTTACTTGACATCATCTCATCGATCAAGGTGGGGGGAGGCCAAGCAACAGGAAGAAGAGAGAGAGAGAGAGAAAGATAACAAAAAAAAAACCAACATCGCTACCACCAGACGAAAAAGGTCCCATCATCATTCATCATCCATCTGGCGGAGGTCATGTTCTCCGATATCAGAGGAGACGATTTCCATTTAGAGCAACCTTCCTTCGTCTGTACTTCTGTAACTTCTTTCCCCGCCAGAGACTCGCGGCCTCTCGTTGTCGTTTCCTTCATCAACCCGTGTTTTTCATGATAGACATGGCTTCGAATTCATGCGAAACTTCCCCTGGGCTCCCCGCTTCACTAAATTCATCTCCACCTCTTCAAACTCACTTTTTTCCTTTTTTTTTTTTTTTTTTTTTTCCAATCTACAACGCCGGATGGCCATTCGTCGCCCGCGCACACACACACAGACGAGGTCAAAGAGCGAGCTGGCTTTTTTCCCCTCGTCTTTTTTTTTTTTTTTTTCACCTCAAGAGAGAGACGAGGTCGGGACGAGGGTGGGAGAGCGCTTCGGCAGTTGACATGCTAGATCCATGAGTTTTCATCCCAGTCGTCGGATCATGTTATGTTATTTTCATCTTTTTTAGTGCCCGATATGCAATGCTTGCGGTTCGAGTAACCAGCCCCCCTCCCCCCCCCCTTTCAAGACGGCGGTGATCGCTCCAGGGGTGACTAACCTCCCGCAGAAGCAATGATTGAACTGTATGTCTCGAAAATGACGGAACCGCGCCAAATGCTGCGCAGTCGCCCGACCAAATGCACGGACGAGACGAAGACGTGGAGGGGTTCCTGATACGCTTTTTTGGGCTATCCCGCCCACTACGCAACGACATGTCACACATCATGAAAGGCGTACCGAAACATGGGCTTGCACGAAGAGGGATAGAAAGAGCGTGTCCTAACCCGGAACACAAAGCCCCAAGAGGCCCGCGCCTGGGACTACCTGATCTGACTTGGTCTCCATGCCCGGGCTTGGGAGCCAGGGGGGAGGGGCAGGCAGCCGGAAGGGGAGCCCCGGGCATACTATCCTAAGACATTGGGAGCGCGGGGATGTCGACGGCGGGAAGAAAAAGCAACGTGAAGACGACGGCAATGGATGTGTTTGTGTCTACATGCACGCGGTTGGTGTCGTCAAGTTTTTTAGGTTTTTTTTTTATTTTAGTTTTTTTTTTGGTGTGGTGTTGAGCCCAAGCCAGAAGAGGTTGGAACTACCAGAGGCAGTATCCCGTCATCGTGGTCGACGTAAGGAAACACTAGTGGCATCAGGTCCCTTTTCCGTCCGGGACCCTTACGAAGGACGCCACGGCGAGACGGCCGATGTGCTCACGGACACATGCAGAAGAGTGGACGAAACCATTGGATCCCACGGACGGCCATCCCACGCTGCCACCATAGCCGCCGCGTGCCGTGTCGTGCCATTGCCGTCTCTACAAAGAGGCTCAGAACGGGGTGGTGTCGGCGATGATGATCAGGCACATCGACCATCTCAGCCTGCCGGCTCATCTCGTTCGTGCCATACCCCCTTGTCGCGTGGGGTCGCCCTCAGTCCCCCCCTCGGCGCCCCCAGAGTGCTTGCTGCTGGCCGAGCATCCCTTGTGTGCGTACCGGCAACCGCTTGCTGGGCGATGCGGCGTTCTCTGTTAACTTGCTTGCACAGGCGAGAAAGCGGCATAGGTCCGCGGCCCAAAATTCTACAGGCCATCCGTCGTCCCGTCACATTATCACATCACCACATCGCACCTCACATCACAACGCCCACGGGTGGCCCCCCCCCCCCCCAGAATCTGTGTTGTGTGATTGACCCGATGCAATGCGACGCTCATCACTGGATGCAAGCCAAGATACGGTACTCGGTACGTCTACACTCCTCCCCCCCGTCCCTTCCAATGAGATGCATCGGCCGTGTTGGCCCAATCGTCGAGCTGCTTGCCTCGTTTTCGGAGAGGGTACGTACCTCTTTCTCTCCCGCATCCACCACCTCTCCTCCTTCCCAAGCTGAAGAACCTCCCCACCGGGACCAGATGATCACCATAAGCGTGCCGTCTCGCTGGCGACGACGAGAGCAAGGACTTGGACACTTGGACTTGGGGACAGAAAGAACCCACTAAAGGAAGAGCCATCATTGTGCCGTGATGTCGAAGTGCCGCTAGGGCCGCTGAACTGGGCCGTTTCCATGCCCCTTCCTTCCCCCCCACCCCACCCCAAAAACCTCTTGTCCCACTTTTCAAACACAGATCGGGCTTCGGCGAATCACAGCTTGTCGCGTGATCGCCAGAAGGGAACTGGAGCCTCAGTGTGTGAGATGATTGGCCACGGCTCGTTCCCACAAAGTGAGGCTGCCGCCCCACTGCTTTGAGCCATTGGCTCCTGCGATCCCGCGCCGTGTGGGGGAACGTCGGAAATGCATGGGGGGGAAGAGATCGCTGGAAGGTGCCCTCCCGCGTGCCTGCTTGGTGTACACTATGAATAAACATGTACATAGTACTTCTTACCTATCTAGTTTACCGTTAAATGTAGTGTAGATAGCGTACAGAGTAGGTACCTTAGATCCTGCCTTTTTCTTACTTTTTTTCTCTTCTCTGAGCTTCACGCGGTTGGTCTCTCTCATCTCTTCTCGTCTCATCTGCCCCAGCCTTTTCCTCCCGAACGGAACTCTCTCTCTCTCTCTCTCTCTATCCCGTCTCGATTTACTTCCAAGGACATGCTAGACAGGGGCTTTTCCAGCCAGTCTCCCCCCATCTCGAGAACCCTCGACCAAACTCTCCAATAAACGCCCCCCCCGGCTTGCTCCATCCGAGTAAACACAGACCTGGCCCGACCTGGCCTGCCCTGGTCCAATAGCTGCGTACGAAACTACGATAATAGGAACATCTCCAAAAGAAGCTCGAGATCGTCCCGCGACCCCCATTGCGCAACGTGCCCCTGCCCTTGAGGGATCATCCTCATCGCCAGCTTCTACACAAGAGGGAACAGCCAAGCCGAAAGTTGGCAGGTCCCGACATTGAGGCATCTCCGTGCTCCAGAATGACCCGCCTTTCCTGACCGCCGGAGAGATGAGGTGCCCATCCATCCACATCCATCAACCGTGAACCACCCTCCTCCCCGCTACAAACTAATACATAGTATATCGTACATCGTACACTGCATGCACATGGGCCAATGGCCTGCGGCGTAAACGGCCCATCCATCGTTACGGCAATTCCCCGTCATTCACTTCTGACATTGGAAGGGGAGACGGGGAGGGGAGGGGGCGTGCCCGGCAGCTCCGGGGACGTTGCCTTTCCCCTTGTGTGTACGACTGCCCATGCCGTGCGTGCGTGCGTGTCCTGTCTCACTCGTTCCCTCTCTTCCACGCTTTTCCCGATCCGACCGTGGCTCACGGCTGCGACAATCTTCCTCGCAGATCGCTCCACGTTGGTCAACCTCTTGGAAATCTGCAAGACTCCAAGTTTCCGACTGGCTGGCCCTTGCGCAGCTCTTTCGGGCTCGCGGCGCGACTCACGCGTGCCGAAAACAACGACGACGACTAACCACAGTGGTTGCAACGGCAATTGGAACACGGAACGTGGCGGGCGTGGGTTGTATTCTGCATTGCGCTGCCGGTGCCCTGGGCTTCTGGTGCTCATTTCGCCTTTTCCTTCGCGCCCCTCATCGTCGTCGCTTCTGGACCATCTTGCGAAATGCCACCGTTGCACTGAATCGACGCCACGGCCCTTACCGCCCCCCCAAGAGATCATCCACGGACCACATCTCGCTGAACCTCCAAGGTCGCGAGACCCCAGGCGGTGCAACTACAAGGGAAAGCAGTCCGCGCGCCAAGTGGCATAGGGGGATCGCACAGGTACACGATACGCACTAGAGAGGCGCGCCGGCTTCTGCGCTATTGAGAGCGGCATGATCGTCCTGATTTTGTCGATCATTTTTATCTTTCTTTGCTTTTTTCTTTCTTTCTTTTTTTTTTTTTTTCCAAGTCCCTGAAGGGTCATGTCTGTAGTTCCATATCTCAATTCCTGCTGCTGAGCGCGGGAAGCCAACCAGACTTGTGCGTCCTCCCGTGCGGAGGCTGTGTGCTACGCCATACAATGCCCATGAAGCCGGCTGCATAGTGCACACACACACACACACACACACACACATGAAAACGCATGGCTGCTTTCCAACGCCGACATCCTCAACGGATACTGGCATCCGTTTGACTGGTCGATCTTCGTCACGGCCATTCTCGGTGAGAGGGAAGAGGGGGAGGGTGGAAGCCACCGTACATGAGAGATAAGATGCGAGACTGACAGAGAGGGCCTTGCCGCCAGGACATTGTCATCCAATCCGGGCGATATTCAAGGCCACCTTTGGGCTTCGTCTGCCCAAGGCACATTTCTCATGCCTCGCTCATAGGGTAGGACCTGCTGAAGGGTGCGTCCCCTCCGCCGAATGGGATCTGTGCCCGTTCGGCGCCGGTCCGCATCGCAGATGGTCCGCATGGCCTAGCCTAGCATTGCATCGCGTCGCATCGCATAGGCACCGCAGCGCCGACTGTGCAAAAAGGCTCTGCCTCGTCCCTCCCCTCTCTCTAGTCTGCCCAACGGCGCGGCTTGTCGTGTCAGTCTTGCAGTAGCTGCTTGTCAGCCTAACGTTGGGCCGATCAGGCGGCCACAGACAGACCGAGCTTTTAGCTGCCGCCCGGCGCCGCTGCATCGGTCAGCTTCTTAGAGCATCGAGGGCCAGTGGTCGGGTCCGGTGCGGCCTGGAAGCCCACAAGCTGTCGTCGAACAGCAACATACTTCACTGCAAAATCAACTCCCCCAGAGACGACGGTCTCAACAGTCGAGGGAAAATGCTTTGACCCGACACTGGAGGACGACGGGCGCCAGAGGCTGGCTTACACACGCAAGCACCTGCTAAACTTGCTTTCTGGTATCAGGGGAGGATGATGGACCAGCCACGGGTGGACGCCAGCTCGCGCTTCAATTCCCCTGCCGTTGAGTCGGTACGCAAGCGGACTGCTGTTATGATGTATCTCCCCCCTCATCGACACCGGCGATGGCGTGTTTGCGCATGAAGTGCCTGTCACTCAGGCCAGATAGGACACGATGTCGCTCGGCGACCAACCATGCGAGACCAGATTGAAAGTTTAGACCTCCCAAAGGCAATGTCCAGTAGCCTCAATTGTCTGGCAAGGCAAGAGCAGTCAGACGCGAGGGAATTCTGCCTGAAGTCTGCCTCATCACTGCACTGCAATTTCAACTGCCCCCGAGGGAATGATAACAGCATCTATCTGTATGCAGTATCTCCGCCTCAGAGAGAGCCTAGGCATGTAACGCCAAAACGAGACAGTTACTATCCCTCGCTGTGTTTATAACTGCGTCATCTCCCGATGGATAGAGAGGATTTTTAGACTATTTAAAGTATGTTTGATGTTGAGCTTCTAATTAAAATCAATTTACGCTCATACCCACCACGTTTGATGAAGTGATGTTGACTGAAAGTACCTTTGATGATGCCAGCTGGCAGGCAGTGGTGACAATTATGCGGGTAGGCAATGCGGCACGTGAGGTCAGCTCTTATCGGTTATCGGAAGGGTCTCCACCGGTCCAACCGGCAGAACATCGGTAATAATCGTCTCAGCGACACCTGGCACCTAGCTAGATGACACCTGTGAGCTACGGAACCACGGAGACGGTGCGCGCTTGTCTGAGCAGCTTTCCAAGGCGGCTGGCACATTCTCTACAACAACTCGTCTCATCTACATGTGAGGGATACATTCAATTCCACGGCACGATGCGCCGTCTCAATCTAGTCTTGCTGGCGACAGCCCAGCTGTGCAGGGCTCGTCATCCCGGCTTCAGCATCCACGATGACCTAGTAGCTTATCCCCAGGTTCGTCCGAAGCCCAAGACACCCCAAATCGCCGGCGAGCGACCATGCTGACCGGTTGTTGCGTTGCGCGCCCGCAGTACGAGATAGTCTTTCCGGAATCCTTCATATTGGAGCACGAGGCGCAGGCGCTACTGGACCGCGCGAACCCGCACTCCACGTACTCGGCCGAGTTCTCGACGGCCTCCGACATCTCGCAGAACGTCAGGGAGGCCGGCGACGCCGACGACGGCGGCAGCGGCGCGGCCGCGGAGGTCCATGAGAAGTACGAGATCATGAAGACGCAAAACTCGAGATACCTCTGCTCGATACCCGTGCTGGAGCCGCAGACGCCCGAGAACCACACGGCGACAGAGCTTGCGAAGCAGGAGGAGGCGCGCGAGCTGGCGAAGGCGTCGGCGCATGGTTGGGAGCTCCTGGGCGAACTGGACGGCAAGTGTCTGTACTTCATGTCCGGATGGTGGAGTTACAGCTTCTGCTACAACCGCGACATTGTCCAGTTCCACGCCCTCCCGACGGTCCCCAACGGGCAGCCGCCGGTCCCCGACCCCCACACGGCCAAGTATGTGCTCGGCAGGGTGCACAAGTCGCCCAGCCAGCGCCAGCCGACGCAGGGCGGCGGACAGCAGCAGCAGGAGCAGCAGACGACAAAGTCCGGCGACCCGCCGGCCAACACGGATCTGCAAATCAAGGGCGACCAGCGTTACCTAGTCCAGAGGATGGACGGGGGCACCCTCTGCGACCTGACGGGCCGCGAGCGGACGGTCGAGGTGCAGTACCACTGCGTCCCGGGCATGAAGGGGGACCGTATCGGCTGGATTAAGGAGGTCACGACGTGCGCCTACCTCATGGTCGTCAACACCCCGCGGCTTTGCAACGACGAAGTCTTCCTGCCGCCGCAGGCCACGAGCGCCAACGCCATCAGCTGCCGGCCCATCCTCCCGTCCGACGATCCCGGCGCGCAGGCCGACTGGCATCGCCAACGGGCGTTGGGAGCCGAGGCATCCTCGTCGTCGTCGTCGACGACGACAACGACGGAGAGGGAGTTTGACGCCCAGGCCCAGGCGGAGCCGGAGCTGGAGCTGCTGAGGAGGAACCAGCAAGACCCCAACGCCAGGGACGGGGCCAAGGGCATCAACGTGGGCGGCGTCATCGTGGGGGCGCGCAGGGTGCTCGCGGTCGCTGACGAGGAGGGCAAGCCGCCGGCCAAGCTCGCGCCGCCGCGCAGCTACCTTCCGGGGCGCGGCCAGGGACCGCTCGTGGAGATCATCGCTAGCGCCAAGAGCAAGGCCGAGGGGGGCACGATGGAGGTGCTCGACGAGAGCGAGCTCAAGAAGCTGGACCTGAGCCCGGAGCTCGTGGAGGAGATGCGGGCGGAGCTGGAGCGCATCGCCGGCGACAAGGGCTGGAAGCTCGAGGTCGTCGAGCAGCCCGGCGACCCCAGGGAGATTCGGGGCGTCGTGGACCACGGCCCCGACGGGCAGCAAGGCGGGGAGGAGGGCGGCGGCACCAAAGGGAAGAGGAAGGCGAAGCACGCGGCGGAGGGCGAGGAGCAGGAGGGCAGCGAGGAGCATTTCTTCAAGGAGGAGCTTTGAGAACTCCCTCTCACCCTATCGAGATGGACAGCAATGGCGTTTGGACTCTTGTGACATTGTACTGATACACCGGGGCATCATCGAGGAACAGAATGTGTGTGTTTTTGTGAACCCGTCGGCTCGGCTAGTTCTAAGTCCTCTCCGTGACCATCGAGCTTGACTCGACCATGCTTGTCGAAGCATCACCTTTTTTTTTTTTTTTTCCTTTTTGTATTCTTTTTCTTTTATCGGACACGGAACCGATGGATCACGGAGAGGCAAGTGTACAAAAAAGGCGTTTGAATCGTTGGCGGGGAAGCACATAAAACCTCAACGCGCCATCACAATGCCCGAGGGTGTCACAGAGGATGAATTACAGTTTCCCGTAAAGGCACGATTCCAGCTCGAGTTTTCTGAAAAAGAAAGAAAAAAGAAAGAAAGAAAGAACATCTGTCTGTTGGGCGGTCATCACCAAGCGTGGAGCACGTCTCGTAACTCCTGCATCCATCCAATCCACACTTGCCCAAACCATATCACCGAAAAGTTTGGTAGACTACCTGGCTACCTTTGGGTATATAGGGACATGATATAACCTTTGGACTGGTCCGGACTCCGACCAACTTCCCGCTCTGTTCCGAGTGTGTTCTTTCTTGGATCAGAAGTCATCTCGTGAGCCGGGCGGCAGTACCTGCCTAGGCAGGTCCGGGCAGGCACATACTGCCTGCCGCCGGCCGCGATGTTCTTGCCCTTTTTTTTTTTTCTTCTTTTTCTTTCCACCTGAGCCACCAAGAAGGCACGTTCGTACACTACCTAGTATATTCAAACATCACCATCTTCCACAACACGGCTCAACGGTTCCTTCCGCATTTCATGGCTCTTGGCACGGGAGTTGACGGAAGGCGCTCCCTCTGGGGAATGCAACTCCAGGCAGGGCATGTCCCGGACTGCTCTGTTTCTTGTTTTAGATCACGACATTCTGCAATCTCGGTACGGAATATTGATTAGACTCGGATCCGTCCCGCGTCGTCCCCCGTTTTATTTTCTTCTGCTGCTACGTCGAGGTCGAGGACGCTTGAACATTTCCCAGGTTTCCTCCTCGCGTCACGCGTCTGAACGGAGGCTCCGGCGTCGGCCACGCAAGCATGACTGCTCAACAAAGCGTCTTTACTGACTCGCTCATCTAGACCACGTCCCTCGCCGGTCATGATGGATCCCCCCATCGCAGCACGAACCAGAACCGTGCCACCGTACCGTACCCAACGAATCAGAACGGTTCTCCCTGTCCTGTCGTCCCCAGTATCTGGAGCGCTCCCTGAATCGTCACCGACTGCAAGTGGCCCCCATCTCCAAAAAAGCGATTCCGATGGTTTGATCTTCCCCCTGTCTGGGGAATGGTACTAACCTCGCCCAGGATCAACCTGGGTCTTGTCCAAGGCCTTTCTGGTACTTGAGAGTGCGCGAGAAGTCTATGTTCAGGGGCACTAACCAGCCCGTTGAGCCAAGAAACCCATCCTATCGTCGATCTAGAGAGAGACCGTCGTTTGCGGGCTTTTCTTTCTTCCACATCAGAGGTACATGGGTATACAGTACGTTGGCTTCGTTGCCGCCAAAGCCGGGTTAGGGACACCCTTCGTGCAGTTCAAGAGGATCATTGTTGCTCACCATGCTACTAAGATCTACGACCAGCTTATTGCTAACGGTCCCAATCAGCCGCATAGAGCCCCCCACCTCAGGGAGCCGCCGGCCAAGGATCCAGACCAAAGTGGACGACGAAGACCTCAACATGGCTAGATTGAAATTTTCTTCTGTTCACCTCACAAAACGGGGCTCAGAGATCTTAGCAGTGCCATATTCCTGGGCAGTGCGGCACCTCGCCACATCCTCTAAACAAAGCACTTTATTTGTGTGTGTGCCGACGCCATGACACTGCGGATACGGCTTCATGGGAGGAGTGGGGGCGCCTTGAACGGTAATGCCGGTCCTAAAGGTTTAACTTGGGTTAATCCAGCCTTGGGGACATTCCAGCATTGAGGAGCTTCTAGCTACCGACAGCCCATGACATCCTCGATTGGCCGGCATACTTGTACCTGGCACCCCGGTCCAAGTGTTCAAGATGGGATAATCCACTCACCTTTGGCCCTGCCATCGTCTCCTGAACTGAAGAAGGAATCCTTTGCACGGTCAAGTCCGACAAGCCCTTCCACACCGAAGTGGTTGTCAACGAAGGCGCGCCACTGGTTTCAATCTGTTCGGGAACATGGATTCATTCATTCCCGAGTAATCGCGGAGCACTGTTCTGCACGACATCTCAAGCGTTCATCTCAAGATTGACAGATTGCTTGGGACGAAATCTGGGGTCTTTGGCATCTCGGGAACATTCACAGTGTTTCATCGCGACCAACGTCTTTGCTGTTGCTAGGCCCACCAAGACGATCCTTGGCTCCGTCGACGATGGTTCGTTTTGTGAAACGGCTAGTTGCCGACAACCTGAGTCACTCGGTTGCCATTCAGACGATCTGCACCCTTGCGACCCCCCATCGGCTTCCCCGGATTTGAGATTGCATGGAAGCATCGGCAAACCACCACCCCATTTACGATATGACGGTGGTAGGCGGCCCTAGCCTTGCGTGCAAAACACTGCACCGTCAGGCCGTGCGTCCCTTGTCCGTCGATATTCATGGGCGGCTCAATTCAATGCAATGCCGGTAACAGGACGGCGACCCTGGTTGCGATTCAGATCGAATATTCCATGCCCAGGAAAATCCCCGCTGGAGCACGTCTGGTCTAAGAAGTGATCGACAACTTGACACCTTCTTTTCTTCTTCTTCTTTTCCTTCTTCTTCTCCTGCTTCTTCTTCTTCTTCAGCGCACCTACCACCACCACCACCACCACCACCACAACTGCTTCGATCAGTCGTGAAAATAGGTCGTACAGGTGAATAAGGGAAGTTTGTGGGGGAAGCCTCGATCCGCTAAGTAAGTGGCTTGCTTGATGTCTGATATTGTTAGTTGCGGGTCTCAACCCACAGCACCACCGCCCATGGCCATTCTGGCCCGACAGTTCCCAGCGGCAGTCGGGCCAGGCGCACCATTGGGCCAGGCCAGGCCAGCCAGAGGGCTCAATGCCGGCACACCATTGGAACGTGGCATCGTCAGCGTGATTCCGTTCATGAGCTCCCAACCCGATCAAGCAGCAATCTCGAGCTTCTCGAGCTTTTCGAGAAGGTCAAGCAAGCAAGGAGAAATAAGCAGGTTCCAGGCCCTCCTCTGCTGACAGACCGGCATGTGGTCAGCGGCAGCGGGGATGGTGCCTGCGGCAAGGTCCGCTCTGCGGTACTTAGTGGAGAAGCAGCTGCATCTTGCATCTTGGCGTGAGCGGGCGGGTGTCGGGGCACGACTCCAGGAGCCAGCCAAAGGGCAGAGGGGCCGTAATAGGGCCGCGCATCGATTTGGGTTCAAAATAGCAAGAGGTCCCTGGCAATCGCCAGCCCTGGACGGGATGCCCTTCCGACTAAGCCTGGCCTTTTCAGCTCTTCTCTCGGCTCAGCGAAGGGAAGGGAATCGCAGACGCGCTCAAACTATATGTTCTTCTCTCTTCTTTCTGCGCTGCTCGTCCGAAGTTGATTGGGTTCCAATCCTCTTCCCCCCCCCCCCCGCACATGTTCAAACATGTCTGTGTCTGATCAACTTCTATCATCCTGACTTCATCAGCTGACCCGGCGGCGGCACCAGCACTACGCTCAACTATTCTTTCGCGCCCGCCCCCCCCCTTCTTCTTAGTCTCGAAGCTGCTTCTCCCCCCGCATTTGCAAAAGACACGCGCAACAAAAGCCAGTCGAGACACGCACTAGCCAACTACTTCACACGCACCATCAGCTTCAGTTGCCGACACGTATTTTTTCTGACGAGAAGACGGACGACGTAGACGCTTCGATACGCACACGTCAAGAGCCTGCCTGCCTACCTCCTATTGCGTAGCCTTTTTTCGCTCTCGTTTTCGCTCTTTCTCTCTCTCTTTCTCGTTCTATCTCATCACGTACGCTGGTGCACGCCATATCGACCCTGCCTACCTAGCTAAACACTTCCAGTTCGCCGTTATCTTCCCATTGCCTGTGAGAGGCTGAGGTAGCCGAGAGTGGACTGGGTTGGACTGGGGTAGGCTGCACCCGAAGCGCTGTTTGAGTCGAGATTTGCTCCATGACAGTTCTCTGCTTTAGCACTGCGTTCTCCTGGGCTGCAAATCCTCTCTCCACCGCGACATTCCTCGCTCAAACCTTTTGACGTCCGAACCCCCCCCCCTCTGGTGACAAGAGTTCCCCCCTCTTTGCCTTTACTCCTTCTACGCGTTCCCTTTTCCTGTCAATCCGGTGCGTCATGTGTCAGTGATGGACGACACAGATACCGCGAGAAATGCTGCGAGCAGAACAAGCTCTGCCGAAGTGAAGGCCGAGTCCCCGGACGAGTCCATCACCCAGAGCCCGCCGCTACCACCACCACCGCCGCCGCCGCCGCAACAGTCAGCGCCGCCGCAACAGTCAGCGCCGCCAAAGAGAACAGTATGCGATCACTGTCGACGGAGAAGTACGAAGTTCCACTTTCACTCCCCCATCCCAATTGCTTATCGTCCAATTCCCTGATTCGCCTTACCCGTTGTTGCGTCCATGAGTTTCCGTGCGATCCTACCTCTTCCCAGCAGTCTGCCGCCTGGACAGTCTATATGTCGCCTTCATGGTATCATCCCGTCTCAGCCACTGTCGTTGCACGTTATCGCTCTCCCCATCCACCATCCACCTCCACCTCCGCCACCACCTCCACCACCCTCTCTCATCATCGTAACTCATTTCTCTTGCCGCGCCCTCCCCCTCCCGACACATGACTCGCAGAAACAGCTGCTGACCGTCTCTCAGGAATTCGCTGCGATGGCAAGTTTCCTTGTGAGCAATGCGTGCACGCTTCTCTCACATGCAAGCGCGAGCACGTCCCCAAGAAGAGGGGTCCGAAGCGCGGCCATGGGCGGGTCATAAACGAGCTGCGTGCGAGGGAGTCGTCACACAAACTGCAGCAACCGCTGGCGGGCCAGAAGCATTTCATTGCAGATAATGAGCTGGAGAGTCCTACAGAGTATGTGCGACGCCGACTGTCAGCAGCCTGCCCGCCGCTGAACATGGACAGCATCGACATGGGGATGAGCGGTAGCGACCTAGGAGAGGCGGCGTCTCATTCTTCCAACGCCTCCGCAGCGTCGACCCCGCCGGGTTTCTGGGCCGCCGTCACATCAAACCCGGCACACAACAACGTACCGGAGCCCAGAGGCATGTTCTCCAGCGATGAGCTGCGACCGAGGACGAGGAGCTATCTGCACATGATCCCGCAGCTGGTCGAATTATACTACGAACACATCTACCCAATCATGCCGCTCATCTACATGCCATCGATACGCAAGACGATCAGTCGGCCAATGGCGCCGAGCGAGAAGAACCTGGTCTATGCCTTGTGCGCCCTGACATCAATGCACATGTCTGGCAAGAGCATAGGTGCACCGGGCCCGACGTCGTGGGAGGTCGTCGGTCGCTTCTTCCTGGACGAGACCATCTCAACGAGGCATTCGTACGACTTCCTTGAGGATTTGTCCCTGTCTGCCGTGATTTCGTCGTTTTACCTCAGCACGTCGTTTTTCGAGATTAACCAGTCGCGCAAATCGTGGTACTACTTGCGAGAAGCGTTGACAAACGCACAGGACCTAGGACTACAGGACGACTCGACGTACTACGGGCTGAGCCGCGAGGAGACGCTTTGTCGGCAGAGGGTTTTTTGGATCCTCTTCGTGACGGAAAGGTGCGTAACGAACGGGCTAACCGCACAGGCGACGTCCATCTAGAGTGCAACGTCGCAGGAGCATTCATTTCAGTGCTGACAGGCCTCGCGGTACACAGGTCGTTTGCGATTCTGCGCAACAAACCAATCACGTTCAAGAGGACGCCGTCGCTACCAACAACGCGGCACCCCTACGAGACTCCAGATATCCACGCCGGGTTCCTGCAGCTCGTTTCTTCGTACACCCCGCTAGACGAATCCTTCGTCACGGCATGGAATGAGGGCTCCGACCCCCGCGTCAGCGCGACGACGTTTTTGGCGCTGCAGAACCTTCTCGCCCTGCCGCCCCCATTTCTTCGTCCCCGAGGGCGGTCGCCGCCGAGGGAACAGCACGAGCAGCTTATGGACTCTTTCGGCACAAGGTCTGCCGCTGCCGGAGATTCGGGAGCGCCGGAGCCAACGGATATCCAAAAGGCGGACTTGCTCATCACGCAGCAATGGCTCCGCCTCATTGTCTGGCAATCGTCTATGCGGCAAGGTCTGCTGAGTTGGACGAATCCGGCCGACTCGGGTGTCGATGGATCATCGGGCGCCGGAGCCGGAGGAGGAAGCAGCATGTGTTTCTCCTTTCCGCTGACAGTTGCGCGCGATACTGCCTCGATCCTGTCGAGCCTGCCGAGCAAAGCCGTCGAGGTACACGGCATGGGCATCATGGAAAAGATTTACGAAATCGGAACATGGTGTGTCAACGTACTGGGCGCCTGCGAGAGCGTTGGGTTCTCGACAGCCATGGACTTCACCTCTGGCGACATGGGCGTACTGGGCAGCGGCAGGAAAGGGGCTAGCCTGGACCCGATTGAATTTTTCGTCCGGACATTGAGCGCGAGCGATAACTCACGAAAACAGTTTGCCGAGAAGCTGCTCACCGCTGCCGGGGAGAATCCTGGAAGTATGAGAACGCAGCTCAGTCCAGCCATGTCCGGGATGGGGGCCGCTGCGGCCGCCATGATGGCTAGCAGCCAACAAGGGCCCAACGCGATGGATGCAGTAGGATGGGGCCAACAGCGGGGCAGCGTCGTAGGTGAGGTTTTTGACGACAGCGAAGAGAGCAATAGCAACACGCATCATCAGCATCAGCAACAGCATCAGCAACAGCAACAGCAACAAGAACAGCAACGGCAACAGCAACATCAGCGACTGGACATGGGCGGCACCTCGGTGTCTCATCAGCCCGGCATGCAAGGTATGGGAATGGGCATCGACCTCGGCACCAGAGAGACGACGGGCGGTCTGGCTGCTGTAGACATGGACACGAGCAGCGTTGATTTGATGAGCCCCCTAGGTTTGACAAGAAGCAATACATCTGATCTGGCGACCATGGGCATGCCTGCTTTTGAGACGACATGGAGCCCCAGCAGCGGCGATACGGGCCCGCGAGAGTACGCAGACTACGGCACCGGGCCATTCACGACGCAGAGAGAAAGAGGGCCGCCAGGCTATACCGATATGGGCAACGCACTGCTGATGCATGAACGAATGGCAGCCGGTGTGGGAGGCCCCGTTGGCGGAGCGAACCCTGTGATGGTCGAGCGTCAGCCACATCAACTTCAGCCAGGAGATGACGGACCTTATGGTCCGAGGAGAGACGACAAGAACGGTGGATACCCAAACGGGGGTAGGATAGGCCTCTGGCTGGGGACATGAGCCAGCTTACAGACTGGTGCGCGAGGCGAGACGAGACGCCACGAGACGAGACGGTACGGCAAAGCAAGCCACGGCACCACATCGGACGGACTGACGGCCGGTTTATTGTACTCATATTCCAGTTTTGGATCATTTGGCGACGGTGCAAACTTGGGAGCATTCTACACGCTAATCTTTTTTCTTATTCTTTCTAGCAAAACGGGGAGGGAAAAAAAGTTTTGGGATAGTCGGTCAAGGGGAAGGAAGGGTGTGTTTCTGTCTTTTTTTTTTTTTGAGGGGGGGGGGGGGGGGGGGGGGGGGACCAGGCTCTAGAGGCGGGAGGGTTTTCCTTCCCCTAAAGGCAAAGCATTTCAACTTGGGTTATTGTTCTCCCTTCTCATGACGTAGGGGCAAGAAGAGGGGGAAGGGTCTCTCAGTGACCACAGGCCGGATCGGCACCGCTTTGGTTTTTGTACACTTGTTCTACCTACGTGTCACATGTATAACCGGCGATGATGAATGAATGTCCCCGCCACTGTTCTACAATACCATTAGTTTCCTGGGCATCTCCGTATTCCGGATTGGTCCGTCGAGGCCGAGTTCGTGTGTGTGTGTTTCGAGGGACCCGGCCTAGGTAGTAGAAGGTCCGGATTCGCGTGGGCAAACGTACCCCCCGGCCGTCCCCGTCCCCTCTTTTCCCGAGACCTCTCCACTTCGTCTTCTTTTGCTCTTTCCTGCACGTAGGGTGCTGTCTCTCCTACCCTCCTCCCGTCGTCGCGCGACGTGTGCTGTGTGTTCTGTTTCGTGGTGGGAAAAGAGTCCAGATGTCGATGGAATATATACTCGCTCTGTGGAAACTTCCCATACGCGGTCTGGTGCAGTTCACACGGGTACATGTGTGTACAGTGCAGGCGTTGGACGAAAATGGAATGAAAATGCTGGCTCGAGATTGAAATCTCTACAGAAGGAGACGGGAGGGAACACACGTTTGGTTTGGGCGTGGGCATCATGAACGGTCTGCGACGAGGAACTGTTTTCTTCTCCGCAAGTTTAAAGAACAGAGTGCCCTTTGAAGGCTCTTCTTCTTCTTCTTCTTCTTCTTATTCTTACGTACTGCAAAAAAAAAGAAGAAGAAAATAGAGAGAGCGGGCCTTTCATTTTATGATGGGTCGACGACGTTTTTTCCCGACTTTCTTTCTTTGATACCGAAAAAAACCGAAAAACCATGTCTAGTTACCGAAGAACGCCAGTCCACCTGATTATCCCCGCCCCCTACCCATGTCTATGTATTCCCCGTCTCCCCGTCGTACAGATGTATGAGGGTATCAAGTTGTAGTAGCGTAAACAAGCTCAGGACCGCCAGAAAAAAGCAAATGCGTGGGTGAAAAGAAGAAAAGAAAAAAAAAAGAAAGGAAGGGAAAAAACCATGGCATCAAGTGGTGAGGTTCTAGAAACGTCCGCCACGTCTTCCTCCGCCGCCGCCACCTCCACGGCCGCCGGAACCAGCGCTGCGACCCTCTCCACCACCGCCACCGCCACCGCCGCCGCGGTGTCCGTGGCGGCCCTTGGGCGCGTCCGGGATGACGACGAGACCTCTGGTGCCGCGGAGGCCCATCTTGCCAACGGTGCTCTTCTGGATGGCGGGAGTCTCGGGGGCCGCGAGGGCGTCGCGGGCAAAGATGTTGCCCTCGGCGACGAGCTGCTCCTTGTCCCACTTGAGGGACTTCATCCAGTTCTTGTAGTAACCCAGCCAGGCCTGGTAGATCTTGGCCTTCTGGGCCTCGTCGATGCGCTGCTCGGCGATCGCGTAGACCTGCTCGGCCGACGAGAGGTCGGCGCGCCGGGTCTCGAAAGAGATCTCCTTGAGGGTCCACTGGGGGAAGAAGCCTTCGATGTCGGCGACGATGAAGATGCCGCGGCCCTCGGCGCCCGCGCGGGCGGTACGGCCGAGGCGGTGAATGTACGACTCCTTGTCGGCGGGGATGCCGACCTGGAAGACGGAGGTGACGCCGGGGAAGTCCATGCCGCGGGCGATGACGTCCGTGGCGACGAGAATGCCAGACTTGGAATCGCGGTAGTCGTTGGTCGTCTTGGTGCGCTTGCTCTGGGAGATGCGGGAGTGCAGGACGGCCGTGGGAAGCATGCCGGGGACGTTGGCGAGGACGTCGCCGTAGAAGTCGGCAAGGGCAGCCGTCGGGGCGAAGATGATGGCCTTGAAGGTCTCGGGGCCGACGTGGGCGGCCTCCTCGCGGATGGCGCCAACCATGGCGGGGGCGACGGCAGCGAAGGTGGGCACCTTGATGAGGTGCTGGGGAACGCGCTCGTGGGTGTTGGCCTCGCCGGCGGGGATGGTGGAGATGAACTTGTAACCCTTGGAGAGGACGAGGCCGGCGACCTGCTCGACGTGAGGGGCTATGGTGGCGGAGAAGAGCATGCCTTGGCGGTTGGTCTGGGCCTTGTCGGGGAGGGCGCGGACGATGTCCTTGAGAGCAGGCATGAAGCCCATGTCGAGGAGGCGGTCGGCCTCGTCGAGCACCAGGGTATCGAGGTGGCGGAAAGACTCCTTGATGTACTCGTTCGACATGTGGTCGATGAGACGTCCGGGGGTGGCAATGAGAATGTCGCAGCCGTTGAGGATCTGCTTCTCCTCGCGGTCCTTGTTGGTGCCTCCGATGGCGATGCAGACGCGGTACTGCTGGAGACGCTGCAGCAGACCCTGGGCCTCCTTGGCGATTTGCATGGCCAGCTCGCGGGTGGGGGAGATGACGAGGAGAGAGATTCCGGCGCCGCGGCCGCGGTTGTTGGTGATGAGGGTCTGGATGGCAGGGAGGAGGAAGGCAATGGTCTTGCCGGTGCCGGTCTTGGCCTGGACGAGGCAGTCGCCGCGCTTGGGGGGGAGAAGCTCGGTCAGAGTGGCGGCTTGGACGGGCATCATGTGGTCGAACTTGAGATCCTGGGTGATGGCCTGGATCAGGGCCGGGTTGACGCCAACCATATCGGCGAACCTGGGCGTGTCCTCGGGGACGGGCTCGGTGAGGGGCGGCGCAGTGCTCTGAGGCGCTGGGGCAGCGGGCGCCGGCGCCGACGGGACGGCCGATCTGGGGGAATCGCTGTACGGCGCATCGCGACGGCCACGTCTGGGACCGCCGCGCTTCTGGTTCGAGCCTCTTCCTCTACGGTCCATGATGTCGATTTGGGGCGGAAGGGGGGGGAGGTTTGTTTGGAAGGGAGGAGTGTGTTACGGCGGGAATTTTCAGGCCGTGATGAGAGGCGATGTCAAGGGGAAATTTTCCAGGAACAAGCAGGGGGACCTGACGAAACTGTTCTGGGCCGGGTCTAGCGCGGTGCGATAAGAAGCTACGGAGGGTGCGATAAGCATTCTAGGGGTCCAGTGTACCTACCTACTTCGTACGTGTACCTGCTCACCGCGCGCCCCACTTTGCCCCGCCCCCGCTTCTTTTACGGGAGCAGGTTGCTGACATAATGGGTTAGATACGTACATAATACGGAGTACTCCGTAGTACAAAAACATGGGAGATTGTGCTTGAGGACAATCAGAGGAATAGAATAGCAGATAGAACTATAGCTACAGCAAATGTTCATCTATTTCTACCATTCACGTAGTAGAGACGTAGTCGCAAACTTGATGTAGTTGTCGCAACCCAGGGAGATGAAAGAAAGGTCATCCCGTTCTGTCCCTATAGGTATTATACAAACAGATCAAGACAATATTCCCGCCAGAGCGTGTTGATATCCGTCCTTGAGGAGGGTTGGGCACCACGCCATATAGTTCCTATGCTTATGAACGCCTCCCAATCAACCGCGTTTATCTTTTCCTTTTTTCTTTTTTTTTTTTTCGAAATGCTTACGGCCCCATGTCCAAGACCTAAGGTTATACATTAACAAAGGATTGCAACTCTGCAAGTGCTCCAAGTCATTTGGTATCAGATCCTCGCAGAGGAGCGCGTGCGTTGCTTGTACATGTATGTCGCTTGGAAATCATCAAAAAGCAACTGGTTCTCCAAGCGCCAATATATCAGGTCGTCAATGACATTTATGTACCAGATTCGGACATCAACTCCAACCTCAATTGGCCCATCACACACAAGTTCTAGGCTTTAGTACTAGTGTGGCTTATATCCATAAGGCCGTTGTCGAGTTGACTGGGATGGTGCAATGGGTGGTGAGGATGAGCTGGGTGACATTGGCGTGACAGGAGACTGCCCATGCTCTGTGTCTTCATGGGAGTACGGCGGCCATATGGAGCCTGTGTGATCCGATGGCATAGAAGTGTGTGATGAGGTCGGATTCGTCACCTTGATTGTGGACGATCTCTGAACGGGGATATGAAAATACGGGCTGTTTGGGTCTCCTGGCGATGCAGGGAGTTCATGATGCGGCATGGTAGAGGGCGACGGCTGATCGTGAACAGGTGAAGCTTGGCTGGCTCGATGTGATGCTCGCGTTGGAGTCCGAGGGGCACCTGCTGGGCCATAATCCAGGGGTGATTGCGGATTACTCTGGGGAGGGAGGCTACTCTGCTGACTAGTGTAGCTAGACTGCCGTTCGATACCGGGATGCCCGTCTATGTCCTGGCACAAGCTTCCTAGGAACATCTTATAGATGTCACCACCCGCAGGCTCCGTGTCTATCAAATCACTGCGACGGCGGTTAGTAAAGCATGAATGCGCACGTCTTTGATTTGCATCTTCTTACGGGCAGCCGTAGTATCTCATGTCGTCGTCCAAACGTCGGAGTCTCTCGATGGCGTTTTGGTCGTATCCGAACCGAACAAACTGTATAGTGACTGGGCGGATCTTGGATATGTCCACTTGCTCATGGGACTTCCCTGGTGGTATGTAGGACAAGTCCCCATGCAAGTCCTTCAGCTCATTAAAAGTTGATTTTAGATAGACGTCAATGGTGTGTTCCATCCTCATGCCTTTCCAGATGCCATCTGTTAGAATGATGATGGTCTTCTTGCGTGGCGGAGACTTGGAAGTCTTCGCTCGCGTGTAGCTGTTGATGATGCGTGTGAGCTCTGGCACAATAGTAGTTTCGACTACTTCTGCTGGGGACTTGGCAACAGCTGGATTTGCCAATTCCATGGCCCTTCTGAAGTGTTTGAGTTGCTGTGAACCCCCAATCGTTGCCTTCGGATTGGTGTCTGGATTCGTAAAGTAGAGCTCCATCCCATTGTCATCATACCCCAGAGATCGCCAAACAAGGACCTCTAAGAGGTAAGTCACCTGTGCCCAATGAGGAACCATGGTTGTGCCATTGTCGACGAGATATACCTACTCATGTTAGCTGTGTCACAGACGACAGGTACTGAACTTTGACCAACTATATCGCGATTCTTGAATTCTGTCTCGAGGCGCCGATCCAATTGCTCCAAGTTGTCCGATATATCCTTGCCCTTTACTGTACGAGGCTGCTTGCTGATGAGGGAGCTGAAGCTTCCCATGCTTGGTTTGAACCCCTTCCCTTTCTTGTCGAGCGCTGTTCTTACCTGCCAAACGGTGATGGGGCTGCGATGCGTAGTGTGCCAGTCAGGATACGCTGACTGAGTCGAAGTTTGGGATGTTTTCGGCTCGTTGGATGGTGCTATACGAGGATCCCGTGCAACAGAGCTTTGTGCGATTGGGTGGGAGATGGTCGCTGAATTCCGCGAGTGAAGTGAGCGCTGAGCCACTGGTTGAATGGGTTGTTCCAGGAGCTTTTCTCGACTCTCGAACTCCACCTCGGCAGACGGTAGTTTCGTCGCCCGGAGTTTGTGCTTGGTCACGTCGCCCGGATTCACCTTCGTGATACCCGAATGAAGATAGTCTTGTTCGGACTGGAGGTCGATCCTCTGCAATAAGTCGTGCAGGCTTTGGGGTACTCTGGACACGCCGGATTGGGTGGATTTGAACAGCTCTTCAAACCGTTGACAAATCGTTCCCGCAGACCACCTGTCTTTTTCGACGAGCATATGCTCGTCAACCATGTCCAGAACGGCCGACGTGTAGACGTCATTTCCTCTCGCGGCTTCGCGCAAGTAGTCGTGCCAGTGCCGGACCTCCTCAAGTACAGCTTTCCCATCGTGAAATGCGTCACTCGAGTCTTCTGAAATTCCGAAAATGGCTTCTTGGCGAAGTTTGTTGAAGATGAGAACGCCCTGAGTCCCCAGAACAACATATGTTGCCGCGATCGAAAGCACGCATCCGAGAGACCACACGTCGCTTGTCTGCGGAACTTCTGGCTTCTTAGAGCCCCGACCGTCCAGGTAGGCGGCCTTCTCAGGGTCGGCTATATTTTTCAGGGTCAGTATGGCTAAGACAACGGGAAAATGTAGGGAAACAAGCACCATAAGTCCGTGTCCCCCCTGTTGCTCTTGTTCTCTGGTCTCCCGTTGTTCCGGTAGATTTCAGCCGCATGCTAGCTTCTCCTGGGTCCGCCAGTTTGAATCTATCGTTGACGCGAAGGATATTCTCGGGCTTAATGTCGCCGTGCCATCTGTTTGTATCGCAATTAGATTGTGAGAAACCAACTGAGAGAGACACATACGTCAAATACTGATGGCTACCGATAGTAACCGTGTGAATAGAGGCCAAGGTTCCCGATATCTCCGCCATGGTCTTCCAGAATGCCAATATCTCTTTGGCTGATATTGGGGGGGATATTGTTCGAATCGCTTCGTAAAAGTCGAAGTCGGCAAGTTCCAACACGATGTTGGAGTAAAGTTCCCGCCCTCTATCATTATCCAGCTCGTAGCTTTCGAACCATCCAATGTACTGGATCAGGCCATCCCTGTTTGCGAGATTTATAAACATCCGTTTCTCGTTCTCGAAGTGCTCGTGCTTTGATTGTTTGAATTGTTTCAAAGCAAATCGGTATCTCTATTGATACATTGATCATTTCAGCATACATGTATGATGTAGAACCATGGGGGAAGGGGGAGAGATAGAAAGAAGTATGAACCACCTCACCTTTCCTCTATTGGTACCACTGTTCGTTTTTTCGTCTCCACGCTCGATCTTGGCTGATGCCATTTTATTCTGCAGCTTGAGCCCGACGAGTTCCTCCGGCACTTCAATGGAGTACAACGTCGCCGTGTTCACTCTAGGACCCTTACCATCGCGGTATGGCTGGATCGGTTCTTTCCTCAAGAAGGGGCTGATGATGTCGTTGAAGTTCCTATATGAAGTTCCCATATCCATTTCAAACTGAATTGGGCACCACGCAAACTGATTTTCGTAAAACCTCTCGTGGAAATTGGGATAATCAGGCGGACCCTTGATGTAGTTCTTCAAAACATCTCTCTCGATCGGAAGAGTCGTAAGACGGTTGTTCGGAAACTCGTGAATCAGCGATGGTGCGCCAATAACTAATAGATTGTAGAAAATGGCAAGGTGTTCCTCGATGCGATGCGTTTGCAATTGCGGCGGTTGATCATGTTCTCGAAGATATGCTGTCTGGCAAAGCCTATCCAGGTCATTCTCGTATTCTGGAGGGCAGCTTTTAGAGTGTTGTTTTAGTCGCGCCGTGACGTTTTCCATCAACACGAATTCCTGGCCACAGGCGGAAGTTCGCGTCTCTTGTTTGCGAAGCTCATGGAATTCCGAGAGAGCAGTTTCGAAATGTTGCCCGAAATCTAGTTGACCCGGACTCATTGTGCAAGTTGACTACGAAGCCGCAGGCACATGAACGGAAGAACGGAAAGAGAGAAAGAAAATAAGATAAACGAACGGCACGGTTTGGAAAAGTACGTTGAAACCAGCGTAAGGATTATTATACCTTGTGTCAAGCCAGACAACCAATATTATGGGCGGGGAATACATGCAGGAAGAACAGAAATGCAACCCAAGACCAGGGAACTAGCACTCTCTCCAAGGAGGGCGCCCGCCGCCTGACTGACTGCCTGTGTGCGGCTGAACTGGCTCAGAGAGAACAGGCAGATAAGTCGCTAAGCCCAATACAGGAACTTATAGATCAGCAGTATTTTTGCTAGATTCGGGGCGGTGTGAGAGAATGATACTACTAAGGAAGCAAGTTAGCTGCATGGTATGCTGTGTGTCGCTTCAGACTGACGCACATCTCAACACACTGGTAAGGTTGCCAGCCAAGGACATTGTCGCTCCCACCCCTTGCGCTCGACGCCACCAGACAGAGGCGGGAAGATCTGTCCTCGGATTAGTAGCTAAGACTGTGACAGAAAGTACAGTTATCGTGGTTACAAAGGCCTCATTCGTTGAACTTCTGTCTCGCGGTGCAACATCGAAGGCTACAAAACCCGGCCGATGTCCGCCATTCTCGCTGTGCATAACTGATGTGGCATAGTAGTCCTTCTTTGAGACCCGCCGTTCCTCAACCTTATTTGCACATCATTCATGACTGATACGCCAACCTATTAGCGGGTGATTCTGGACGTTCAAGCGCGTGCATACGTTTCCTATCGTGGAGGAAGCAACCGGGTGGGCTCGGGATGTGTAGAACGGCTGTAGACCCAACCGGACTTGTGACCACGAGGGTGTGACTGTCTCCTTGCTGATTTGCGGCCCATGGGTGACCATGAGGCAAACACGCATAACAACTCCAAGGCACCAGCTTGTAGCGGGTATCCAGCCCTATGCGGGGTGATTGGATATGGCTTGATGAGCGCCTTGAATGGCTGGTGATGCTGTAAGGCGACCAGATGCCTGCTGTCAGCCTGCTTGGTGATGCCGCTCTCCTCCGGCCCCAAGTCGGTACGAATCCAAAAGGTCAAATGATTGATAAGAAACCACCCACCCAGCCCATTTGTCTGACACCCGCCTTCGTAGCCTGCTTCCCTCTTCTATCAATCGGCAGATCTACCAGGCAGCCTGCTTCGAATCACCCTGGATATCCATCCACTGCCTCTTCCACCGCCTCCCGAGGTACCCAACATAGCCCGCATTGCCATTCCTATTCGCACACGTTAAACCATGGGGCAATCTACCCGAGGGGCGAAGAAGAAATCTTTTTGGACCAACGAACCCGTCGAAAACCAAACACTGCACCGAGCCATGTCTTTTCCACCACCTCAAGGTTGGGTACTAGTATCTGTGTCGGCATACGGCTTGAAATGGTACAAGCTACGTAAGTGGCTCGTCAATCACTTCAAAAATGAGGGTGACAGGTTCCAAGAACGCCAGGTCAGTCGTGCACTACGGAAGGGAATTTGAAGAATTCGATCAATGACCGAGGCTGATATCCGGGCGTTTCAGAACATAGACAACGACGTTTTCCTCTTCTACGCTCCGTATCTACTCACAGAGGTGAGCGGCAATGCTATTCGTCGCGGAACTAGCAGTCCCTAACTCGCCATAGAATGAGCTGTTATCCATCGATAAATTGCGCGAGACAAGCAAGCACGATGAAAGGAGACAGCACAGTCGAGTTGAATACAGTCCAGACCCGGATCCTTAGGTCCCCCTATTTACATCATATTCAAACCCAAAAACTGGATGGAAAGTCGGCCGGGAGTTTGGCGAAGGAAGGATGCTATTTCAGTGTTTCTGGGAGGTCGTTAGAAATGGTCGGACATAGTGATCGGGGGGGCTTGTAGCGTATAAACAAGTATTATGAGCTGTAAGATAAGGGCGGAGGTATACGCTGCCGCCAGCCAGTCCTGGCTAATCTGCCGCGACTCCCAAACACATCAATCCTGACCAAGTTACATTAGGATGTTATGCAGGGAAGCGGAAGGCAGAATCTTAGATTGTACAGATATGGAGTGTATCGGATTTGGCAGCAGATTAGCAGGAGAAGGCGGAGTATCTCAGCCTAATGATAATTGCCATCATTCAGCCATGTATCACCGAGAAAAGGGGCGTGGCTGATGAGGCCGGGCGTCACCTTCTCTTGGACACCGAGCATTGGTAACGCCAGGTAAAACACGCGCGGGCGGGCAGTGCCTTGGTTGGTCAAGCTGAATCAATAGCGACGCCGTCTTTTATCAAAGGAACAGGAGCTCATTGGTGGTGAGAGAGAGTGCTGAGAGCCTTGTGTCAGCCTGGGGGCGAAGCACAATCTATAGCCCGGATTTTTGCAGACCTGTGACGCGAGACGAGTCGTAGGTGAAAAGTAGTTCATATTTTACAAAAGACATATTCTTCTCACCCTTAGTTTGTCCTGAGCTGGAATCCTCGGAGACGGCATAGAACGCAAGAGCCCGTAGCATCCAATAATACTTCCAGCCTGCAACACTGCAAACCCCAACCATGATGGCTTCATCGTACCGGTCATTCGATCTGAACCCAAGACAGTACCTGTCAGGGACACCTTGCGGAAAGTCTGCTCTCGACAGGCTTGAGGAATGCAGGAACCAGCTCTTCATCAAGGACCGTCGAACGCACAGTATACCAGTGAAGGATATCTCGGCGGCAGGACGGGTCGAGAAGATAAACCTCCGGAGTGACGAAAAGCTGAAGGCGTTTCTTGGAGACGTCCCAACAAACGAAATAGGAAATGCTTCCTTGTACAGACCAGATGCAAAATGTCGATTTGTGTAAGTTCGCATGGCTCTTCAACATGTCGGGAAACACTCGATCCTCGAAGCGAACCCCAAGACTGCGATTGACTGACGGGAGCTAGGAACCTGTGTGCACCAACCACTGTTGGGCCACTGGAGTTGAGCGAAACGATGCAACTCCGTTTGATGACCTTTTACCAAATCATGCCTCAGTTCTCGGATTTCCTCCTCGTTTACGCGTCGGACCACGGTAGGGATAGAGAACTCCGCTTCAGTGGCTTCCGAACAGACAAGGTCCTAGCGAATCCCGTTCACGGGACCGTGATCCCAGAGCTTGGGAGGAGCGGGAGGAGGTACCAGCTCTGCTTCAATCTCAAGACGGCGGCGCTCAAAGGACGCGAAGACTGGAAGATTCGACAGGCTGTTTTGCACCACCAGTTTGATCTGGGCCAAGGCACTCAACTATGGGTCATCGGGGACCCTCACGCCACTCTCAAGAGCCGTATCGCAGCGCTCTTCCGGGAAGGGAACACTTACCCAACCAGCTTCGGCACAGTCGAGGAAGGGTTCAGATCATCTCTGGAGGTGCATCTGGACTTTGCGCGGTGGGCAACGTCGGAATGGAGATGGCATATATTATATCTCGAGAAGAAAGCAGAGGAATTTGTAAGATCTCGGCGCCAACAAAAAATGCTCGTTCGACTGATATGCTCGGCTAACCAGCATTCTCAAGACCAAACCTGCCCGTATCAGAGACAAGGGGCACATTGAAAAATTGGAGCCGGAAAACCTGAGCGACGTCCAGAACTGGGAAGAAAGAACAAACGACGCGATCATGGCCATGGAGTCGAATATCAACATCTTGAAACTGCAGCAAAAGTTCTACAGGGACCTGGTCAAAGACGACGATTTCCCTGGCCGAGAAAAGCACGGCTGCACGAGAGCGGTAGCGAACTACGATTCGCAACTGGAGGAGCACATCTGCGAGACTCAGATGCAGATCGTCAGAGCGAAACTGCTCGTCAAAATGATCTCGGATAGGAAAACCATCGTGAGTGCACAAAAAGTCATTGCCGGATAGTTGGTTGGCATCGCGCTGACACTTGTGCTTCTCAGCTTATTCAACACTTTCAGACACAAAATGCCATTGTGTCCTCGATGCTCACGGCCACGATGTATAAGCAAGCCAGCCGTAGTGCGGTAGAGGCCATTGCAGTCCGAATAGTGACAATTGTCACCTTGATCTACCTGCCTGCGACCTTCTCTAGCGTAGGTTTGACAGCTGATACGAGTTGAATCCATCCCTTCAGAGCCGCGCTGACTGCTTCTTGACCAGACTTTCTTCAGCACCGATATCATCAAGTACCAGGAGGGCGAGGTGTTCTCGATGGTAGCGCTGGAGCGATTCCTCCAGGTCACCCTTCCCCTGATGTTCTTGACCTTTGTCTCTTCTGGCTTGTGGTTCTGGATAGAATGGCGTAGACGCGCCCGAGACTTCCTCAAGATTAGAAGTCGCCTTCCCGACGTGTTTGAACCAGAGCTAGAGAAGTCTGCTTCAAAGTGGTAGACAAAAGGGGTGAAGATATTCCCCGATAGTGTGCCTGGTTGCGGAACAGGCATCCATCCCAAGGGCTCTGCAGTTTCAGAAATCGCGATTTACCACGTTCTTTAGTGTGGCGCATAGACTAAGAGGACAAATAAGAGGGCACTATCGGGATCTACATACACTAACTAGCCCTTACAAATTGGCACGGAGAATCAGATATGACATGTCATACTTCTAAATGCTCAAGAATTGTATACTCCTGAGAAACAGTGTCGTCTGGATCGGAACATGGCCAGATTTATAGGCAACCATTCTGGGCATATAACAGACTCGACTGATAGCTAGTCCATACACAAGCCATTCTGACTATTTATCCGACCCGCCAGTTCTCTTGACTGTTAACGCCAATAGCTTGAATGCATAACGCTTTCCGCCCGCACAATAATGGCCTCCCTAGTCTGGCTGTTGTGACCTTGTGCCGGCACGCCCCCTCCCCCCTTGATTCTTCTTTCGCTTCATAGTCACATCGCATCCGCGGGCACCAAGGTAGAATCTCTATCCAATCTTTCAATTTATGCTATTTCATCAATACACCTTGCCACTGCTGGTCAGGCACCGAAAAACGCCTCCCGAGACCTCTATATAGAACCCAGAACCAAAGTAAGAGAAAAGAAAAGCGAGACCCCCCCCAAAGCGCACGCGCGATCGGAAAAGTACCCTCCTCACGCCTTGAAGAAGTCCGTCACGGCCTTGGTGAACTGGTCGGGGTCCTGCATGGGCGCGAAGTGGCTGACGTCCTTGAGGATGGTGAGGCTGCTGCCGGGGATGGCCTTGTTCAGGAGACCCGGGGCGTCGAGGTTGACGGCCTCCTCGCGGTCGCCGTCGGCGATCATGACCTTTGCGCCGTCGATGGTGCCGAGCTGCGCGTCGGTGAACTGCGGCAGCGTGCCCTCCATGGTGGAGACCTTTGCGCCAAAGTCGGTGAAGTTGGCGCCCGGCTGCAGGACGGCGTACTCTTTGGCGCAGCGCGACACGAACTCGGAGAAGATGGCCGTCTGGCTGAAGCTCGCGTTGGTCTGCCCCGGGTTGGCCGTGGCGCCATAGAGGAAGGCCTTGTTGATGGCCCCGGCGGCCTTCGGGTCCATGAGCGTCGCGAGGGTGACGATGCCGCCGTCGGACCACCCGACGACGTTGTACTGCGTCACGCCCGCGCCGGTGAGCAGCGCCGAGACGTCGGCGGCCATCTTGTCATAGGTGAAGACGTCGTCCGCGTTGAACGTCGAGCGGCCGTGGCCGCGGCGGTCGACGGCGATGACGTAGTGGCCGGCGTCGACGAGGCGCGTGATGACGGAGCCGAAGTAGGCCGAGTAGCCCAGGCCGCCGTGGTCCATGACGATGGGCACGCCGCCGGCCTTCTCGTTGTACTTTTGGAACCACATCTCGATGCCGTTGATCGGCGTCTTGTCCGTGGAGATGGGGCTCGGGAGATCCGGGGTCGCCGGCAGGGTCTCCCAGACCGGTTTGGTCTGGCGGAGGGCCAGGCCCGAGACGGAGCCGGTCAGGGCGGCGGCGGCGATGAGAGCGTTGAAGTGCATGTTTTGTCGCTATTGATCCCGAAGAGTGGGAAAGACTAGGGGAAACGAAAGTGTGTTTGTGTGGTAAAAACGAATGTGTGAGAGAAATACAAAAGCGAAAAGACCGAGTAAGAGACTGACTATGCGATGTGGGTGAAAGGGGAGGAGAGCAAGATTCCCGGGGAAGGATGGTCATGTAGTTAAATACACATCCATTTCCTGGTGTTTCCCCACGACCCTCTTCTCTCCATCCCTCCAGGCGCGCGTACCGGTGGGCTGGTATCGAGTTAATTGCCATATTACCTTGCGGCGGAGCCGAATCTGAAGATAGGAGATGTCGTCAAGGATCACGACTCGAACAGCCCCGGTTTAATAGAGTTTTGCGCAGTTTCTTTTTTGCGCCTGGCGCCGTCTGTCCGCGGTCCCGTTGACCGGCTATCCCAGCAACAGAGCCTCGTTCAACTCGACAGTTGCTATTTAGATCGGGCGAGGACTACTATGATACTGAGGAGGGGAGACCATGAGTTGAGGAGAGACTGGGGGGGAGCATCCGGTTAAGCCGCAAACGTTGGACGGTTCCAAGGGGTCTTTGGGGTTGCCTCAGCCCGAAATGCCAAGACCACTTAACTGCTACGGGGTGTATCCATTCTCATATATCTAGCCAATCAGAGGACCCAGATGCATCCCCTTTCTCTAACAAAAGTAATCTCATCACAACAACAACAGCAACAACAACAACAACATCAACAGCAACAGCAACACCACTTTCTTGGCCTTGCAGTTATTACAACTTCTTCGCTGTTATGGCGCGCGTTGACCCTGCTTTACGGGCAGTCATCCTTGCCCTTCGAAGCCGTATTGGAGGCAAAACAGCCGACGAGGTTGCACAAGCGCTAGGATTATCCAGACGTACAGTCGACGATATTGTCGCGCGCGCAAAAAAGCATGGCTTTGACCCAACCGCTCCCACCTTCTCCTTAAAACCCGAATACATCGAAGATGCCCCCCGGTCGGGCCGGCCAAAGAAGGTTACATCTGCTGTGGCTGACCTTAGTCTAGAAGGTTTGCCATGACCCGTTATGGCAGAAGATAAGAGACGTGTTTCGCCCTTAAACTCTCGAGGTGAGTCCTCGGGACCCCGGAAATGAGGACCCGCCCCGTCCCAAGTGGATGGGCCCAGAGCAACGACGGGAAAACCCGACTGACTTCTCTACAGTCAATCTGACACTTGGGGTGGCAGGGGTAACCTACGTAGGGGGCGCGTCTGGAATTGAGGCTGTATGGCCTATATCGCAATGCGTTATACACATCGGATCCCCCAGGAACTTGGGGAACCGCGTTCATCTTCAAAGCCCCGCCGTCGATTGCAATGCCGTTGCTGCCGGTTGGCCCGACAGGGTTGGCAAGTTGTTGGATTGGATGGGTAGGGTGAGTAGGGACGCAACCCGGTGCCATTCGGCTTCCGAGGCCCGGTGCCAATGACCGGTGCCGAACACGGTTGGTGAAGCTCAATGGATTCTGTTCTGCTCAAAGGTCTAAAACTCATTTAATATAGATAACAATGCAACGCTCGTCTGACGAACTGTACTCTGCTCTACTGGTTTAGCCCTTGCGTCGGCCCGTGCTCAACCACCCTTCCCTTGTCTAGACGGATGAAGTAGTTGGCGTCCTGCACGGCCTCTAGTCGATGAGCGATGGTGATGACCGTGCTCGTGGTCAGCTCGTTCCTCAAGACCTCTTGCACTCTTGCGGCCGTCTCCTTGTCGATCGAAGCAGTGGCCTCGTCTAGGACCACGATCGGACTCCTTCTCAGGACGGCGCGGCCGATACCAACCAGCTGACGCTGTCCTTGGCTCAGGTTCTTCCCGCCGCCTTCGACGCGCGAATAGAGGTCCCACCCGGGACCGAGCACGCGGTGCAAGACGACAATGCACTCAGTGTCGGTGTACTGGTGCAGCGGGTCCAGGTTGTCCCGCAGCGTTCCGGGGAACAGCACCGGGTCCTGGGCGACGAAGCTCACACGCTGTCGCCACACGTGAACATCCACGCTGGACAGTTTGTAACTCCCGATGCGGATGGCTCCCTCGGAAGGGTGAATAGTCGCGAGAAGAGCGAGGGCCATGGTGGACTTGCCAGACCCCGTCCTGCCGAGGACCGCGCAAGTCGAGCCGCCTGGGATGGTGAAAGAAGCTTCCGACACGGAGGGGTCTAGGTGAGGCGCGTATCTGAGAGTGACGTTTTCGAAGGTGACGTCGTCCGAGTGGTGAGGCCAGCTGGTAGGAGGCGTAATCTCACCACAGGGCTCCTCGGGGATGTCCAGGAGCTCAATCACACGCTCGACAGAGACAAAGTCCATCTGCAGAGTGCCGTACTGCTTGCAGAGGTTGTGGGTCGCCTCGACAAACGCCGACGCCGTGGTTAGGACAAAAGCCGTCAGACCAGGCGACAGGCCCTTGTGGAGCGCCACTATGGTGAGGCAGAAAGTAGAGATGGCCGACAGAGCGTCGAATCGGTACATGAGCCAGGCTTGGAGGCTCCAGTAGAAGTGGTCCATCTTCTGGAAGGCATCGGTGACGACAATGTTCATGTTTTGGAAGTGATGCTGGGCCTTGAACGCGCGAATAGTCGCCAGTCCATCGAGCAAGATGCCAAAGTTGGACATCAGCGGGCTCAAAGAGACCATCTCGAGTCTTCGCAGGCTCTGGGAGGTGGGCAAGAAGCGCATAAAGATGTAGACGAACCAAACGGTCATGCCGACAGAGAAAACGAGGAACAACGGTGTGACGGAGGCAATCACTACCATGCTCGAGAACCAGGTGATGGACTGTACGGCGACTTCGCGCAATGGCCTCATGATGCCTCCATCGATCATGCCAATGTCGGACACGAGGCGGTTCATCAAGCGCCCCACAGGGGTGACGTCGTAGAACCGAAAGGTTGCTTTGCTGACCTTGGTGATGACCCTCTTGAACAGATCCCTTGCTGCCGTGATGATCATGAGCAGAGTGAGGCCCTCCGACAAGGTGTAGATGAGAGCCTGGGCAACGGCGATGGCGAAATAGACCCACAGCCATGGGCGAAGATCGGCGTTCGGATCCGGGAGTCTGTCAAAGAGCCCGGAGAAATCAATGCCGTCCAACGTCCCTTTCGTCGAGGTCTCGTGTTTGTAAGCCTCCCCCCAGGCCTTCAGGAACCAGTAGTTGAGGAGGCTGCCCAACCTGAACAAGCCGAATACCAGCAGAAGCAAAGCCCACCACTTGAGCTTGCCGGCTTTGATGTAGGTCCAGTAAACCGACAGCATCACACCCCCATGAGCTCGATGCTCCTCCTCGATGAACTTGGACGGCACGGCTGCGTCTTGCTGCTCCTCGAGCGTCTGCTCTGGCTCCTCGTGGCGCACCGCGGGGTCTTCATCTTGGGAGAGGAACTTGGCAACCTCTGCAGCCGCCTCTTCCGAGTTCAGGACCCGAGCGGTGTTGCCGACGATTTCTACCATCTGGCTAGCCAGGTGAAGACAAAGGTCAACTCTGTGGGTGACGAGAACTACAGTGCGGCCTTCCACAAGCGGGCCCTGAAGAAGCTTTTTCACAATGGACTCGGCCGTGTTGTGGTCCAGTGCGGCGAGGGGATCGTCCAGCAGCAGCACGCGGGACTGGCTGTACACCGCGCGAGCCAAAGCGACACGCGCTCTCTGGCCACCTGACAGGCCAATGCCGTTCTCGCCCATGTCCGATAGATCGCCGTGTTTAAAGTTTGCCAGGTCTGGTAGGAGCGCACAGGCATCCAGCGTCTGAGTATATCTAGTAGGGTCGAATGGCGCCGAGAAAAGGATGTTATCACGGATGCTCATGTGCTGCAGCCATGGACTTTGAGCACAGTATCCTATGGGTTCGGTTGGGATGATGGCTTCGCCCGCATGCCGATCAAGCTCCCCGAGGATCGCCTGTAGCAACGCCGTCTTGCCCGATCCAACTTTGCCGAACACAACGGTGAGACCCTGGGGGAAGCTGATATCGAGGTTCTTCAGCACGGGCTGCTCGTATCCGGGCCACGCAAACGCCGCCTTGGTGAACTTGATATCATTCGTAAGGTGGTCAGAGAAGACGCTTTCTTTGTCGGGCTCGCTCATGAAATCCTCGATACGGCCCATGGCGATTGATGCGTTTAAAAGAACGGTGATGAGGCCAGGTAGTTCTTTAAAACTGGTCTCTAGTAGATTAAAGAGAGAAAGGGCGGGGAACGCCACGTCGACTGTCAGAGTCCTGCCGGCAATGGATGTGTAGGCGAAGAACGTGGCAACTGGGAAGAGGGTACCGGAAGCGATGTTGAGGGTGGAGATGGCGATGCTCCATAGCCCCGTCACGACCCTGGTGCGCAGCTCGTGTCGTCGAGTGGCCATAATGCTATCCAGCCATTTCGATTGCCAGTCGTACCACCGGAGGTGACGAATTCCCTCGACAAACTGGGAGGTCGATTGCAGTCTAGCATCAGTGGCAGCCCTGCGTACGCGTTCGTTCTTGAGGAGTTGAGTGATGAAGATGGTATTTAGCATTTGAGCAAGCACAACACAAGCCATTCCGAACAAGCAGGAATAGCCGAGGAGCTGCCACACGAGGATGAATGAGAAGATGAACTGGAGCGGCTTCGTGACAATCGTAGGGAACTCCCAGAACCGCTGTGCAATCTCATAGACGTCGTTTCTCATGAGATTCAGGATCTTCCCGGTGGTGGCAGGCTGCCTTTGCGCTTTTGGTTTCTGCAGCCGCTGGTACCTGGGACGAGCGGGGTGCCCGCGACGGAACCAGCCCAGGAGTCTGCTGAAGCGGCCGGTTTGCTCATCATCGTCGGCAGAACCATCCGTGTCGGTCTGCTCGTCGCAATGCCCGTCTTCGTCGTCACCCTCCTCCTCCTCGTCGTCGGCGCCGATCATCTTCTCATCGGCCGGCTGGCCAAAGTGTTTCCGAGACAAAGTCTTGGCGTAGATGGTCGTGATCATCTCGCCTCGGGACCTCTCGTAGCAACGCCGGGAGAACCAAAGCTGGAAGACAGCTGCCTGACAGGCGAGCAGACGAACAGCCAGGATGGCGATGGCGTACAAGACAGAGACCTCAATGTTGCTGGGACCACTCTGAATGGCCCGCAGGAGCTGCTGCAACAGCATAGGGACCGAAAGAGCTGCGAAACACTCAATGATCCCAAGGGAGGACTGGATCATGAGATCCAGTCCATTGGCCAAGAACAGCTTGGCCGTCATAGAGCCACGGAGCTCATGGAAGAGAGCGTGGAGCCGCTCGTGTTGGAAGTCGAAGGGCAGCTGCCAAACATCTTGATTATGCAGCTGCTTTTCGTATCCCCTAGCGATCATTGGTGCCATCCACGATACCGTCATGAATCTCCAGAGTGAAAGGTTGTCTTCGGGGCTACGGAGCTCGTCGGTTGGCTCCTTGCGGGCAACATCATCGTCGCCGAGGGAAGGGTCACGCATCGGCATGGCGAGGATGCCGATGATGCCTACCAAGGCGACAATGAGATCCGCCAAAACAAGCATAGAGATGGACCTGTAAAGCCTGTAACTGAATGCTGTCGAGACAACGCCACACGCAAGGATGGTGAAGTAGAGACACAGTAGCGTCTTGGGGGTCTTTGTCGGCCGGTCGGCGGCGGTGATGAGAACAGCAACGAGCCACGGCACGAGTTCCAGGATAGAGAAGACACGATGCGGCTGCACGAGAAGAGACAAGGAAGCCTGGACGAGGCCAGCAAGTGCGACTGCAAAAAGGTAGATGGTCCAGAACGTCCAGGATTTCTTCAGCGGAAGGTGGGCGGCTGCGGAGTACAGAGACTCTTGTGCAAAGCCACGGCACCAGGCGGGCCTCTTGCGAAGAAGCGGTCTCGCGAGAACGAGGCACGCCAGCAAGGCGGCGACGGAGGCGCGCACGATATCGGTGACGTGCATGACGTTCAAAGCATCGAGGTGAGCGGCCGCAGTCAAGGTCGCGTTCTCGAATTTGGTGTGGGAGAAATGAGGGAGATGGGGGCCAGCGAGAACATCCTGAAAGGCGGCATAGCTATAGAATGCCAAACGCCCCGAAGGAGGTCCGTCGGCCTCAAGGGTTGCAAAGCTGCCCATCATGGTTATGAGGGTTCAGCAGCGGGTGCCTATTGAGTAGTGTGGAACAGTGGTAGCGACACCATCAAAGCGACAGAGAGCCGCGGGGTTCTCGAACCAAATCAACTGCGCGCGGGATGAGGTGAGGTCGGGTACTGGAGCCGGTTCCGTGCATTCACCGCTTTCCGGGGTCTCGAACAAAAGGTTCCAATTCGCCAGAGAAGGGAACTGGATGGATTCTTAGTAACTAACAGAGATAGAACCTTTCACCTGACTGCTCACGTGTTGGCCATCCTCGGAAACTGGCATTGCGACGCGTTGCGTCGCATCTCGTCTGGGTATATATCATCGACCGCATCCAGCGGTGATGATTTGCGACGTTCGGATGCAAAAATATGAGGATGGAAAACTTGTCTTTTAATTGTTTGTATTTTCTTTGGAACACGAATGGGAGACCAGCAACGGACGGGAGGGGCTTGCCGCGCCTGCCGCTTATTCAATCTCCTACTGTTGCTGACGGTCGGTCGCTACGGCACGGGGAAGATCAAGCACACGTGACTCTTCCCACAGTTTCTGTAACGATGACATAATCACATAGGAGCAACTTACTATGTAGTTTGAATACGGATACAGGTAAGGTGAGTACAGGTATTACTTGGTGGCAGGGGTAAGTTTTATGCTCCTAGTGATGTAAATCGCCACACAGTTTCTAAGCATCCTACGGAGTACCTGCCTACCCATCTCTTTCTACTACCGTATCCTCTGACTTAACTGAAAAACCGCACAGACCGCAGGCTGCTGAAAAGGGGCTGGCGTGGTGGCAGAAACAGGGATCTAAATGTGGCAAATACAGGGAGTCATTTACGTCAGCAGCAAGTTAGGCGGCAAGGGTTAGGGTTACATGGGTGGGTGTGTGTAGAAATAGATTGACCGCTTTCTATAAGGGGTCTAGCGTATGGTCTATGCGGTTTTTCAGTTAAGTCAGAGGATACGGTAGCTGGACGGCGTTGACAGCTGGCGGACTAGAGGGGGGTATCTGACAGGGGCGATAAAACTTCGGGGTGGCGGGGGCAAGTTGATTCCGCTTATGAAGTTACCCCCCATAGATGACATCATTATATTCGAGGGTGGATACTCACTAATACATAGTAGGAATGTCCTGTTAGGCAGTACCTACCTACCTACCCTGGAAACATGGGCGAGTCGTATCCCGGGTTGGACGAAGTCCAATCCGACCGTATTCTCGCGATACGAAACCGAAACCGAACATCCCTGGATCCTGCCTCGAACAACCAGTTTAGCCAGCCTAAGCCTACACGACTGCTATTGTACATGTACGCTGTGTGGAGCTCGGCCACGGCCACGGACAATTTCTCTGCATTGGTTGGCACGGAAAGAAGTGCCGTTCCTGCGCCTCTGCCGGTGAAGGGCTGGAACGGGCCGCCCTTAGCAGCATTATCCGATGAAGCTGTCATATCTTCGATGACATGTGGGCTCTAGGGGGCGGACGGTCTCCAGCAAGACGGATTGGCCGTTGTCGTTGTCGTTGTCGGTCAGGGGTGAGTGAGTATATAATGTGCCGCCGGACCCTTCAACATGGACCGTTCATCCATTGTAGTTCCAAAAGGTTGCCTATCCCACACCCACTCTTACTCATCTAGACGACAAAAGCCCATATCATGGCAAACGCAAACGCAACTCATCCCATCGCCTTGGCGGGTGTGTTGGACGCCCAAACCTCGCAACACTTGCCCACGGCCGCGGCCGGCCTCGTCCTCGTCGTTTTTGCCCTGCTAGTGCAGCGATGGCTTACCGCCGACCCCCTGGCCAACGTGCCGTATATGGGAGAGGGGACCAAGTCGGAGAAGAAGAAACAGTTCATGGAAGGCAAAGCAGCACAGTTTTATACCGAAGGCTACAGGAAGGTCTGTGTGGTTCTGCTCAACGAAATCGTTTCCAAGATCTGACCCCTGACTGTTCTGGTTTAGTTCAAGGACAGCATCTTCCGCATCGCGACGTTCCAGAGTAAAAAGCCCTCGTCCACTCAAGTGCCTGACACACGACTGACTGTTTCCCCCGTTAGCAAAGGATTCCATCTGTGTTCCTACCAAGTTCCTCCCTGAGCTGAAGAAAGCCCCCGACGATGTCATCAGCGCCGCCGACGCCAACACTGAGGTATACAGCTCTTTATTTGCCCCCTAGTAACACCTTTTTCTTCCTCTTCTTCTACTATTATTTTTATATGTGAAAATACTGACTTCCTAAAGGTCATGTTCTCTAAGTACACGAAATTTGAAAACGAAAACGTCTTCATACACCACGTCGTCAGGTCGACATTGACGCCGTCTCTACGTTAGCCTCGCCACGTAACATCTCTCGAAGGCAGCCATCACTAACCACCTTCTATAACAGCCCGACTAAACGCGAGCATCTCGGAAGAGGTTGCCGAATCAATGCGCCTTGAGCTACCCCAGTCCAGCAACTGGAGTGAGGTCCTTATTAACCAGAAGCTCCTCCGCATCATTGCCATGGTCTCCGGCCGCGTCTTTGTTGGCCCCGAGCTCTGCCATGACGAGAGATACATTGACGCCTCTATTAACTACACTGTCGACCAGATGACCGCCGTGAACGCCATCTCCAAGGTTCCTGCTTTCCTACGGCCCCTTGTCGCTACTCGGCTGCCAGAGACCCAGACGCTATACAGGCGCATTGACGCTGGTATAGAAGTCATCTCCCCCCTTATCACAGCCCGTCGCAAGGCTGCAGAGAAGGGTAACTACAAGGCGCCTAACGACTTGCTCCAGTGGATCATTGACGCGCAGACAAAGCTTGGGACAGTCAGCGACCGTGACCTTGCTATGAGCCAGCTTACTGCTAGCTTTGTCGCTATCCACACTACTACTGCAGCAACAACTAACGCTCTCTACTGGCTTGCAGCAAAGCCTGAGCTAACCCCTATGCTCCGCGAAGACGTCCAGCAGGCGCTAGCTGAGTCTAAGGGGGAATTTACAAGCTTAGCTCTGCAAAATATGAAGAAACTGGACAGCTTCCTGAAGGAGTGTATGAGACTTTCTCCGGGTAATGTCGGTATGTTGCTTATTGTCCCCCTCCCCCCCGTTTATTGTTTTTAAAGTTCTCCAACCACTTGACCAAGGGTTAGGAATCTATGTGTTTGTGTGTATAAAGAAGAAGACAGAGACCACTAAAGCTAACCTTTCTGTCTCCGCCCCCCCGCTACTAGCATCCTTCACACGCAAGGTTCTCAAGTCTGTGAAGCTCCCTAACGGCCAGACCATCCCCGAGGGCATGTTCATCGGCGTCTCCGCCCAGGGCGTTAACCAAGACCCCGAAATCTTCCCAGACCCAGAGGTCTTCGACGCCCTCCGCTTCTACAAGCTCCGCGAGGGCAAGGTGCACGCCGATTCCGGCTCCAAGGCCGCCGAGACCGTTGCGCAGGCCCAGCTCGTCAGCGTCGGCACCACCCACCTGACGTTCGGCTACGGCAAGCACGCTTGCCCAGGCCGCTTCTTCGCCGTCAACGAGATCAAGATGATCATGGCCAACATTCTGTGCCACTACGAAATCCGGATGCCGGACGGCGTTACCGAGAGGTACCAGGACTGGGTCTTCGGCCCAATGGTGAGTATATCCATTCTTGGGAGTCTTTTTTTTTCTTTTTTCTTTCTTCAGTTTTTCTTCGCTCTTCTTTGCTGCGGTATTGAGATGGAGAGCTAACCTTTGACACTTCCCAGATGGGCCCTGACCCCTCCAAGACTATCATGATTAGGAAACTATGATGTGGAGCGAAAACAGGGTGCGAATACGAGTTTTGTGGTGTTCATCTCGTGCCGGAAATCAGCATTATGGCGATGATGGTCCTGGAACGACTGCTGCCTATCCATGAAAACTCGTTCCCGAAAGATGATTCTGTTGGGATATTCTCATTCTCTCCCTTTTCTTCTTTGGGGTTCGCTCCATCACGTTGGTAACACGATGTGTGTGTGGGCGTTGCTTGACGTAGCCGGTTTCGTAGTTTCATTTGTCTCAACCTAGCATAAAAGACGGGTATAGAATTTAAATCTCCATATCGTCAACCTCGATCCTCTCCGTCACGCTCCGCTTCGGCCACTCTATCCAGGACCGCCAGTTGTCGTCCAGGGCCCCGTCCACGAGGCTCACCACGGCGACGCTCCACCCGTCCGACACCCAGTCCACCTTCGCATAGGGCCACGCCAACGCGGCGAAGTGCGCGAGGATGACGAGCGCCGTCGGGTGGCGGTTGCCGATCATCTCGACGAACAGCGCCGGCAGCGACGACGACCACTTCCACGTGCCGTTCACCCTGCCCAGCTCGCTCTTGCACGTGAGGTGGGTCCGCCGCAGGGACTCGAGCGCCAGCACGCAGACGGACTGCGGGTTGATGACGGCTTCGAAGGACGCGGGGACCTCCCGCGCCAGGGCGGTGACGGCGTCGAGGCGGCGCTGGAACGGCGACGACGACCAGCTCCGGCTCGGCGGCAGCACTGGGGGGCGCAGCAGCTGCTCCAAGGGCCCGCCGCGCTTCCGCCAGACCTCGATGGGCTGGAAGTCGAGGATGCCCTTGACGCCGTGGAGGAGCATGAAGGACTGCGCGATGTCGTCGAGCGAGGCGGTCCGGCCCAGGCTGTCGCTGTGGGCGACGGAGCAGATGCTGACGATGAAGATGAGGGTGGCCAGGAGGAAGTAGGCCTCGCAGTTGTCCTTCTTGATGTCGGTGAGGCGGAGGGCGAAGAAGCGCAGCGCCATGTTCTGGTGGTACACCGAGATGATGTCCCATTTCTTCCGCTCCTGGGGATGACCGTGGGCGTAGTGCAGGGCTGCGAGGGCCAGCAGGCCGTGCATGAGGAATTTCTATCACCATTGTGTAAGACGACATGTAAATCTGAGGGACTCGGACTATGCCACGGCAAACCCCCCCCCCCCTCCAACACACACACACACACACAAAAACAAGCATGCAGGGGCAACACGGGCATGGGGCGCAATCGGAGTGATAAAGTGCTGACATACATGCGAGCAAGCCATCTCAGGGATGGTGGTCTTCCACAGCTCGTCCGTACTTGCATCTTGGGATAGGATGTGCCGGGTGTTGGTGCTATAGTGGTGCATCAGGCGTAGGCTCAGCATCCAATCTTCCGAAAGGTCCCAGGGATCCGCAACAGCCAATGGGCTGGGCGGATCGGGCGCCGACTCTGGATGGTACGGGGATGACGTGCTGTTCACTTGTAACGAGTGTCAGCCGGCCACGCATTATTACGGTACCTTGCCCTCACCCCTTCTCCGGAAATGTTGCCTCTGGGCCAGGACATGGAAGAGGGTGTGCATACCTGCTGTCGGAGTGATGCTCGCTTCACTCGCTGCCCCCTGAACGCCATACGCCGGGCGAACAGGGGTAGATTCCGGAGGCTTCGAGGGTGCAAGTGGAGTGGCTGGCACCGTCACTGGTGGTGAGGGATGATCGAGGAGGCTGCAGTGGGCGCCGTGGCCCAGGCACTTTTGACAAGGCCGTCCCTCGTCGCACTGCGGGCGGTCCCGAGACGTGAGTTTGGGGAGTACAGCGTCATGATGCGGTCGTGGGGCCTTCGTACCTTGACACGGCGGTCTTTGCACCGCTGGCACCCGTTCCTCGACTTCTTGTGGCCGAGACGCCGGGTACGCTTTTCCATGATGCTAACACGGAGCAAAGGAAAAAAAAGGGGGGGACTCCGCTCTCTTTCGTTCCCCCTGGCTTGTCTTGGCTTAGCTTGGAACTGAGGTTCTTCTCTTCGCGGTGGATAGCAGGAAGCGGTTTCGGTTTCGTATGGCAGAGGGCTTGAAGGATGAAAAGAGAGGAAGAGGAGGAGAGCCGAGGACAATTGGGATACGAAGCACCAGTGACGTAAGACCCAGCGACGGGTACCGCAAAGTCCGTGAATCGCCGAACACGAGCATGACGGGAGGAGACCCCCTGCCGCTAGCTCTGGCCAATCGGCCGCCAGCTCCCATACAACCGTGTATGATCTGAGATTCCACTCTACAACTTTTCTCACTAACATCTCAATTTGCTTTAATTCATACAGAGGCTCTACCAAAAGTTATAGAGATAAGCTGTTAATAGGACTGCTTAGGGTAGAGATTAGGGTCTGGTTTAGGATTTAGGTTAGGATCAGAAATAGGGTTAGGAGTCGAGGATGTGAATTGCGAGGATTGATATGTTTGTGAGTTACGGCAGATCACCCGGCCTTTTTTTTAAGCATGAATAAGCCGCGCGCCAAGAATACGAATGCGACGGCGTTTTGACATCTTCCCGGCTAGTGTGCAGGGGCCTCCCACACGAAACCGGTATGTATTTTAGATCTCGGCCAATGAGCATATATTCTTGTATCCGAAAAGCCGTTTGAATAAGAAGAACCGCTACTTGTCTCTGGCGAACGACTCACGTCTTGGCGAGTCCCACGCAGTCAGTTTCTTGGAGTTTCGGAATGAGTGGCACCCGATCCCTCGCACAAGGTATCATCAAAAGTGATACAAGGAACCCGAGGTGTCTCCGTTATTGTGATTCAAGTAGTAAAAAAAAAAAAAAATTTAAAAAATTTTATGGGTGTCCTCAGTAGACGGAGGATACCTGGGACCAGGGCTCTTTGCCCGCCCCCCGTCCGGGACCACGACGCAACTTAGATAGAACGAGACTCGACGACGGTCGATGAAGAAGAAAAGGAAGAGGCCTTTGCAAGTCTCACGCCCGCGCTTCTCCTACAAAGTACGAGACAGCTCGTCGCTTTTACTGGTGTAACCGGCCGTCGTCCCCGTCCTGGACGGCATCACGCAAATATGATGCTGCTTCTGGACACCTATTTCTCTGTAGACCATTAAACGCCAAAGTTCTTTTTGTTTACCCTACTCGATCCCGTGTTGTTCGTTCCATTCGATGCAATCATCTTCCCCAAGTCCCGCAAACGCCCTTGCCAGTGAAAAAAAAAAAAAAAAATTGAAAAAGAAAAATGGAACCCGAACCCCTACCAATCCGGCGCGCTCCCGCACCCGCCGCCGCCGCCGCCGACCAGGAGCTGCGCCGGTTTCTGCATCTTAAGTGGGGCCATCGGCCGGACCCCGGGCTTCTTGGCGCGGTGGCCCTTGAAGTTGATCTTCTTGTCGAGCCCCTCGAACGGCGACGCGCCCGCCTCGCCCTTGCGCACCTTCCACCGCGCCGTCCCCAGCGCCGCGTCCAGCTCCTCGACCGGCGGCAGCCGCAGATACACCAGCCCGTCCGCCCGCTCCTCGGCGTCGAACGTCGCGATGCTCAGCTCCCCGTCGTTGCTGCAGCTGCCGTCCGCCAGGTCGAAGTTGCGCTTGTGGTACGGGCACGACACCCACGGCGCCGACCGCCGCCCCGCGTCGTTGCCGCCGCCACCGCCGTTGGCGCTGCCGCACCCCGAGTCGGGCTTCTTGGCGTCGTCGCACGTCTCGGCGCCGGCTAGCGCCTCGCCAATCAGCCCGTCCGACAGCGCGAACTGCCGCTTGTGCGGGCACATCTGCTGCGTCGCGTAGTACCGCCCGCGGACGCGCCACACCGCCAGCTGCGTGTCGCCGCGCTTGACCGTCGCCGAGATGCCGCTGGGCGTCTCGTCGGCGCCCGCGAAGTGATCGGCCGGCAGCACGGGCTGCCACGCCGTGCTCGTCCACCGGCCCGCGAGGCCCTTGAAGTCCTCCTTGGCCGCGTCCGGCGCCCAGTACACGGGCCGGGCCTGGCCGCGCTCGACCTCGACCTCCATGTTCTCGACCGCCTCGTCCGTGTTGTCGAACTGCCGGAACTTGGCCGCGATGGCCGGGTTCTTGATGGCCTCGGCCCACTCGTCGAAGAAGCTGTCGACGAGCTCCTGCATCTGCGCCTCGAGCGACGCGCAGATGCCCAGCTTGTCCTCGAGCACCACCTCCTGGAGGTACTTGAGCCCGCCCGGCAGGTTCTCGAGCCAGCGCGCCGTCCGCTGCAGCTTGTCGGCCGTGCGGATGTAGAACATCAGGTACCGGTCGAGGATGGGGATGACCTCGGTCGGGGGCACGTCCTTGGCGAGCAGCTCCGAGTGCTTGGGCTTGGCGCCGCCGTTGCCAGCCACGAAGATGTTGAAGCCCTTGTCGGTGGCGATGAGACCGAAGCTGAGACCGGGTTAGTCTTTTGTCTCTCTCTCTCTCTCTCTCTCTCTCTCTCTCTCTCTCTCTCTCTCTCTCTCTCTTTCTCTCTCTTTCTCTCTCTCTTTCTTTCGTGTGTGTTGGGGGGGGAGGGGAGAAGGGGGAAGAATCACTCACTCCTTATTCTGGGCCTCGGCGCACTCGCGGACGCAGCCGCTGACGCCACCCTTGATCTTGTGCGGCGCGCGGATGCTCTTGTACCGCTCCTCCAGCCGCACCGCCATGCCGACGCTGTCGCCGACGCCGTAGCGGCACCACGTCGTGCCGACGCAGCTCTTGACCGTCCGCAGCGACTTTGCGTACGCGTGCCCCGACTCCATGCCGGCGTCGATCAGCGTGCGCCAGATGTCGAGCAGGTCCTGCTTCCGGGCGCCGAACATGTCGATGCGCTGCCCGCCCGTGATCTTTGTGTAGAGGTTGTACTTGGCCGCCACGTTGCCGATGGCGATGAGCTTGTCCGGCGTGATCTCGCCGGCCGACACGCGCGGGATGACGCTGTAGGTGCCGTTGCGCTGGATGTTGCCGAGGAAGCGGTCGTTGGTCTCCTGCAGGCCGTGTACGGGCCGGTCCATGACGTGGCGGTTCCACAGGGACGCGAAGATGCTGGCGACGGCGGGCTTGCAGGCCTCGCAGCCGAGCGAGTCCGGGTCGTTGCCGGCCTCGCGCATGACCTCGCCGAGCGTCTGCAGCTTCTTGACGAGGATGATGCTGTACAGGTCGGCGCGCGAGTAGTTGAAGTGGGCGCAGAGGTGGTTCTTGACCTCGTTGCCCATGGACAGCATCGTCCTGTTGAAGATGGTCGTCACCAGCGGCATGCAGCCGCCGCAGCCGGTGCCGGCCTTGGTGCAGGACTTGACCTCGCCGAGCGTCTTGCAGGAGCCGTCCTTGACCGAGTTGGCGACGTCGCCCTTGGTCACGTTGTGGCACGAGCAGATCTGGACGTCGTCCGTCAGGTCGTCCCCGTCGTCCTCGACCTCCTTGTTGGCGCCGAGGATGAGCTGGCTGGGGGGCACGTCCAGCTCCTTCATGTCCTTGACGACGGGCACCAGCTTGATGAAGTCCTTGGTGTCGCCGATCATCATGCCGCCCAGCAGGTACTTGCCGTCCTCGGTGAAGATGTACTTCTTGTACACGTTCTGGAACGGGTCGCGGTACGTGAGCGCCTTGACGGGGGCCGGCGGCAGGCCGTTGGTCAACGTCTCGAGCGCGCTCCGCTCGTCGCCCTTCTTGGCCTTGCGGGCCGCCTTGGGGGGCAGGTACTGCGGGCCGTCGCGGTCGGCGAAGAAGTCGCCGAAGCTGGCGACGTTGACGCCCATGAGCTTCAGCTTGGTGCTGAGGTCGGGCCTCTTGAAGGCCCGCGGCTGGTGCAGCTTGGCCTGTGTGAGGTTGAAGGAGAGGACGTCGGCCATCTCGACGCCGGGGGCGATGAGGCCAAAGGTCTGGCCCTGCCAGCTGGCGCACTCGCCGATGGCGTAAATGTCCGGGACGCTGGTGCTCAGGTCGTCGGCGACGACGATGCCGCCGCCGCGGTCGGCGCACTTGATGCCGGCCCTCCGGGCGAGGTCGTCGCGCGGGCGCACGCCGATGGCGAAGCAGATGGTCGAGCAGTCCATGCGCTCGCCGTCCTCGAAGACGACGCCCCTGACGTGATTGTCTCCCGTCACCTCGATCCGGCCCACTCGCTTGCTGAGGAGCACGTCGAGGCCGAGATCCGTGACCTGGCCCACGACCATGGAGCCGGCGTCGCTGTCGAGCTGTCGACTCAGCACCCAGCGGTTTCTCTCAATCAGCTTGACCTTGTCGAAGCAGTTCAGGTCCATCATGGCCTTGGCCGCTTCGAGACCGAGGAGACCGCCGCCGACGACTGCGCCCACGGTGCCTTTTCGCTGCGCGGCGAAGGCGATGAGGCTGATTAGGTCATCAATCGTGCGGTATACGAATACGCCCTTTGCGTCATGTCCCGGGGTGTGTTTAGGGAGTACGGCATCTGAGCCGGTGGAGATGACGAGCATGTCGTAGGGCACGACCTCGCCGTTTGAGCACGTCACCGTCTTTGCCTGGGAGTCTATGCCTGTGACCTTGGTATTGACGTGGTAACCCAATGAGCCTTGGGGCGTGCTGTGGTACTACTCCTCGGATCAGTGATGAGCGACGTCGCAGGAGGGGGCGAGGGGGCACTGCACATACCCATTCTTCAGGGTTGAGATACAGATTCTCTACTTTGCGGTGGTCGAAGAAGCTCGTCAGACCGACGCGGTTGTAGGCCAGGTGAGGCTCCTCTCCGAGGACCGTTATGGTGTACTCGTTTGCGCGGGCATCCAGCTTTAGCATCTTCTCACTTGATTAAAAAAAAAAAGTCAGTCAGTCGACCGGTCGGTCCAGTCGCGCGGCTCCAGGGCCCCCTTCTTCGCCAACACTCACATGAAGGCGATGCCAACCATGCCCAGGCCGACAACGACAAGTCTCTTCCGTTGCGCCATCTGGAAGACGCCAAACGCTGTAATAGATGCGAAAGACGACCAAGGGGTATAGCTGCAAGGCCGAAACACAGATTAGAACACCAAAGGAGAAGGAAGAGGAAAGAAAAGAAGAAGAAGAAAAAGAAGAAGAAGGAGAAGAGAAAGGATCAGGACTTCCTCAATAGACTAGCAGTTGTTATCCAAGCCAACGAGCCGCCCCCGTGGAATAAAAGACACATCGCCTATCCCTCGGCGCACAATGAAGTCAGTCAGTCAGTCAGTCCAAGATTGATTGTTCCGCTGGGAACAGCATCTCCGGCGAGATGGGCCACGCTCACCCCAGACCCCAGGGGTCACGGGTACTGATTGGCCACGAAGGGCAGAGAGACAACGGCGGCCCAGCATCTGAAAGGTGCATTTCCACGGCTGGCTTCAGACTTTCTGGTGGCCCGGGCCACGGCTTGCATTGCCTGGGGGGAAAGGTAAGAAAGTGTGGTGGCATGGACGGACTTGTCGAGATTGATTGATCGCAGACGATGAATGGGTTACTATCGGATGATAAGGCAGGCCAGGGAGCCAATCAGAGACGCAGAACCACGCTCCGCAGCGGGCGGCTCTGGTTGCGCCCGCGGAGAAAGACACCTCGGGGAGCCCTCCCTCCATTAGGTATCATGGCGCTCTTACAAATGCCGTGGTCTTCATGACGCTCATGACTGAGACCGCGCGCGAATGAGGGTCCAGGGTATGTGCTTGTGTGGTGCGTGGGGAGACAGGATGTCTAGACTTGTCTTGTTTTCTTCCTTCTCCTAGGAGAAGGAGAAAACGTCCCAATGCGCCTGTGGCAATAATAATCAGGTGGTGTACGTCCGTTAGGTCCATGTATATACATACATACATACGTATACGCCGTTTGCCCTGATAACACACAGATAAGCGCAAGTTTAGGTACCGGTATTTGCTTGATCTCGGCGGTACTTGATTGGACAAAGCCACTTGCCGATATCTACTAGTAGTGTAGCCATGACATACCACCGCCTGCGCAGTAGTGTACACAAGATAGCTACGTAGATGCATTATATCTCTGCATATTCCAGGTCTGCGGTTGCCAACACGTTGGCGCAGGCATATGGATAGATGCTCGTCACACCACATGGCGGGGCAGGTTGGATCTGCTCCCGGTTCGCCGTGGCGAAGGTCTGGCTCTGCGTCTGATTGTTTCTGAAACCGTCTGTCTCGAGAAAGATGTCACGACTTTTTCAACATCAGACCATCGTAAGGCGAACCGAACCGCATGAGCAATCGGAATCAGACCCGCGGCAGCGGCACGCTGGCAGAACCAGCAACCCCCCCCCCCCCCCCCCAATCCTTTATGTGAGAGCGTCGACTCGGAAAACTACCTCGTGAACGGCTCGGGTCATTGCCACCTGGCACCCGGGGCCGATGTCCTGTCCCGTACTGGCATGGCGTAGCATGGCACCGACGACTCTTGAGACGGGTTCGTTATGTCATTGTCATTATTCTTCATCTCGGCTTCTGGGAAGGGGTTCTTTTATTTTATTTTTTCTTTTATTTTTCCAGGACTGTCGAGGCTTTCCAGAGTCCGCCGTTCCCGACGCGGCCCGTCAGCCTCGGGGTATCTATGGCCGGCACTACCTTACTGTACAGTTGCATGTTTGCATAGTATACACATGGGAAGGGACGTCGACGTGCTGCTTCGTCACGCCGCGCGTCTCACGCCGAAGAAGTAGTTGCCGACCTTCTCGCCGCCCTTGACCTCCCTCCAGCCCAGCCCGGGCACGTAGGCGACGCCGACGATGCGAGGCATCTCCCATCCCTTGCCGATGAACATGCCCCGGAGCTCGTTGGCGTTGATGTATTTGCGCCAGTCGTGCGTCCCCTTGGGCACGATGCCGAGCACGTCCTCGGCAATCAGGTTCGTTGTGAACCAGCTCACCCACGTGCGCGCGATGGTGCTCCCGACGAGCCACCCGCCGGGCCGGACGAATGGCGCGCACCTGTCGAGGAACCCGGCGGGCGACTCGACGTGCTCGACGACCTCGAACACGGAGACGACGTCGTACCGGTCCGCGGGCGTTGCCGGCACGGGCAGCGTCTCGATCGTGGCTGCGCGGTATTCCAGCTTGCCCCTCAGGGCGGGGTCGCGCCGGGCGTGGGCCTTGGCAATGGCGAGGACCCCGGGCGTCGGATCAATGGCGGTCACGGCGGTGGTGTCGGGGAGGCGCGCGGCGCTCTCGGCGAAGATGCCGCCGCCGCAGCCGACGTCGAGAAAGCGGGCGGGCGTGGCGGGAGCGTCGGGCTGGCTGGCAAGGCAGTCGCGGATGAAGGTGTGCCGGAGCGGGTTCATCAGGTGCAGCAGGCGAGAGGAGCCGTGGGGGTCCCACCAGTCGGCGGCAAGGGCGTTGAAGTGCTCGACCTCATCAGGGGAGACGGAAGAGAATGTCGAGTTCTGACGGCAGGCGGGTACCGTCCGGAGCAGCGGCGTCGCGACGGCGACCGCGCCCGATGTCTGACGGGCTAGTAGACGGGTGGTCGTCCGCCGAAATGCGCGCAGCAGAGCGGCTGTCGCCGGGCGAGAAGGTGCCATGGCGATTGTGTATCGTGGAGTGCTGGGAAGGTGGGTGGGTGTAAGAGGACTCGGAATCCTGAGCCAGGGGGGAGAAAAGCTGATGACAAAGCAAGGCCATGCGGTTGTTGCGATTTGGAGAAATTGGAGATTCGGTCGACCTCGGCACTGTTACCGACCGTCAACCGTCAGTGCACGCACGCACCCTGTCGTGGGCCCTCCACATGTTGATAGGTGGGAGGCAGGTATCAAGGTACCTATCCAGCTGGGTACGTACCGCGTGCGCATTCAAGAACGGGATTCTCATGAGACCAGCAAAAACATTGGGTTCGCAATCCCCTGCTGCAGAAGAAGAACAAGAAGCCGGGCCACCTAAGACCCTCTTAAGGGGATAGTGGTACGATGCAGTAGCCGCTGAGAACCATCAAAGTCAAAAAGAGGTAGTTTACATAAGGAAAAGGAAACGGGGCCGCGCGGGAGTGTTTGTCAGCGTCAGTAATCGCCCTACGGTAGTTACCTACCCAGGGACCTACCTACCTTCGCAATCATGGCATTGGCCAATGGTGATGGACGAGCTTCGCGTGAGCGAGAACGGCTTAGATAATCTACGCCCCACCAACCGCCGCCGCGTCGGGCTGGGCCGACTCGCATCTGAAAAGTGCACCGTATGCCGACGCCCCGGGGGGAGAGGGGAGCATGAGTCAACTAACAATTTGGCCGAGCGATCCTCGGGATGTTTCCTCGTCCTCTCGTTGACGACATTTGGACGATTCCTCACGTACATTACTACCATCCCATTTATAGCCGACCCAGCACGCATCAGCATCAGCTCTCTCCCTCTTGCACCTTTACGAGAGAAAAGAAAGAAGAAAAAAAAGAAAAAAAAAAGGAGGAAACGTTGCGACCAAGACCGGTAAAAAATCTTACCTAGTTTAGGTACTTTGACATCCATCCTATCCCCGGCATCATACCAGATCCAGACTCAGATCCGGATTCGGCCCAGAAAAAATTCCCCATCCATCAACCACCATCGCCTTTTTTTCTTTCTTTTTTTCTTCGCCCCTCTCCGCCTCGGCCGGCCCTCGCGTTGATCAAACCCCCTGGCGTAGCGCACAGCACCAGCAACGCCATCCCGTCGACCCCTCCCCCGCCAGTGCCCCCCCCCACCACAGTCATCACCTTCGCCGACGAACCTTCAACCTCAGCTCACCAACTCCCACTCCTCCTCCGTCCGTACGCCCGCTTCGTACACGCTCGCTCTCTCCCCCTCCCTCTCCAACCCCCCCGAAACACAGCCGCAGTCATGCCTTCCTCAACAATAGATCAGTCCAAGTTTGACTCCATCCCGGACGCCATTGAGGCATTCCGTAAGTCCCGATCCCGAACCCCGCGAGCGAGCCGCTTCGCGCTCTGCCGCCAATCGATGCCCCCTCGCGCGCGCGTGCGAGACAGACGAACCACTACAACCTCTCCCCCTCCAGAGTCGATCATGAAAACTGACCATCCATCTCTCCCCCAAGGCAACGGCGAGTTCCTCGTCGTCCTCGACGACCCCTCGCGCGAGAACGAGGCCGACCTCATCATCGCCGCCGACGCCCTGACGACGGCCCAGATGGCCTTCATGGTCCGCCACTCGTCCGGCTACGTCTGCGCCCCGCTCGCCCCCGCCCTCCTCGACCGCCTCGCCCTCCCGCCCATGGTCGCCGCCAACGAGGACCCCCGCGGCACCGCCTACGCCGTCTCCGTCGACGCCGCCGACCCCGCCGTCACCACCGGCATCTCCGCCCACGACCGCGCCCTCACCTGCCGCGCCCTCGCCGACCCCCGATCCCGCCCCGCCGACTTCCGCCGACCCGGTCACGTCCTCCCCCTCCGCGCCCGCCCCGGCGGCGTCCGCGAGCGCCCCGGCCACACCGAGGCCGCCGTCGACCTGTGCCGCCTCGCCGGCAAGCCCGAGGCCGCCGCCATCTGCGAGCTCGTCGACGATGGTCGCCCCGTCGACGGCGCCGCCCTCCACGAGGACGCCGGCATGATGCGCGGCGAGCAGTGCATCGACTTTGCCCGCCGTTTCGGCCTCAAGGTCTGCACCATTGCCGACCTCGTCGCCTATCTCGAGAAGACCGAGGGCAAGCTGGCCGTCAACGGGTCGTCGTGAGGGGCAGGTGAGAGAGAGAGGGGGGGGAGACAGAAAGACATTGAGAGAGCGCGAGAAAGAGAGGGATACACGGAGAGGGAGACGATGATGGGGGTAAGGGTTTCCTGGCTTTTCAAGGTTGCGGTGCTCGAAAATGGCACCCCAGCAGAGGGCAACGGGGCGTCTCATTGTCGTTATATACGTTATATATTCATGGATATCGAGCACGGGTCACTAAAAGAAAAAAGAGAAAGAAATTGGGCGCTTGGGTTCTTTTTTTTTTTTTTTTTCTTCGAATAAAAGAGGCAGACAAAACAGACAGAGAGAGAGAGAGAGAGAGAGAGAGAGAGAGAGAGAGAGAGAGAGAGAGAGAGAGAGAGAAAGGATGTTCATCACATATCTGCCTGCTTTCCGCCTCATCTTCGATACATCTCCGGGTCTTGAGGAGGTAAACCAACCTACTTGCCGGGTGCAAATTAACCAGGAAGAAGCCCAACCTTTTTCTTATTTTATTGTTTGTAATACTCGGTTGGTCAATGGAGCCCGACTCTCTACTTGGATGAACATGGAAGAAATGGGACACTATTCGGAGCAATATGGCAGAGTGGCGTGAAGGAGTTCATCAAGCATCCCATCCGTATCTGGGCCTCCTCCCCCTTTCCCACACCTCCCCCCACGTCTGCACCATCGAACACGCCATCACCCGCGCCCATCCGCAACAGACCTCGGACCCGCGTGCCCAGAAAGACAAGTGTAGCTTATCAGGCGCCACCGAGGCCAGTGTCTAGCGTAGTTGCCCTTTGGTATATCCGAGACAAGCTCACGCAAACATTGAGCTCGTGGCCGTGGCGCTAGCACAATTGGATCATCTTAACTTGTTCTTGCTTTCTTTCTTTTTTCTTTCTCTTTGGAGCTGAGACGGTAGACATCGTTACCCACCCCTCCAAGGTTCAGTCAAGAGACAACCGGTCGACGTGGTAACAGTCTTTCCCCCTTTGCATAGCAAAAAGGTTTGTGAGCAATTCATCGAGAGGTGTGGCGAATATCCAATGGTTTTCACGAGGCACCGCCTTGTGTCTGTACCTCTGTATCCTATGGCCTTCCCGCATGCCATGCTCGCCCCTTTGTGTGAGGTCTACAAATAAACCCCTCCTCGGGGCCGTGTTAAACGAGTCAATGTCATGTCTTCGAGTCTTTTTCCGACTAAACAACGCACATTGGCCTCGGGCAATGATCGAATTCTCTCAATTTGGTGCTCCTAAACCCATACATGGGCGATATGTTTCTCTTTTCTTTTCAGAGGGCCAACTGTTCAGACACCGACGCTACAAGGACTCGTCGGCTTCGCCATATAGGCAAACCACTTCCCTCCTGTTCTCAAACACGCGGACGGATGCCTACTGCTTCTCATCCTCCCTGATCCATTCACCGAGGTCGCCCTCGGTGCTATACGTCGCGTTGGCCACCTGGCCGCCAGCCTTGCGGTCCCAGCCCCAGATGGCGGCGTACTGGGGCTCCAGCTCGCCGTACAGCATCTGGACGACGTACTTGCCGATGACGGGAAAGAACTTCCAGCCGTGGAAGGAGCCGCCGGTCGCGATGAAGAGATGCCTGCATTGCGAGTGGGGGGTGATGAGGAAATCGTGCTCAGGCGTCGTCGTGTCCCTGGGGGGGCGCACGCTGTGTTAGTCAAAGACGTGCCGAGACTCCGTGGTCAATACGCCCTGGGGCGCGCAACGATGACACTCACCAGCAGATTCGGTACTTGTCGATCGTCCTCCCCTCCATCTCATCTCCGTACAGGCCTTTGAGGGTCTTGTAGGCCCGGTTCTTCAAATGACGGGGAATGTGCTCCTCGGTTGTCCACTCGGTAAGGTGGGGGTCCGTGGGTGCTAAAGACATGGTGGTGCCGGTAGGGGTGTGGAACTGGCTGTACAAGAAGGCCATGTCACAGTTGAACTTGAGTGTGCCGTCCGGTGTCATTGACATGGACTCGCCTGTCGTCGTCAGTGCCTGTCTCTCTTCAACAGAGCGAGCCATTGGGTTGGCTTACCTTTGACCGATGGCAGGGTGTTCTTGAGGACGGGGATGCCCCTGAACTTGTCCTTTTGGTCCCCTTCAGCCTTGAGGGTGAAGCTGACGGCGCCGGTGGCGGCCAGTCTGTGAGCGGCGTGTATTTCTTTCCGTTCAGGGGCACTCTCGGCGAGCAGGGCGGCGGTACGGGCACCGGTACAGAGCACAACGGTGCCGTTCAGCTCGTCGCCGTTGCCCAGCCTGACGCCCGTGCACCCGCCGGCGGTGTCGAACAGCAAGGTGGTGACCTCGCCGACCACGAGGGTCGCTCCGGCATTGACGACATGCTGACGAACGGCTTCGAGAGAGTCGGCAGCGTCAACCCAGCCGCAGTTGGGGTTGTACCTGACGCGGTCAAGCCCCTCAAAGTCGGTCGTGGCGAAAGCAGGCCATGCAGCTCGCACCTTGTCGGGGGCCATCCAGGTGGCTCCGGATTCGTGACCGAGACTGCGATGCGTACTCTGGGCCTTTTCGTTGTGGCTGCCAGGGTCCGCACGAAGCACGCCGACCTCATGGTAAAAGTCCTTGAAGAGGCCATCGGTTCTCCAATGGTTCATAGCCTCTATGGCCAAGGGCGCGTAGGACATGTTTGGATAGTCATCTCTCAGGATCTTGGAAATGTCATGAGAGGCGGCTTTGGGGTTGGAGAACTCGGTATGGTCAACGAGGATGATGGCGCCATCGGGGTGACGGGCGAGCAGCCAAAGGACGGTCGACAAGCCAAAAACGCCGCTGCCAACGATGATGAAGGCCTTGGGTTTGGCATTGCTAGATTCAACGAGAGTGGAGTGCTGTGACTGAGCCATTGTGTATCTGCGATGCTCCCAAGTCCGAAAGCTGCTGCTTTTGATTGTCCGAGCAGCACCTCACATGTCAAGGGCGGGAATTGAGTCTTATATAGACGGAAGGCCAGCGGTATCTTGGACCGTCGGTTGGAGTACCTAGATTTGCTGTCGTTGGGAAATACTAGAAAGTAGGTACTCAAGGGTAATGCGTCGACCCGGTCCCTTCCCTTGGCCAAGACCCGTCGCCCTTCGTCCGAATACCCAGCATCAAGCCAGTTTGGAGATGTCGAGATACATACAACCAACCGAAATAGAGGTGCTTCCTGCAAACCTTGTCGTCATCATGTAAGCCAGATGGCAGGGGCCCCGAGGCTGGACCGTTGACGATGGAGAGACTCTGCATGTACGGCAGGAAGAAAGACGGCGGGGTTTACCCGGTCGTTTTGAGAGAAGCACGCAGCAGCAGGCCGAATTAGACTTGGTTAGTTCCCGTAGGGATGATTTGCTATCTGGCCAGGTTCTGTAAACCGGAGGATTTCCGGCAGGTAGTTAGGTTGGCAGTCAGGTGATGCAACATGACCTGTCAAGTGCGTTGTGCTGTGGTGGATGTTGAAGCTGCGGCGGTCGATGACAAGGGGGAGGGGGGGTTGTGCGCAATAATGAAGCCGTCATCATTTGGGATTTTGATCGACTCAGTCGATGACAGGGGGAAGATCTGCGCTGCAGGTCTTCGCATTTGCATTCGAAAGGTTGTCGCCGCCCATGTTGTTGGAACAGAACAAGGGGGTATCGCCATTTGGAGTTTTGGACCGGCTTTCTGGAGTGGCCTGGATTAGGTAGTTGCATGACACATGATTTATAGAAAAAGAAAAAAAGAAAAAAAGAGAGGGAAAAAGAAACATTCCCCCGAACACTGTATAGCCTACGACCATAGAGGCCATTAGTCCAACTACTTTACAGCAATCATGCAAGCGTAAGGTAGTTCAACAGAAATTCTCACATAATCCAAATTAGATTGACCATAGGCTTTTTACGCTCCCAACAAGTCATTCATCCCCCCCCTTTTGCATCCCATATGGGTAGGTACTGAGTCTACCTACCTCATTGTTGTTAGTTGGTTAGTCCCTTGCCCCACCCAGTATGTTAAAAGTGTGCGGAGTTTTCTGTCAGTGCATTCGGCCAACCGAGATACGTACTGGCTCCCATGCCGCTCTGGTTGGTTCGGATTTCTGTCCGGGGAGCCAACCACGACCCCTGTATTGTTCAGCGGCTCTCTGATTTGGGTGCCTCGTTCCCATGGTATTGTGTTTCTTCTAGACCTATGAGTATTGGGAATGATACTTGTTATACTGCGTTTTTCAGACGGTGTTAAGAGTACTACTGTATGCCTACCTGTGTGACCTTAAGAGGGATACGTACCTGAGTCGTCTACCTACATAGGTACGTACGTGCCTCAGTCTCAGTCAAAAGTACCTACGGTACTGTAAAACTCCGTGTCAGGTAAAGATGGCTGTGCATGCTCGATTACCTCAGCGAGAAATTCTTGTGCATTTCCGGCACAAATCAGGCCAGTGAGAGTCTCGACGTACGTGGGTCACATCTCCACACTACCTGTTAGGGACTTTTTACTTATATCGGACCAGGCAATGGGTGGGTCAACTAGCGTTCTTTCCTCAGTAAGGATACCGTAGACTTATATGCTTGGCCTCCTCCAACAGGAGATGAGATTGGCACCTGATACCTTGGTTCTTGATTTCTTTATTTATTTATTTTAAAAAGAAGAAAAAAAAAAGGAAATAAGCTACTTATCTCTGGCCCTGCCGCCTTACAGACACAAAACACCAGGGCAGATGCGGAACGGACGCGTATCCCGGCTGATACAAATGACTTGACCCCAGCGGGAGGGCGTTGCGATAACGGCCTTGTAACGCGCAGGGTAGCCGGAAGGGCCACCAAGAAACCCCTTCGGCCGACACGCCCTTTTCCGGAAAATGTGCCCGTTCGTCTGACCCTTCGGGCTCTCACGCACAGGCAGGTATCGGTCGCTCATCGACATGTCTCCAACACCACCGCCGCCGCCGCCGCCCCCCGATCTGCTCTCTTGCTTGTGTCCCGTTGCTGAAATTTGCAACGACCAACGAACATCCTCCGAGGCTGCTGCAAGCGCAGAAATATCCCTGTTGGAAGTTGTGAATTCTGCCTCTCAAGGGAGGGGGGGGGCTTGGGACGTCTACAGGAGCACCATTTCGCACTTACTTCAGTGTGGGGCCGGAGGATGGCGGAGGGGGGCCGGATGGAGGGGGTGGGGCAGGGTTTATTCCTTGCTCGACCAGTCTGCGGAGATCGGGCCACGAGGTCCGATTGCAGTGGCTCTGGAGGTTGCCGGAATATCCATTAGGCTACGTACTTGGTAATATTGATGGCCCTCCGCCTGGGAACCTGCAGGTTCAGTGTTCGACGCGTTGTCCATACACTGATGCCCGCGGCGAAACTTTCCAAAAATGACAGATACTTCAGATGAGATGCGATGGGTAGATAGAATAGCGAGTTGGTGCTGGCCCGGTTTCAGCTCGACATGCCACTCGTTATATCTGCGTGCAGGCGGCACGACAAGGTAGTTGCTCGTGTCCCCGACATGACATTAGCAGCCTACAGGAAGCGGGCCATCTACTACGTAGTCCGTCAATCGGCACCGCCGAAACATTTCCTTCGCCAGCTATTTTCTACTTTCTTTTTCCGGCCTTGTAACGGATCAAGATGCACAGTGACTATTTGTTTGCTTCAACAAGTCATTATTCGGCACACAACTGTGTGGACTCCCGCTGCTTCGTTTCTCGTACCATCATGACCGCCTGTGCCTTCTTTTTCGCCGACTTCAAGTCTGCCCCTCTACCCTCATGCAAAATGAACCCATGGCCCTGCCCCCAGATTCTTCATGTCCACCCTATCACTTCATCCAAGATGGGTATAACGCGCAGCATGCCCAGACTTGGCAAAAACCATACCAGAGAGATAGCGAGGGAAAAAAAAAGGGAAAAAAAAAAAAAAAACACCGCCGGACCCTTGTCGACGGTGAGAGATGGTGATACAATGTGCCAACCCAACGCCTTACAACGCTTAACCCACGTGCCCCAAGCCGACCGGGGGGGGGGGTCAAAAACCGCTTGGAAATGATCAACAAAGTGGCGCAAGAGAAAGTCGTGTCATCTTCCCCGGTTGCAGTCCAGTCCTGTGTTCCATTAAACGCGGCGCTACCTCCGGGGCACGGGCAAAGCCAACGGCTGATCGTGCTTCACATTCGCCTGGTGTCGAACTAGCTGGTCTTTCCTCGCAAACCCGTCCTTGTTAGGACACCCGGGTAACATACACTTGTGCGGTTTGGAGTGCTTCTGCAAGTGTTGCCTGTCGTCTTTATTAGCGTGGAATCTCGACAAGTGGCAGATGGCGCCATTACCTGTACATGCAGTTGCGGTAGAAGATCTTGGGTCCCCCCTTGTGATCTTGGCCTCCCTTTTGGCACGTCTGCCAATGGGGGCAGATGTAATGGCCTTTTCCTCTGTGCCTTAAAGAGTCCATGTCTACATTGGCGCCTGTTCTTACGCCTTCTATGCTGTCGTCGCCCATCATTGTGTCGTCGTCCACATCATCATCATCGTCGTCACCTTCTCGCGGTGAGTCGGGGGTGGGTGAGCGATGGTATCGGTCAGACTGGCGGTACGTATGTGAGCCATCCGACATGGACGCTTGTGATGTGACTGCAGAGAAAACCGCCCCAGACGACGATGCCGAATAGGAAAAGGAGGACCTGGAGCTCGATTCCGAGAAGAAGGTCTGATGGCCGGGTTCTGAGGCGCGCTTTTCTTGGGCGGGAGAGGCGCATTCCCTGATGCTCTTTAGGGTAGCCGCGTTGGTGTCGACGGCTTCCTTCATGCTCCTGGGTCCGATGTCAGCAACTGGGAGACCCTGAAATGGCGGATCTGAGCAAACCTGAGCATTTTGCGCTTCTTCGTATGGAACTCGAGGATGCCCATGTCATTAAACCCATTGGCGCGATAGGCCTGATCGACAATGTTGTGGCCCGTCGAGTTCAAGCGTTCCTCGTGCAGAAGCTCGTCGGTAAAGTTTTTGTACAATACTTCGGTGATGTGGACGAGAACATCACTGAAGTATGCTAGTGCGCCTTCCTTGGGATTTTGTTTCGGCAGCGTCCTGTCGCAGTTGGCATATGCCTTGCTGAGGATCTTGCGGACCTCAGCCTCTTGATCGACTGATCCCTCGGGATTCAGTAGCGAATTGATCTTGAACGACATGACGAGCAGAACAGGAAGCTGGACGCATAACACCGTGCTGGATGGCTCTACGATTTCCGCAAAACGTGACGCGAAGAGTCTGAAGCGGTGGCAGGTCGAATGGATTGCGAGGACGTTGCCCAGATCGAGTACAAGTGCGGGAACCGAAAAATGGCACGGAGATGGCAGAACGGCCGTACAGTTCTCTAGAGACGACGTCGAAACGTTCCAAGTGGGTCGTTGAAGAGGGAGGCAAACGTCCCGGTGTAATCCAGGCCAGAGAACATGTAGAATGGATCAAGAGGCAGAAAGCGAAGCGATGGGATTGGCGTTGGTGAATCTAGAGAGTTTTTTGCAAGGACAAGAGGAGTCCTGGTCATAACTCAATAAAGAGGATATGACTTGGGCAAGGGGGAGGAGGAAGATGGAGACAGGTGGAGAGGGCGTTGACTTTGAACGAGGTGACGGGAAAAGAGAAAAGAGATAAGACTCCGGGACGCGAGCGATGGCGGAACAAGGCAGAGGGGCCAAAGTCAAGGCAGTCGTAGTAGTAGGAAGGCCAGGACAGGTCAGTCGGGTCCGGTATCCGTGGCGAGAGTCTGATGGAGATGAATGGAGACGCGAGGGGACGGGGTGCGGGACGGGAGGGGGGACGGCTGACACCCAGAAGATTAGGTATGTGTAGCATGTACGGATACTCCGTACGGTGCACCTAATGTAGGTAGGTAGTAGTGGACGGGAGAGGGGGCAACGACTTGAAGGGGGAGGGGGGGGGGGGGGGGGGGGTCACGAATGGAACGGCGGGTTGGTATCGTAGCGTATCGGTGCTGGTGTTGTGGATCCGGCGCAGACTGCGTACCTGAAGGAGGTACCGGTATGGTATTGGAAAGGGGACAGGATGGAAAGCGAGGAAACGCGAGACAGAGCAGAGAAGGGGGAAGAGAGACATGGAGAGTGGTAAGTCGCAGACGTGGGTGCAGATGCAGACGCGGTCTCAGGCGTAGTGCCAGTCCCTTGCCTCTTTACGCCCGTATTATGGTGCAGATGGGCAAGGCCAAGGAATCAGAAGGAGAGAGAGGTTCGAGAAAATGAGGACAAGGGACAGAATGAGATGGGCGGCCGGAGAGGGGAGGGAGAGGGGTGGGAGGAGGAGAAGGAGCGGAAAGAGGCAAAGCAGGCTTGCCAGGCATGGTGAGGCAATGAGGGCCTAGTTGGCTTTCTGCATGTTCCATTTCCCGCATATCGAGGATGGAGGGGGACAAGCCAATTAGATGTTATCTGTTGGGTTCGCAAGGATAGATTAGCAGACCGAGTGTAAGCAGAGAGACAAAAGAGGGAATGATGGGTGGGTGTGCGGTAGGAAGAAGGAAGCATGCGGTTTGAGAAAAGTCGACCAAGGCCTAGAACATGGCCGACTCCCATGCACAAAAGAACAGCAAGCAGAGAAGCAGCCGAGGGGGTGTGTGTGTGTGTGTGTGTGGTCAAAATGTGGCAGGAGGTGGAGGAGGAGGAAAGGACGAGGGTCAAGAGACGACGGAGCGACGGAGGAGTGCCGATGGCTCACAGACATCGTTTACCGGGCGAGCAAGGCAGGTTAAGCGGGTCTGGTGGGGGGGCGGGTGGACAAGGCAGGCAGGCACACACATACAGACAGTACAGGTAGGTGCAGAGCAGGCCAGGGTAGGGGAATCGTGTGAAGGCGTGTAAGGCATGGATGGGAGTGTACCTACCTGGTGTATCTGTATTGTACGAATAGGCGCGCGGGCAATATGCCATGCAGTACCGCAGTCAGCAGCAGCAGCAGCCGAGCATCAAGGTAAGGGCAACAAGCGGTGTCGGGACCTTGGGGAGGAATGGCGCTACCGAGGCGCTATCTAAGCCTGGGCGCTGCCAGCTGGAGTGTCAGAGCATGCATAGCACGGTCTGCCAATTGCATTGGAGGTGAGAAACGGCTTGTTGGATGGGATGATTGTTGGTGGCCGGTATTGCCCGTGGGCCGGGTAGGGTTACTGTTGGATCATGATGTTGATGGCCCTAATTTTTTTCCCCCTTCGATCAACAGAGATGTCCCCAGGAAGGGTTTAGCTGATATCCGTACTGTGGCCGTTGGGAGATGGGAGATGGGTACTGCCCTCGTCCTTGCGCGTCCTCGTTGTTGTTGTCCGGGGGTAGTGAGATTCAAAATTGGTTCGGTCTAAGTATATCTGACACGTACCTAATTACTACGTTCACTACCTCGGAAACCGAGTAACACTCAGCAATGACACACAGAGATCCACACACGGCTGAGTCTCGCTGCACTGAATTGATTTGAGGCCGGAAAACAGCAAAGTAGGGTAAGAAAATGTGAGAGCGTCAGTCAATGATCCCGGAAGACGGAAGTATGGATTTTGGTGAGCTGGTGAACTGCAAAATGACCCCTTGGACCTTGGCGCAGGTCGACGAGGACACGATGCAGGCGGATGTAAAAAAGGAATGGCACAGCATGGTGCTGTAAGCGTTGGTGGCGGGGAAAGAAGGGAAATGAAGTTGGAGTTGGAAGTCCAGAGTCGGGAGTCGGGATATGGGGAGAGGAAGGAGAGAGACATGTGTGTGTGTGTGTGCATCTCTCTCTCTCTAGGTACGCAGTACATAGGTACGTACTTCCTTCGTAGTGGGAAGGCAGGTAGGACAAGGCTAGTGGGGAGGGGGGCTAAAGTGGAGCATGCATGGAACATGGCACCATGGGGGCAAGGTGAATTTAGCATGCTGCACTCTCAAAGATCGACCAACGAGGTCTTGCCCATGTTAATTTTGCATGTCGGCTTCCTGCAGCTGCTATCTCCATGTTCTCCGAGCCCCTCTTGCCGTTCCTGTTCCCTCCTTCGATTTGAACAATTTGCCCATATTTCTTTTCCTTCCCGTCCCCTCTACCCCCCACCCCCCCCTCTTATCCCTTCCCTTCCCTGCGTTTCCCTCTGTTGTGTCCGGTGAAGCTAAGCCCTTCGGATTTTGGAAGGTGGTTTCCCCCCTCCCCATTCTCCTCCCCCTCACCTTCCCCTTCTTTTTCGTTTTGTCGTGGAAGCACCAAGACTAAAACCGGCTTGTCTTTCGTCACTTCATCTCGTTGCACATTCAATGCATCACCAAGGCTGCCATCCTCCTAGAATGGAGATGTCGAAATAAGCTCACACTTCTCGAAAACCGCCCGCCTTTAGAGTTCGTCTGGCGCGGTATGCGTAAGGGCTGACACGACGCACCAAGGACCACTTTCACCCGAAGTTGCAGTCGCAGTCGTAGGTAGTCCAGTCCTCACCGTTGCAGTAGCAGTCGCGGCCACCCTCGCCCTCGCTCTCGCTCTCGCTATTGCCGTCTTTTCCCACGCAGTCGCTGTTGATCATTGTCCCCTCCTTTCTCCTTCCCCGTTTCTCGTTCCTCCCGCCTCTTGTCTCCCGCCACCAGTCAAGCTCTCTCTCTCTCTCTCTCTCTCTCTCTCTCTCTCTCTCTCTCTCTCTCTCTCTCTCTCTCTCTCTCTCTCTCTCTCTCTCTCTCTCTCTCTCTCTCCCTCTCTCCCTCTGGTCCCTTCCTACTTGCCGCTCCTTCCCTCGCATTCCCCTACTCTTACCCCACCCCTTCCGCTATCCGTACATACCTACCAGTACCTCTTTCCTTGAGCCCATGTCCCTGTCATCGTAAGGGACTTCCGTTGTCGAGGTGAGAGCATGTCAAGTCTTCTTTTTCCCTCATTCCGTCCTCTAATCGTTCACGTTACACACACTGTCCGGTCTGCTCGTCGCATGCCTGACACCGTCCAAGACAACGTCCAATATTACCTTCCCTTGTATTTTTTGACATCTCATTCCATTCAAGGGAGGTACAGTCTGATTGCTCTCACTCGTCCATCCGCTGGTCCTCCTTTCACTTCCGTCCACCCACACGTACACCTACCTCTCTCTCTCTCTCTCTCTCTCTCTCTCTCTCTCTCTCTCTCTCTCTCTCGGTGTCTCTCTCTGACTTTCCCAGCTTTCAGCAAGACTCCCCAAAAGCTCGCGTCACCACTCGCAGCCGCGCTAAGGCAGAGACAATAGAAAACAAATCAGACAGTGCGACCTATCGCGGACCGTGTTGCGGCGACAAAATCCCTCGTGCGACCACTGCCTCCATCCATACTCCGTCTCATGCAGGCAAGACTCTCAAAATCAGGCCATCCGACGTGGAGCGGGAAGTCCCATTGGGCTGAAACTCTAACCCACGGACTCGACCCAACCCAAGACATCGCTGGCGCATACAGTCATCTGACAAAGGGGCTGCAGTTAGTTCGCCCTTGTCTTGTCTCGCTTCTGGGCACTATCCGTTGATGCTGTCGAGACACCGTGTCGCTGCCGAACCGTCTGCCGCTACCGGTCGATCCTGGCCCTCCAGAATACCGTACCTACCCACCGCTTCGCTAGATACCTTGAACCATCGAGCCTTATCTTTGTCGGCTTAGCTTTGGAAAAGACAGCACCTCATTGCTCGGGGAGGGGGAAAGGAGGGGGGTACGCCCAAGTCACCTCGCCCAGTTCATCATCCTCGCCGCCCAGATACGTGCGTACACGCCTTCACAGCTCTGGAATTTCTACCCGGAATCAACGACAAGAACATCGAATTCTTCGCATCTATCCGCCTTCTCCTGCCACATTTTTCACTCGGGGTCATGATACCCCCTCACTCCACACACTAAGATACGTATTCAAACCATTGCCGGCCAACCGTCTTCCTGAGTTAGGCACTTCGCTTTGCTTGGCGCTGCCAGCCTGATCCGAGCCATCTTGGATAACAAGAGACTCGCACGAAAGTCAGTCAGATTCATGATCCGAACGGTGTCTCTGACGCTGACATGCATTTTGGAGTGGGGTCGCGCTGTCATACTAAACTCAACTAAATTAGAGGCCCCCGACATCTCGGCCCCCCTTGAAGTCTGCCGTGGTCGACGGTACTACGGTACAGGCGGTATCCGTGCCCGTGGGGCGTCGACATCTGTGCTCCATCACGTCGCTCCGGCTTATTCATCCTGTTATCTCATCCACCACCCTCCTCCGTACGCGTACATACACGTACCTGGTTTATCTACCCTCGCTGTCACTTGTCGCGTTGCGCATCGGCCACCACCCTCTCCCGCGTTTCCCCTCCCTCGGTTCTTCATACTACCCGCCCACATCCACTGCCACGCACGCACGCACGCACGCACACTACAGCCCTGCCCCCCGTCCTTTAGCGTGCGCGGCAAGACATCCTGAGTTTGCGTTGACAGTAGCGCGCGTTCGTCGCTGGTCATTGCTGCTAGTGAAGCTGCTGGCGGCCGGTGCCCCAGCGCACACCCGTGGTGCTCTTGGCCTCTGGTAGTGTAGCGGTCTTGGTGCTGTTCTCTCCTTTAGCCCCATCTTGCCTCATTTGGCCCGCCAACGTTACTGCTCCGCCGTCTCCGCTGCCGCTTCACCCTACTCCCGGTCCCGGGTCGCATCCAATATCCCCTGCCCTGCCCTGCTGCTCTGTCATATTCCTGGCCCCGAAACTGCTTTCTACGCCTTGCAACAACAACCCCCCCCCCCCCCCTTTTCTTTTTTTCTGGCCCATTCTCTACCTCCCTCTCTCCACTTGAATCTGCGTGCACGTACTCGCTCTCCCCGGGGCATTGTCCACTTGTTTTGCCGGGAAGTCGACGGCATTGGGCTCGTGTCTCTGTTCTTCCTCTGGCGGCCAAGGTTCCGTACTTAGCACGGTCTTGATGCTCCACCTGGGCCCGACTCAACATAGACAGTGCTGTAATTATGACGGCTAAGCACCCCCGTAAGAGAACCCTGGACCTTGACGAGGATCCCCCTCCAGTTCTCAATTCGACCGCTTCACTCTCCGCCCCAACAACCCCACCTTCATCTACGCCTACATCAACTCCCTTCTCTAGCTGTGACGGTATCGACAACGATATCGTCAACCGAGACTACCAACTATGGAGCAAGCCGACAGACTTGCCCTCATCTGCTGCCGACTCGAACCCGACGGCACGTCGGCGTCGACTTTCCAGATCGCAAGTTGGCAGCCGGCCTGTAGCACTCTCCCTGTCGTGTAAGTTCATTATTGACTCTTAACTTTGGTGACCCCCGTGCTTGCTCGATCCCTTGCTTGGATACCCAAAAGAGGAAGGTGGGAAAGAAGAGACAGCGGAAGGGGTGGACAGACACAGCACGTGGTTGGCAGTGTGGACAAGGCATCCAAAGCTGATAGACTTACATAGCACGTCGTGATGGCGTAATCGCCTCCTCGGCACAAGTGCCCTTGTACGGTCCGCCCGTCTCTCCTCGCCCGTCGGCCAATCTTGTATTCGAAGCAGTGCTACCGGCCCCGGAATCTCGTTGTGTGGAAAACCTGGCCTTGTCGAACCCCTTTGACGACAACGCCGATGACCAAAATCGTCTGGTTTTGGGTCGAAGCCCAATAGAGCGGGGCACCAAGGTTGATGGCTACATCAAGTTTCACAATGAGAAGAAGAAGCCGGCCAAGGGGTCAGGGGCCGCTGTCTTTATATACAAGGAAAGCGGACAAGAGCTTTCTCCTAGGTCGACCCTCGCCATGTACCTCTCTCCGCAGTACATGGGGGAGATGGGGCTACAAGACCAGGACGACAAGAGTCTGTTCGCGTTTTGTAAGTCCATGGCCATCACTCGGGTCAACACTTAATAACCGTCTACTAGACCTGAAAGCCTGGTGCCCAGGCAGGAGTGTTCTTGATAAAACCAACTGCTGGTTTGAAAACATCCCCCGAATGGCATCTCAAGACTCGTGTGTCAGATCTGCCATTTTGGCACTCGCTGGGACGTACGTGCTTGATTACCAGCCTAGAGAGAGGATTCGGCAGATTGCCCAGAGCCACTACAAGAACGCCGTTATTCTATTGAGCATGGCGTTACGTGAGGCTCGTCATCAGCTCCCTTCAGAAAGTGAAGCAGATTGCATGGTGGCTGCCATGGGCGTCCTCAATATGATTGACGTCGTGTCTCCCGAGCAGCGACGGCCACCAAACCGCGTCCCCCGCTGGTTGGAAGGCGCTCGTCTTGCGTGTAGAATTCTGGACGCAACGGAACCAGGGCACCGCTACTGGAAGCCCGTCAACATCCAACCCTCCGAGGCGCAGACGGGAAATATGATTATTGCCGGCAGAGCAGCTATCCTGGCCCTTCCGATGGCTCCTCTCGACTTGGCTGCCACGGATAACCGCCAGTTTGCGTGGCTATTGCAAGGATCGGAGCGCGACGTCCACAGAGTTCATGGCGGGTGCGGCATGTCTCCAACACTGCTGTATCGCTTTTCGCAAATCACACACATGAGCGCGTTTCTAGAGGCGGACCCTGAGAATAGCGAATTCATCATCAAACCAGGTGTCGACAAGCTTCTCGAGGAACTGAGGAATTTGCATCAGTGGACCGATGCTTCCTCGTCTTTAGCTTCGTCTCAGCCAGGCAATTTCAGAGACAGCCTTCACCCCCGCGACTTGTTGTCCTCCGTCAAACTGGACAAGCACGGGCTCATCATGGATAGGAGCTCCATGACGGAAGTCACAGCAGAGGCATGGCGCTTGGCGGCCGTCATCTACCTCCGCTGTCGTCTCGAGAGGCTCCCCCGTTGTCATCCAGATGTCCTCTCCCCGGTGACAGAGCTGGCGAAGTGCATCCAGATGATGCCGACGTCAGGCACCTTCTTCACCGCCCAGTCTCCCTTTTTCCCAGTCTTCCTTCTGGGTGTTGTGGCCATGCACGAGGCGCACGTCCAGTGTGCCCTGGACTGGTTCCAGTCAGTCATTAGTACCAGCTGCCGCTCTGTAAGTCCCGTCCAGTCCATCATTACATGTTCCTTGCCCAATCTAATCGACCCTTCGTTGCAGAGCGTGCCCCCGGCATTCCAGTCACTCAATCGGATCCGCGCGTGGATGGCCCTCAACACCTGCGACGTCAATCGATCCGAACTTCCCCGGCGCATTTTGGAGCGGCACCCTTGGTGGGAGACGCTCGTCTCACACATCGCTGCGACTGAAGGGACGTTGTGCTTGATTTAGGAGAGAGAGGTTGGGGTCTAGAGACATGATTGTTTTTCAATGAGCCGCGCTTTTTTCTTTTTCTTTTTTTTTGACACAAGCAAGTATCAGCCAATGATTTTTGTTTTGTTATTTATTTGTTTTTCATCTGTCTTCTTTGCTCTCAGCTATCGTGTCTTGTTTGTTTTTACACCCTGCCGGATCCAAACGGATTCTCGGGTTGACTGGAAGGCTGCGTAGCCGTAAAACAAAATGCGCCTGCACCTGCCTGCCTCCTCGGCTCTCGCGCGAGACTACCTACCTTTGTTGTTTCCCCTCCTACGTATGAAAGATGAAGACCAAAACAAGATAAGGAAGATGATGAGAATAAAAGGAACCCAAGGCACGGACATGGTCCCCCCCCCCTTTTCTTCTTCCTCTCCGTATCTCTCTTGCAACCGAGATGGATCGTTCTTACTCCCCGCTAACTGAGATGGCACTATCCTTCTCGTCGGAGGAGTTCTCGGCGGCGGCGCTGCCATCGGGGTTGACGCGGATGAGGTACTGGCGCATCTCGGAGCCCTCGGCGGCCCACGACTTGACGACCTCGAGGCCGGCCTCACGGCACATACCGCGAACGTCCGCCTCGGACCGCTTGTGGGCGTCGAACCAGTCCACCTCGAGACCGCGCCGCAGCGTGGCCGTCGTCTTTGTCGTCGTTGTCGTCATCCCCGCCGTGACGTCGACGTCGCGCCGGGCCCGGAGGTAGAAGCGGTGGCGCTTCTCGGCGGCGTCGACCTCAGCGCAGATGTCCCAGTCTTCGGGGCAGAAGATGTCGTCGCCGAGTAGGGCGTTGGCGTGGGCGAGGCCGTTGTGGAAGAAGCGCGTAAACAGGTCCGGGTGGGCGTGGTAGGCGTCCCAGACCTTGGCCGAGGAGACATCGTGGCCATCCATGCCGGCGAGGATGAGGTCGGCCGGACGCATGAGGGCGGCCCAGTCGCGGAGGGCGGCAACTGCCTTCTTCCACGGGTCGTTGAAAAGGACGGAGCCGAGGGAGAGGAAGACGCGCGGGGTCGCCACGACGGTCTCGGCGAAGGCCAGGCCCGCCGTGAAGTCGCCCCAGAGGCCCGCCATGCGGACGCTGCCGCCGGCGTGGCGCGGCGCGAGAGCCTCCAGGTTGGTAGTGAGGGAGCGCCTCGAGATGTCGAGGGCGAGATACGTCGCCCTGCGGCCCTGGTGGGCAAGCTCTTCCAGGAGGTAGTTGACCTTGCGCATATCACTGGAGATTTGAAAAACGGGTCAGCCAACCTCTTCGTCTCGACAGTTTGGTTTCCAAGTGTTTTTTTTTTTTTTTTACCCTTTTCTATTTCCAATTTTTTTGGCCCAAGACGAGGGGGCAGAAGAGATTAGGGAATTACGAAAGCAAACTAAGACTCACCCGGCGCCCAGGTCGATCATGGTGGCGTCGTCGGGGATGTAATCCCTCGCCAGCTCCCCGCTGTGCCTCTGGAACAGGACGATCTCGTCGCGCGTCTGGTAGAACTGGGGCGTGAAGATGATGTCGGCCCAGATGGCCAGGCCCTTGTCGTCGTACAGCAGCTCGTCAGGCATGGTGGGCGTTGCCGCGTGGCCGTTCGGGGGGTTCTGGGCCGCCGCGAAGAGGATGCGGCGTAGGTCGTCGAGGATGTGAGACTCCATCTTGCCGCCGCCGATGTCGAGCACGCTGCCGTGCTCGGGGACGGTAGCCATCTGTTCGTGTGCCATTGCTGCGGGTTTGCTCTGGGTTGATATGGTGGATGTAAGATGATGCCTTGATGGCTCGGTGCCTGCGGCTGAATTTGACTTGATGAAATGTGTATGGTTACGGACTGCGGTGATGCCGGGGAAGAAACTCAAAAGGTGCCGGCTCCTGGAGGCCTTTTTATACATGTTGATCTCGGGGTTTCCGCAGACATTCACCTCTAGGCGGTCTCCCACCCATTCGTCTCGTTCATTTCCTCACCGATGCCAACATTCACCCGTCTCTCTCCTCGTTTGGGCATCACATCACTTCCCGTACCGTGGTTGTCGGCCGCGCCGCCGCTTGTTTTCCGTCCCTTGATGACGGCAGGCCTGCCACGCATATGCTTCTCTGGGAACTCAACTCCGAAAAGACGCCTCGCTTGTGCAGGTTTGTTTGCTGGGACGGAGACAAACAGAGCCCCTCCTCTTCCTCCTCCTTCTCCTCCTCCTCCCCAAACAGCCAAGGCCCAGAGCTGCCCCGCTAACGAAGGGCACAGGGGCAAGGCTTAGCTATGTCAGGCGTATTGGGAGCGGAACGCGCGACGGCTTGAGAAGATGTCTCTTTTCTCATGCTGACATTGCCATGCTAAGCCTTATTTTGGCTTCCTGAAGGAGTTGGGGGGGAAAAAAATTGCATTGTCGTACAAATTGGAGTGCTAGGACGGGCAAGAAGGCGATATCGGCGACGATGCGAGCGTAGGTGGGGAGGAGGCTGGCTTCTCTTGATCATTGGACTGTTGGTACGATGGTATTTTAAGCGACTACCAACATCAGTCTTCGACCAACAATGTTTGTTGAGCAGCGGTTGGACGAGACGCCGAAGCTGCCCCTCCTTCGGGCCGTAGAAGTCTCACGAGACGTAATTGAAGCGCTCATCAACTGTCGGCTCCAGGAAGTACCCGCTGCCTCCCGGTCAAGATACCCGGCCGACCCGACAAGCTCGCGTGCTTGGTAACACAGGAAATCTTCGAGTTAGGGCCGCGCCTCGGGCTCTTGGCGGCCACACTGCATAAGGCCGGTGAATATGCATGGTACAGGCGTTGGCTGATGATACCCCTTGCACATTGAACATGGGGAGGTTAGACTTCTGGGTCGAAACAGCTGCATATGAGTGATTGGTGGTTACGGAACAGTCAACGATGATGGATACCAACGTCTTGAGAAGACACTTCCGTCAAAAGCGCACATTGGCCTCGAAGCCTTGCCTGCTACTCCGTGCAGAAGTGATCAGGACTCCTGCCATGACCGACCGTCTGCGCCCGCGTTGTTCAAGTGGCAAGCGACGACGGTGCAGAGCTAGTTACAAAGACGTAAGTACTCCTGGTGAGTTGACGAGACTCACACAACCCCCCCTTTCTCTCTTTCTCATAGTGCGGTTGTAGTCAAAATCTTTTCGGCAGCAACTTGTTCGTACAGCACGACTGGTCTGTGCCGACGCGGCCGAGGGCGCCGGCCCCGGGAGTTTTTTTCTTCTTCGGAGCGGGCCGCTTTGGTAAAGATGGCGAAAGATGGCGGATGATGCACATGACCTCATGATGGCCTTTGCGGCCGTGGTGACCGCTTCTGTCTCTGGATGTAACCCTAGCACGTTGCAAGTCTATACAATCATGGATTGTGTTGCGCAAAAGCCAGTCGGAGGCGTCTCCATCCGGTCCAGCGCCCAAGTCATGGTCAAGACCCGAGCAATGCAGTGATACAGTTTGCGTACGTACGCTGGCATTTCGGTCCCATTTCGTGGGGGAAGGCGGATGAACGCCATTATCCATCTTCCAACGGCGATTGACTTGTAATACCCGCAGATCAACCCCTCAAGAAAACACGTCTGATGGATGTTGGCTATCTGCCAGATTATGGTCAAACCAATAGAGAAAGTGACCAAACATGACAATACATTGGTAGGCCCGTCGCAGCGGACTTCAGGGAGCTGCGTATGTCCATGGACCCCGGCAATGTCAGCGGAATCAGAGTCAAGCATGACTGTGGCACGGCCGGCCTCCTGCTGGCTGTTGCCCGCGACGCACGCGCCTTGGTTGAGAACCATAACGAGAGGGCTAGGGCCTGATTCTGGATGTGTGTTCACAATAAAGCCCACTGTTTATGGAAGTCAAAAAAGGCTCGGGGCATATAGATAACGTCTTTGCAGGTTTCGGGGTCGTTGCACTTTGCGCTTCCCCAGATTATATCATCTAACCGTCCATATTTCTCGGTAATCACGGGTGAACCATAATACCGGATGTTGGTGAGCTCGGCAAAGCGGGCACGACCCAGGTCCATCTATCTTCAGGTTGGGCGGGGCCAGCGTTGCTTCCGCAAGGTCCAAATACCTTGTTGGGCACTCGAACCGCGTGTGTAGTCAAGTCAGATTGTCTGTAGGTTGCCGTCTTTGCTGTATTGCTTGCTGGAACCTCAACGACGACGCTTACCAGGTTGCCCCGATGATTACTCACAGACTCGCGGGGTACGACGTGAAGCTCGAGATTTGAGCAAAGATCCAGGGGTATTGTGTGGTTGAAGACTGCAACACGAGGGCGGCCGGCTGCTACTGTCGGTCAATGATATTATTACACATGCTGTCCTGGGTGCATACAATGAGTCGAGTAGCTCGTTCCAAACGCAGTGGATGAGCATGCAATTTAGACTAAGACGCTGTTGCACAGAGAGAGAGAGAGAGAGAGAGAGAGAGAGAGGAAAGAAACAGGTATAGCCGAGGTAAACCACTAAGGTAGGTAAGTAGTACGATGCGTTGGAAGAGTGGAGATACAGCGGGCGTCGGCCCCGACGAGGGTGTGGAGCAACTCGCTCAGCGTGTGGGAGTTTGTGCCCGGTTGCTTGACTCAGGTGTCCCTCCTCGGCCGGATTAGATTTTTCAATGGTGGTTTCAGGACGCAGAGGGTGGCCAAGATGCCTGGGCGATACAACTGGATTCGCCTCCCTGGCACGCCTCGACGGTAGTGGACAAACAGACGAACGTTGAGAAGATCGCGGTAGAAGCCCGACGGTGCCCAAGGCGGAGGAGGTCAGGTAGGTTACGGTTCGGCCGGGAGTCGTTGACTGGCGGCCGTGATGGTGATGGCATCGATACCTTCTAGAAGCCGGGTACGAAATTCTGCGTTAGGAAGCGTGACATTGTGGCTCTCGGGTGACAAAAAACCTGTGCGCAGTGCTGGCACTTGTCGACCGTTGACTTGTGTCCGTCCGCCGTTTCGAACGAATTGCCCTCGGGTCGGGCCCATGGGGCCGCATAATGCCGAGGGCGATTGCAGAGCCTCAGACTACAGCGGCCTCTTGTTTATGGCCTCCACGTACGTACTCCGTACCGTGGTTAGCCCATGTCTGCCGACACTTGCATTGTCGTGATCCTCTCCGCTATCCAGAAGTCCAGCAAGCTTGCCAGGGTCATGGTGGAGCGGCGGAAATGCCGGTTCTGCCGCAGGGTGGTCCATTAAGAAGAGAAAGCTTATGGGGTCGATTTGATGTGCATGTACTGTAGGTACAAATGCTTCGGACTAGGTTCAGAGGGCGTTGTCCATTCAGGGTTCGACGACTCTACACCACCGTCGAGTCGAATCGACACGGCATGGGCACCCAAAGCGTCTATGCACTTGCGTACCCGGCGGAAGGGGTGTGTGCGGGCGCGTTTGTGTGGATACGGCGAAGGTCCTTGCCAAGGCAGTTGAAGGGACGAAACAGCCAACTGGCCACCATCGACTTGGGATTCTCGTGCCTCGTGACGTGAAGGCCACCAAGAGCCCCATCGAGCAGCAAGCGAGCAATGCAATGCTGCAAGCTTGACAAAGGGGGAAAAGGTTGGCATGCCCCAGGCGTCTGGTTATGTATTAGCGGCGGTAGTGTATGTGGTGGTTGTGGGAGGCGGCGCGCAGGAAGACAGCGCAGCGTAGCATGACCGACTAGCGGTCATCTCGGAGTCAGTTCATCCCACTCAGCTAAGTTTGGCTAGCAGTCGTAGTTTCCTCGTGTGAGTGGGTCTAACGAGATTTAACATGCACATCCCTTCAACTGCCGGCATCTGGCATGGCTCCTCCTTGGCCTGACCTACTTGTCCTTTTCTCGTCCGCTACGGAGTAGTAGACAAGTACTATCTATGTAAGACAAGCAGGCAAGTCGAAGCTACCAAGTAGTAGTGCCTTCTGGACGCGTGCTAGTCAATGAAGCTGGACGTGGCAACTGGCAGAGATCGCCATGAGCCAGGTTTCGGCACGGGCGTTCCATTCCCCGATCGAGAAAGGATGGTTGTGGGTTTGGATCAAGGTACAGATGCAGATATTCGTTCCCCGGCGACGTGCCGAACGGGACGGCCGCTGCAGGCAAGGGATTGATAAACTTGCCTTCTGGGACTGTGGTCGTTGGACACGATCCGAGTCGATGGGGGGCCGGGGACTGTTGACGATTTGTCGCCGACATGCCTGTTTCCGTAGCAGCGAGTGTACCTAACGGGATTAATACATACTTACCATGGTATTACTCTTCCCTTTCCCCCTCCGCCCTTGATCCCGCCTAGCTCGCTGGCGGGAGGGTTCCTGTTGGCTGGCATGTACACTCGTTAGTCAGAGCGACCCCCCTATCCACCGGCAAGGGTGGTGGTTGTGTTTCTTTGGCAATCCGACTGTGAGGCTTTGTAAAATGTCTTTGTCCTGTCGTGTCGTTGTCGCAGCTTGCGATGAATCGGGGAGAGGGGAGGGGTTGAGCATTGACTCGGGCACTGTACACTCGCGACCTCAGCTGAATCGGGGGCAAGGTGTGACCAGGCCTAGCGTTCGTCGTGTATGCCGTGGTCCAGCGCGTGTATTCCTGGTACGGCAACATCGATTTTGGGTTAGGGGATGATGTTGCTTAGGTAGGACCAAGTTGTGGTGACGGACGGTCGGTAGATCGTACCGTGTGGGTAAGGGAGTATGTATTCAATGCAGAGCGAGGCTTGTGCGCCCGGGCGCACGTCAACGGGGATGGACAGGCAGGCACATGAAAGGCCTCACGGGACGGGAATCTCAGAGTCTGAAGGGGGAGGGGCCACTTGTTGTATCCAGCATCACATAGCTTGTGTTTGGTGCTTCAAACAGTTTTAGAGCAGCGAGAGCGGTACTGCGTCGTACGCTTCTCGTTCGGCATGCATGGAAACTGGAGAGAATTGCAAGAAGAAACCGGGGCGAAAATAGATGAGCAGGTTTGGTTCGCGGACCTCGCTGAGCAGGTATGTTGAAATGGACTACTACGTAGTGTAGTACTAGATAGTTAGATGGCCATTCTCATCGAGGGCGGGAGGGCCAGGATGCCTTGCTGGCGGGAGGAAGTTTGGGTTTGGTCAGTGTGCGTAAAACGTCGTACTTTTATTATGTAGGTTTGTAAGAGGAGAGAGAGGGAGAGGGGCGGACGCAGGGACTCTGGTTCATTGAAAAGACAGAAAACGATGCGGCTCATCAGGTATCCGCACCAAGCAAGGTACATAGTGATGTCGTTTGCCTCGCAGCAGCGCGGGCAGCAAGAACAGTCAAGGTAGGTAGGTAGGGATGTACCTGTACAAACGGAAAAGAAAAAGAAAAAGAAAAAAACCGAGGCAAGAGGGAGACGGAAAAAGGAAAAAGAAAAAGAGAAAACCGACCCAAGACGGAGAGGGGGGAGGAGAGGGGGAAGAAGAAGAAGAAGAAGAAGAAGAAAAGTGAATGTGAAGGTGAACAAAGAACAAAGCCGAAGGCAGATACTGGTCATGGCCCGAAGCTAGAGCGAAGAGTCGTGGAGGAGGAAGGAAAGAAGGAAGGGGGCAGCACATAGTCAAGCCATCGCGGGAAGGAAGCACCAGCACCTGCCCACAACCGCCTGTCTCCTACCATCACCGCTGGAACAATGTTTCTGTCCGTGGGGAGGGTTCTGCACAGTGTGTACCCCCGCGTCACAGTGTGGGGGAGGGAGGGTCGACCCTGCGGCCTCAGGCAAAGTAAGGTACGGTACGGTCCATCGTGAAGAGCACGGAACACGCTCCAAGTGGTCCCCCACCTGCATCTCAGCGTACATGTAAAAAGTAGTAGTAGGGTGGAAGCGACCATCGGCAATGACATCCTTTGGTGTCTGTCTGTCTACTACGTAGGCACTGTACCTACCTAGGTAGGTTGTGTAGAAACATGCATGGAATACGCATAGAAGCCTTCACAATCAAAGACTCTTCTGTCGTATGCATATAATTAGTAGACGTACACATTCGAGGGGGTCCGTTAGCACCATGTTGGTGTCCGATCCCCCCATGTTGACAGCTGCCGGCGTGCTACGTACTTGAGACGCTGTGTATCCCAGATTCATCTAGCCAAACCTTAGCCGTCGCCTTTGCTGAAATGCAACTTACCATAGCGTACCCGATGACAGCCTCGTGATCGACTGCTGGTGGCCTCAGAGAGGGCCGTCCGGGTTGATTGGCGCATGCAGCCAGCCAAAACGTCCCCGACAGACTCGAGTCGCGTTGGTTCAAGTCCAGCCGTGTTTACGTACCTTCATCGACAACGTAGAGCCACCCTCGTCGCTGTTTGTGCTTGTTTCCCAGTGGGACAGGGCACCTGAAACGGCTTGTCTCTTCGAGACGCCTCGTCCTCTGAGTCGTACAAACACATCACCTCATGTTTGTCGTTTGGGGCTATAATGGTGGTTGCCGACTCGTTTACCCCCCTCTACGAATTATTCCCGCCTCGCCAGGACTCAGCTCAAGCACGGGCACATCGCGGAACGTCCCCTATGGGGGGGGGGGGCATGGCCAAAGCAACCGGTTTATTGCAACCGTCATATGCATACCGGTAGTCCAAGGGGTGGCCTAGGTGACAAGGTCCTGGTACGAGTGAACCTCAGCGGAGATTGCCGCAGGCCACTTTGCATATCGATTGTCTGTGCGGCCCGCCCTACTGCAGTTACAGAGGAGCCGATCCGTCGAAGCTCGTGAGAAGCCTGGTAACATTGAACCCCCTATCAATTCCAAGAGATGTGGTAAGAGAAATATCGACCCTGGCATAGACGCAATGGACACGATCGCCCCATGGGCGAGGCGGCGGTCAGTCAGCAATAGTTGACAGGAGAGGATGCTTTACTTTGTTGAGATGTGTGATGGATGGTTGCGGGCCGCCAATCAATGGGGGCCCCGATGTCTGAGCTCTCGGGAACAGAGCCGGCGGGATATTACCTTGGTGCTTGGCTACCTAGCCGCTCGACATGCCGCCCTGTTGTTGTTCTGACGCCTCGGACTGGTCAGGCTGCGGGGCTCAATGCTCATGGCTCACGGCATCCTCCAATCATACAGCCTCCCAGTTAAATAAAAAAAACCCCAATCAGAAAAACAAATCCAACTTGCAACCGTCCACAAGTCAAGGTAGCAGCCACGTGTGCGGTCGAACGGGCGGCCATGGCGACAAACACACTGGCCAAATCTCGAGCCTCGCTAGTCAACGGGCACGTCGGAGGCCCTGAGCTTGTTTCTGGGCACACGTCCTTGCCACTTATTGGGACAGCAGCAGTACCATGGTACTCGATTAGCCGGACTCGGTCCTTTCGGTATGCGGCGCGCGCGAGCCCGGTTCAAGGCTGATACGACACAGGCTGCCTGCATTGCTCCCTCTACTACGGAGTACGTCTTGGGCCATGCCCCGTGCTGCAAAGAGTCTGGCTAATCTTGCTTGTCGGCCAGATGCCTGGGGACCCCTGAGGCTGGCCAACCTTCTCGACGCAGTACGGAAGGAGTGGGGTGTGAGAGAGGGAGGAAGACCGACTTCTTCCAGGGATGATTTGACATTCGAGTACCCATCTTTGTCGCAGATGAAGCGGCCGGACAGCGGCACAGCCCATCCCTCTGACGCAGCGTGTAATTGCCCAATGGTTTCCAGGTAGTCAGTGGCTTTCAGAAGTCTTCTGGAAACCTTCCACTACGAGTCTAGCGCCAATCTCCCTCAGCCAGGTTTGCGCCCCCACCCTGCAGCTCACTTGTCAGAGATGTTGGGCCGCGCCCCCTTTTTTGGCCGCTGTTCTCCCCAGCTCAGATGCTCAGCTGTCCCGTCCCTCGCAACGGGTGGCCCCGGTTGTTCCAAAGGCCGGGCCACTATTCATGATCCTCGCCAAACACTCGGCATTTGCATTCGTATGCCATCGCCACGCATGCTGGTGAGACCTGTTTGCGGTGGGTTGTTCATATTCCAGGTCCAAGAAGGTAGGCAGGCCGGCTCGATGCATGACGGCCGTCGTGGACGAAGTTTGACCTATGATGTTTCTTTTTCCTTTTCCTTTTTGAAATCATAGTTGACCCGGAGCGTCACCTAGCCTTTGAATTGGATACCTACTTCGCTGGTGCGCAGAAACATGGAAGGAGATAGCGAGCGAGCCCGGACCGCACAGTGTTTCCTCCAACGTTCGGATCCAATCGTGGAAGCGCCGGTGGCCTCGAACAACGGTTCAACGGCTGTGTTTTCTCCCCCGTCCCATCACTCGCGCCTAGATCCCAGTCTTAATACCAAGCCCATGACAACGATGATGATGGCATCGGCCAGGTCGTCTCGATATTCATTCAACAACAAGTCTCTCGAGCCCAATGCCGGGCCTTTTCCTGCATGAGGAATTAGCGCTTCCAGAAGGTATGGGGCCCTTCCATGACCATGCCCCTTTCATATAGCGGACCAGCCGGGAGCCCTGCGCCTTGGCACTGTTGCACTGTCGCAGGGCCTTAGGATCGAGATTAGCCACGTAAAGGCATCCCGTCGGTATGGCGATGGCGACGAGGCTGGCCTTGGGCGTGGGTGCGACTGTTCGTACAGAATACTACGGAGTACTGTATACTTATAAGGAAGGAAGGACTGGCATTGCGGCATGGGGTCCATTCAACCGGCTCCAGCGCAACTTTGTTTCGTGGTCCTGATACGTGCTTTGGAGGCCGCACCCAATTTCGACGTGTCCGAGCGTTCATTGGATGGCACTGTACACCTCCTTGCCGATGCATTGCAATTGCAGTCCAAGGGCATATCGTAAAGCAGTGTGACTGGAGGAGACTGGCCGCCAAGAGGACAACCGGCGCAAATAATAGGGAAGCGACAGAATCCGCGGCAGCTACGCCTCTGGCGCGCCTTTACGAACGTGACACATGGGAAATGAGTGGGATTGAAATGCGCATCCGCCCATCCTCGGGTCCATCTGCCGCTCGTGTTAGCTAGAGTGGACGCGAAGGAGGATACCCCGTATGCAGCTGCACCTGCAGCGCCGAGCTGGTGTGCTACCCACCCCGGTATGTAGGCAGTGTAACTTGGGCATGTTGGGATCGCCTATGGAGTGGCTTTGACCACACTCTGTCGGTCCTCCAAACTCCATGACAGGCGCACGCTCGAAGAATGTTGGCCAGCACCAACGGGGATTGCCCAATCTAGAAGGGGAGCTGCAGCATGGAAGCTTTGGAACATTCCTTGGGCATAGTGCCATGGCACCGGCAAGTCTAGCTTATATGGCTGTCATCGTCGTTGTCGTTGCCATCGTCGTCGTCGTCGTCGTCGTCGCCGCCGCCGCCGCCGCCGCCGGTGTCTTTCACGCCGGCTGCACCTATGTCATGCTCCGGAGTCATCCTTCGTATCGGATGTTTAGAGAGCGCTTCGAATGGACAACAAAATCGATTGACTGAGGATGATGCGGTTAGCCCAAATCCCCAAATCATGGGAAACAGATGCGAGCGAGCTCCAGCCCCTGTTCCGCCCTATCGTAAGTTTTGTCTGTGGGGCTTAAAAGGTAATTTGGTGTCTCGTTCTGGCACCTGACTGGGAGAGGCGAGAGAGGGATCCACTTTGTTGGAGTGGGGATGATGGCAGAAATAACCCGATTGTTTGATGATGACGAGGCAAAACGAGCAAAAAGCCAAATGGGTTACTGGGGGTGTTTGACGAGCGAGCAACCAGCGGTCAGCCAAGCCTCGACGAGGCCCCCTACCCCCCTGAAGCTTAAGAAACACATAGAGAGAAAGGGAGGAGGTTCAAGAAGGATGATAATGACGGGCAGCCGAAGTGATAGTGGGGAGCGATGATGAAAGATGGTCCCTTATTCCCCCTTCTGTCATTGATGATGCAGGGCATGCATATGGGCTTTGCGTTGTTTGGTCAGTGCCATTTTGTCGGAGTGCCCGTGGAGGAGGTGGTGGTGATAGTGGTAGTTCATCGACGCCCGGCAGACCACCGCCTGTCAAGACAACTCTCGAACCTAGTAGCAGCATCAACCGTGGGGCACTGGAAAAATAAAAGAAAGCAAGGGATGTGGCAGGTACCGGTACCTAATAAGAAACAAGAAGCATGGCAGGGTGGAGGGTGTGAGCGAAGGTTAGGCAAGGGGCCGTGCAGAGGACGATGTTCTGGTGATGATGGGTGATGATGGCCAAGTCTTGGTGAGGCTCAAGTTCTTGTCATCGTTGGACGTGATCACTGGACGGCGCATGTACGAACAGCATTGGCTGCACAACACAGCCGTCTGGGGAAGCCAGCACCACCAGCTTCATGTCGAGCTCACAAGATGGTCCCAACCCCTGAGCGGCGACGGCAGAGGCGATCGTCACTGACTCCAGGCTTAGTACACCCCTAGTACGGAGTACCTACCTGTAGGTAGGCCTAGCAGAGCGGAGCAGGCAGTGACAGGGGGGCAGGAGAGCATTGAGTGAAGGCCGCCCGCCCCTTCCAAGAGAAACCAAGCACGCCATATTATCGTCATCCACACTGTCCGCACTGTATCAGCTGGTAGGTATTCCTTACAAGCATGGCAGGCGGCAGTCAGCATATCTACTTTATGGACAACAGGGGGCGGGATGTATGTCAAGTGGGCGTGGCAGAGAGGGGAGCGGACGAGGGAGACGGAGGAGGAGCCCAGAGCAAAGAGAGGAACAGAAGAGAAGAAAGAACCGAGTTGAGTAAGGAGGCATAGACGGGGGAAGAGGGGGGGGGGGGGGGGGGGGGCACGCACCCCGGTGCTGTGCTCGAGTACCTCCTTCCATGCGTCTGAGAAGGTAAGGTCGACATGGCAGACAGAGAGGCACGTATGCCTCGTCTATGTATCCGTGTACCCATGTACCCATGCTCATTTTCCCATGTACCTGCCCTGCCCTTCCCTTCCCTTCCCTGCCTTACTCCCATTACCCCCGTTCGTTCCTGCTTCAGTGTGAATGCCCCCGATTGTCCCAGCAGCTAAGCCGTTCGTTTCAATTCACCAAGCTTCCACACTTGGGACCTCTCACTTGACCTAACTTGGGGGGAGGGTGCGCGCGCGCGCGCGCTCAGGTCTAGTGCAGATAGGCTATAACTACAGACACCTGACGTGTGTACCTCTCGCATTGGTATTGCGAGGAAGGTACTTTGCGGTAGTACGAGTGTGTGTGTATGTGCGCAAGTCAGTGTAATATATGCGTGGTGTATGTCCATGTACCATTGCTCCGTGTGTGTGTGTGTGTGTGTGTGTGTGTGTGTGTGTATGCAATAGACCAAACTGCTTCATCTTGGCATGGAAATGCATTCATATCCTAGGTTGTCCGTCCTCTTCTCTTGCTCCCAGTCTCTTCATCTCCGTAGATTATTCTCTGTCTATACATATCTGTTCAATTCATAAGGACCACCAATCTCTTTTGGCTTCCTTGTCCGCACCAATCCATTCCTTCATCCCTCAACCGGGTCCCTCTTCTGATCGATTCTTACGACAGACCGCAGCTGTACGGATACAGCAACGCTCTGGGACCCCCTTCTTCTCCAGACGCCCCCCCCCCCCCCCCCCCTTCCATTATTCCTTCCTTTCTTCCATCCCCCCGGCCTCACTAAAAGGATCGTCTCCGTGGTTGACATTTTATAATACCTGCCGAACCCCGTCTGTCTGTCCCTGCGCTCCGCCTACTGCGTCACAGCTTCTTTCCCCTTCCCCTTGCTCTTTCCATACCTTGCACGGCACCACATACGAGCCAAGGCCCCGGACCCTACGCCCTCTTCCCAAAAGAGGTCTCAACTTCCTCCATACATATTCAAACGCTCCCTCTGCAGTAGCGACAAAACTCAAGCCAACTGCGTTTTTCTTTTCCCCTTACTTTTCCACCCTCCTCCTCGCAATTTGGCGACGACGCAATTGCAATCCCGACACCGAACCCCGAGACAAACAACAACTGCCCGATATCGAGGTATTCATTCCAGTCCGCCTCCTCTCTCTCTCCCCCTTTCGAATCAAGTAAGTTACAGCCTGTTCTACATTGATGTCACATTCCCTTGACACCCCTTTCCTACTGCCCCTTCCCTATTCCCTATTCCATATCCGCCCATTCTCTTTTTCCTAGGTCGAGTCCCAATCGAAGACGGAGCCGAAACCAGAAGTCCTTTTTGTTTTTCTCCAACACCCATCAGAGACGTGCCTACTTGCTACTACTCTGCGGGTGGCTGTGGTGGACGTCGACGGCGATTGTTGACTGTTGACTGGGCTCGTTACTGGCACCCGCACCCGCTCGTTCCCTACCTACTCAGCAGGATACGTACCGGACCTTGTTTGCCGGCTGCTTCTGTGGCTGCCCTGTCCTCGCGTCCGGGGGCTGTCCAGCGCCTTGGTCACGTCTGCCGCCTTGCCTCAGCTTTTTTCGCTGTTTTCCTCGTAGACCCACTTTGCTTCTCCTAACCCTGCCGGGCCATCTGCACCCCCGATCAAGGTTTCTTGGCCCCCTGTTACCTCATCTCGTCCGAGACCTTAGCACACGCGAACTTTGACAAACACTCTTTCTCTCTCGACACAACTGATCGAGCCCTCGGTCCGGAGGCACCAGCGCTTTTCTTCCTTTATCCTGCCTCACCCTTTCCTCTGGCGCTGCAAACCCTCAAGTGCATACTTCATCGCTTCTTCTCAACCTTGCATTGTTGCATTCCATCTCGACCAACACTAACCCGTGGCGCGTCGTATAGGTCACTCCAGCCTTTGACCCTCATCGCCTATACATTCCCTCCCCTTTTCCGTCACCGGTCCCGGTTCTATATCCTATATCCGAACGAGATCCATCACCCTCCAACGGCACAAAACGAATGCTCTGCGCGCCGACTCGACCCCTTGACGCTCATCGACACATATTTGGTGGGCTGACTGTGCCTTTTTCGACGAGAACTCGAGTTTTCGCGCCACGTCAGACCCGAGAGTCGTGACGACACGGTAGCTCTATATATACCGAGCATCAACAAAACAACCATTCGGGCGAGGTTTCGCGGAAGCTTTCTACGACCCACCATATTCGCCATCTCATCGGCGTTATTGCCACGACTGAGGTCGAGCTCAACTCCGGCGACTACTTGAACGGCGAGAACGAGCAACGTACTGGTCCGTGTTCTGTGGTCGGTCTGTCCCGGATTCCATTGCAACGTCCGCACTAGGTAAGCCTGCGAGGGAAATCCATCAGTTCTGATTCAAAGGACCCGCCACCAGGTGCTCCTGGCACATCTAGTCATGCCCAAGCCTGTGCTGGGCTATCCCCGTCATCCACCCCCCTCCGTAACTCTGCTCCTCAGAACCTACCCAAACACTCCCTACTCGTGGCAACGTGCATCCCCCGTCAGATTGGCTCTCCTCCAGATCCCTTATTCATACCCTTCGCCCCCTCGGAACATCAATAAACTAACTTTATCCTAGGTAGCCAAGTCCTTATAAACTCAAAGTCACCTTCGTCTGACGCGGAATATCGTCTGAAAGAATCCTGCAAGCTGGCTATCCACGCAGGAATTCCGACAATTGCTAGCGATTTTCTCCGCCGTAATATGAGGTCGCCAGCTCCGGGCGAGGTAATGGACATTGGCAACTTGATGAATCAAAGAAGTGCCGCTATGCAACAACACGCTTCCCTCCACAACGGATCAACCCCCGAACGTCAAATGCATCAACTCCCTCAGCTCACTGCGAGAAACATGCCCGAACCGCCCATGGACCGCGCGGGCTCCCCTCACGGCTCTGAACACTCCCAATACTCCCGCCACACCATGGAAGGCGTTCCGCGTTCCTACCCATCCCCCAGCGCCATGGTTGGCGCTCCAATGCAGATGCAGGTGCCTGTCTCCCACATGGGACCCGGCCCCGTGATCCTGCCCGGCATCCCTCAGCACGACATGTCCCAAGGCATGCCTCAGTACAAGGCCCCTGACCAGCAGGCGCCTCAGCAGCCCGCGAAGGCCTACCCGTGCAGTACCTGCGGAAAGGGCTTTGCTCGACGCAGTGATCTCGCCCGCCACGGTATGTGTCAAAACATCAGGCTCGGTTCGATTTCGTTACTGACATGGTGTTAGAACGCATTCATAGCGGTATTCGCCCGCACGTCTGCGACTTCCCCAACTGTGGCAAGCAATTCATCCAGCGTTCTGCCCTCACTGTTCATCAGCGAGTTCACACGGGAGAGAAGCCCCACATGTGTGAACGCTGCGGCAAGGTATGTCGAGGCTCGAGGAAGACGATGGAGGCTCCCGCGCTGACTTTTTTTTCTTTTTCCAGCCATTTAGCGACAGCAGTTCCCTGGCACGCCATCGTCGAATCCACTCTGGCAAGCGTCCCTACAAATGCCCTTACGCCGATTGTCAGAAGACTTTCACTCGCCGCACCACTCTGACGAGACATCAAAACCATCATACCGGCACGGTTGAGGAGGCGGCTGCTGCAACTGCCGCCGCCCTCGCTGCTCGTGGAGCAACCGTCAAGCCGAATGCGACCCGCTCCGATGGAGATGCCGTTTCTAACCGTGGCTCACCGCTGACCACGCCTTCTCCTGGCCAGCGAACCCTTTCGATGTCACCAAGTGCCGACGGTATGCACCGTGCCAACTCGGAGTTTCAGTACATGGGCAACAGCTCGCTTCCTGTCCATCTCCAGCGGGACATGCACGTGGGTAGCCCTGCGTCCACAACCTCGGGCGGTTACAACACCGGCATGAGGCCCACCTCGCATCCCACCAGCTACGGACCGCCTCCGACGCTGGAGCCGAGTGTCGAGCAGCACTCGGGCCCTGGCAGCGCTGGCGGCAGCCCTCACATGAGCAACGTCGGCTGGCAGTCGCCGTCGCATGTCGCCTCTCCTTCTCACAGCAGCAACGGTGGCGGTTATACCTATCCTGACCCCGATGCATACCCTGCTGCCCCCTCGCTCAGTGGACAAATGTTCTACGGCAACCCAGGACAGGTCCGCCGACCCCAGAGCACCGAACCTCCTGCCGGCGCTTATGACATCAAGGGTCGTCAGAGCGAGCTGTGGGCAGGTGCTCACTAATGTGAGTCTTTGTATCAGTATTGCCGAAGGTCCGCCCTGCATAAGCTTTCAGGTATAGAGGGCAGCTGACGGCTCAGCACTTTCCCTTGACGCGTTCATTCCCTCTTTTTATCAGATACGAAAAGTTCTCGCATGGCAAGGTTGGGGATGGTAAATAAATACACCTTTAATACTGCAGGCTGCACCGGGACAAGGGCAGGAAGATACCAAAGGGGTGGGCAGCCATCTGGTTCGTTTTCACACAAACGCCGTTTCTTTTGTTTCCATAGACTGGCGGAAAGCACACTTCATGATGACTGGGTCTCCATGGGCATAGGCTGGAGGTAAAAGGGTTGGGAGGAGTTTCCAGATAGGAAACGACGACTGCTTTTGAGCAGCACACCGACGATTTTGCTTGAGACTCACTCGGTAAAGGAATTTGACTTTTTGTTGCGGAATTCTGTATGGAAACCTGTACTAGACAATGAAAGCTCGTAGCTACCTTTTGTTCTCTCATGACACATTGGAATGTGGTTTTGTGCACTATGTATGTAGCCTTGCTGGTGGAGTTGACCGGGTAAGCTTGAGGTTCGACCTCACGATGGTCTGTGTGAAGTGCCGTGCCATGTGCGCCGTGCATCTGTGGAGGCAAGATCTAGATCCCGTCGATGGGCGATCCGGGGATAGCGACCCCGCTACGATTGAACCCGGTGAAAAATACCTCATGGAGGAGCAGGCCAGCACACCGATTACGAATGTCTAATGAGAAAAAGGTAAGGAAAGGGAAATTAAGGCAAAGCCAGGTCAGGTCAAGCAAGCGAGCGCTCAGCAACACAGCTGTGAACACGGCCAAGTTAGCGACCTGAATAAAGTCATTCATCACTTGCAAATCTTGAGCATCAACAGCGTGGTTTAGACGATGTTTCACCAACAAGAGAAGGGCGAGGCTTTCTGCTCTTACTTTGTTAGGGGAAAGCTCTGTTCAGAGAGCAAACCGTAGGATCGCAAGGAAGTATGGGACCGGCGGGCAGAAGGATTTACCAGGAGTTAGGAAAGAGTCAATCAATGGAGAAGGGAACTACAAATTACAATCAAGCCAGACAGGCAGGTCAATGCTTCCAAGGAGTACGCTGCCGAGGCTCGATACAGAATTCTTTTTATTGTTTTTTTTTTCTTCAATAGTTTCTTCCCCCGGCGCCTGCCCCTTCTTGTTCGGTTGATGGCAAAAAGGATCGGGTTGATGAGATAATCGGAAAATGGACGTCACTGATTTGGAGTGGAGAAGGGGAGGGGTATACAGCTTTTGCCGGTTCCGCTACCCCGATGAAGAAGGAAAAACTCGGTAGGAGATTGAGATGGCGTTCTGGAAAGTGGAAGTGCGCGTGTTGTTGAAAGAAAAGCATGCAAGCAAGCAAGCAAGCAGCCAGGAAATGGCGAGTCGAATGGCTAGTGAGCTGAGTTAAATTTCCCCCACGGTTGCACAGGAAACAACCTCGGCCCTAGGTTCCGTTTACTTTTCGGTTTCGCTCTGTAAAATGTTGCGGCGGGACTCGGTATGTGTGTATGTGTTTGCTTCTCGTTCATATGTTCGTGGCCGTCCGTGTCTTGCAAAGGCTGAGGAAGCGCGGGTGCTGGCTAGCTTTATCCCAAAGGCCTCCCTCTGGAGTTGATTAGTATTCCGGCCCGCTTTTGGCCTCTTCCCCCTGTTTTAAGTGAGTGAGTGTATTTGCCGTCCTCGCTCTCCAGCTTTCCATGTCATCTTTTCCCCGGTCGAGAGTCCCGTGAGCAGAGCCGGCTGCAGCTTGCCTTTTTTCGTGCCTCCATCCAAACCCGCAGAGTGACCAGGCGCCCCACCCCCCGTCACTTACACCATCTATCTAGTGGCGCGAGGTTTGTATACCCCGTATTCCGCACTGGGGCGGGCCAAGCAAGAAAGCAAGGCGCAGCATCTCTGTATAAGTCTCGCTCGATCTTTCATTGCGCTCGTCCTCATCCTCGCGGCCTTTATTTCCTCCTTTTCTTCCGAAGACTGTTGTAGTGGTAGACGATCAACTGTACACACACTTCCTCCCCCACCACTCCCTCGAAAGACTTCCGAAAGGAGCCGGGGGGCGCCCAAGTTATGACGGTCATCAAGATTGAGGCCGTCACGGACCTGATATGTCCGTGGTGCTACATAGGCAAGAGGAACCTCGACCGCGCCATCTCGCAGTATCGCGCCGTGGTGCCCTCGGCCGAGTTCGAGGTCATCTGGAAACCTTTCTACTTGAACCCCGATTTGAAGAATTCCGGTTCGTATACCCCTCCGGTTTCCCTTTCCCTCGTCGCCAATCTCATCCACCCTCCTTCCCTTTCGTCTTTCCAATCAAACACCGCACACAAACCGCTAAAACCAGAAACCCGTCACCCCCCCAAAAAAGGCTACGACAAGATCACAATCTACAAAGCCCGCCTCGCCAGGACCGCCGCCGACCCCGCTGAGGCCTTCGCCCGCGTCACGTCTGCCAGCGCCCGCGCCGGCATCGCACTCACTCTCACAGGCACCACCGGCAACTCGCGCCAGGCCCACAAGCTCCTCGCCCTCACCCTCGCGCGCCGCGGCGCGGACGCTCAGAACCGCCTGCTCGAGTCCCTCTTCCAGGGCCACTTCGAGGAGGGCGCCGACCTCTCGGACAGGCGGTACCTGCTCGCCGCTGTGACGTCCGCCGCCGTGGGACTCGACCCGGACGAGGCCGAGGCCGCGCTGGACGACGACCGCTTCGGCGAGGCTGTCGACGAGGCCGTGGTGGAGGCGAGGAGGGCCGGCATTACCGGGGTGCCGACGTTCACGGTCCAGAGGCGGTGGAGGGTGGGCGGGAGCCAGGAGCCGGACGTCTTTCTGAGGGTGTTTGAGCGGGTCGAGGAGTAGCTTGCAAGGCAGGGCTCCGCTATCAACCAAAGAAGAGGCCATGGTTTCCATTGTACCCTGGACGAGTCAGCAGCATTGCAGTATCGGCATATCATTCATAGCAGAGCGTCGGAACTTGGTTATTGGTTGCATTTTGGTGTCCTTTTTTACTCTCTATTCGGTCACATCATTGAGAACCCTGTTCCCTCCACTGACCGTGACAAAGCCCTTTGTGTGCTCATCTATATAATCTTGAGCAGAAGAGCGCAAGAAACCTGCCAGTTTCGCCAATGAAGCCTGCCCTCCCGGTCCATGAACGCCTCTGAATGCAAAGTCTCGGTACAAAATTCGAATGGAGAAAAACGCCATCTGGTCTATCGTTTGACCATGTGACTGTAGTCCTTGAGCAGATGCTCCATGTGAGTGTTCGTCGTCTTGCCGGTCCGCCGCACGGCACGCTTCTTCTGCTGCTTCTTGGAGTCGACCTTCTTGATGGTGCTGGGGTCGGCGCTGGCGGGCTTCTGCCCAACAGAGACGAGCTTTTTCACTATGTCATCCGTGCTGGGCACCTCGACGGCGTTCCACATGCGCTTGAACTCGTCGTCAATTTGGTGGTGGAGCGAGGCGTCGTCGAGCCAGATAGCGCGGGGGTGCTGCTCTTTCTTAGTCTTGACGATGAGGATCTTGTGCTCGCGTTCAAGCTCCATCAGCGCCTGGTCGCAGTCCGGCCAGCCGTCCTTGAGGTCCTTGACTGAGGTGCCCTCGGCATCCTTCTTGCTCTGTAGGTGGCGTAGGAGCGAGATTTTGTCCCGGACGCCGGGGATGATGGGGCGGTGGATGTACGTGCCTGTCCTCCACGTCTGTTCCGAGAGCTTGGGGTCAGGAATCCACTGGATACGGGGATGGCGGCGCATGGCCTCAACAAGCTGTTGCTTGTGCTTGTCTGTGCTGCGGGTCTGGCCCAGGTGGTCAAAGATTTCGGTGGCCGTCTTGGCATCATCCTTGCCCTTCAGCCACTCGAGGGCATACTGCATCTGGGTGAACACCTCCTGACCGAAGCTGGTGTTTTGCGGCTGGGAGTAGACGATCGCGTTGGGGTCGCGTTTGCGCTTTCCCGGTGCCGTTGTCTCATTTTTGGAACTGCCGACCGATGGAGACGGCGACGGCGGTGCGAGCGATTGGTTTTTGGACGTCAGCTTGCTCGCTGCCGAGGCGAGCGAGCTGCTGAAGGCCGCTTTTTGCTTCTCAAGAAGAGAAGACATGATGAATTATGTGTGATGTTAGGACGTTCGAATTGATGGTGTCGCGGGCGCCCAGGATAATGGTGTGATGATGTTACGCTTTCGATGTGGCTCCACGCAGAAGCCAGCAGGAGTGGACCGGTCGGTCTCGACTAAGCGTTCCGAGAACCTTCCACGGCGTCGCAAATTGGTCTTGCCGACCGTGTTTAATCAATCACTAGCCGAAAGAACGAAATGGCTTCGAGGGTACGATTGTCTTGCGCAAGCTGAACTGTCCCTTCCAGCGCTATCTGCGACGTTACGAAGGTAGGAGACCAGGTCCTCCAGATGGCGGCTTCTTGATTCGCAGGCGCAGCCAGACGTGCCGATCGTGCTGGAACAGCCACTTCTGTAATGACCGTTGTTTTTGTTATTTAGTCGAGCCTGCCGTCCGCGCTGCGTTTGGGTGTTGCGATCTTCCAGACCTGAAGCTTCAAGCTTTCCAGCTTCGGTCACCCTCGTGGTCGGTCGCTCGGATCGATTTCGCCTGTATCTCTACGACTCGACCAGTCCTTGCCCCAGCTGCAGATACCCGTATATTCGGCGTACGTTCGTTTACAGTCGGCTTGCGGGATTTCGCTGTGAAATGGCAGCCTGCTTTGGGAGGTGAAAAAGAAGGCTTCTTTGTCAATCGTTGGGTGGTGGGACGCTTGCTGATTCAATTCTCTGGAAACTCGACGTTCCTTATTGTGGCGCACGGACGAGGCTGATGGCTTGCCTCAGCCACATAGTGATTGGTTGGCTCGGCATCTGGAGCCACCCCGATTCCGCTCCCAAATATTGCGAGGTGGGTTGGTGGTGGTGGTGGGCAAGGGGCCATTTGGTGGCGGGAGCGCGGGTTGAGGCGAAGGTGAAAGCCTCCGGGTTGTTACGATACGACGAATTCACCGCTAATGAGCACGCTTGTAAGAAGAGTCATCTCCACTATTGAGAGAGGATTTCTGGCCTTCGAGGAACCAATTGCTTCCACGCAGAGCGATACTGGCAGAGGAAGCCGGTTTGACCACCCATTCATCACGCCCGAGGCAAGACAAGATGCAGTCGATATGCAAGACATTTGCTTTGCCATTTGCGCAGCATCGCGCTGTCTGCTACCGGTATATGTTAAACAAAATCCCACAAAAAATCATGACCAGAACGCATATTCTATTACAAGCATATCTTCCCTTGACGGATTTGGCTCGGCCATAGTTGACCAGCCAGATCCCCTGCCGCTGAATTGAAATCAAAAAGCTTCTTGCAACGTCCTTCTGCGCCAGCTCATAACACACCCTCTTTCAGACATCGTGAGCCCCAACTGACGCAAGGGGATTTCGTAAAGACTCCTCTCTGGCAAATACCCTGCTTGTTGAAGGCGGCGGTTTACCATCCACTCGCGGACGACGTGCATGCACCCGCTTGTAATCTCCCCCTTTTAGCAGCAGGCGACTCGAGTTGAACCCTCGGCGTGGTTTGAAACGTAAAAGATAGCAGTGGCTGGCACTTTATGCGGAGGTCTGCTGCTGCTGCTGCTGGTACTGGTAACCGACGTAGGCGAGGATACCGCCGATGAGGAGGACGGCGTACAGGCCGATGCCGAAGCCACCGCTCTCGGTGCTGCTGGCTGAGCTGGTGGCGGCGGCCTGCTTCTTAGGGGCAGGGTCTCCGGGCTGCAAGAAAAGGAGCATGGCAAGGTTAGCATGGCTTATTCCTTAACCAGTTGGGGTATGCGGTTATGATGCGATGCGCCATTGCGTAGAGAAGGGGGTGGGGTCCGTTGTTGTCTTTGTTGCTGCTGCGTGGGAACTCACCTGGCGCTTCAGCTCACCGATGTGCAGCTGCTCCAGGGTCTCGCGGGCCTCGTCGCTGTGGCCAACATCTTCGAATGCCTCGGTGGCATCCTGACCGCCGACATCAAGAAGAACCTCCTCGCCACCGCTGTGCGCGAAGACAAAAGTTAGTCCGGGGTTACAATGTTGAGGAGGGCCTGAGGAAAGCCGAGTGGAGGCACAGCGCAGCGCAAAGCCGCGCAGGGAAGTAAGGCGAGGCAAGGCAAGGCAAGGCAAGACTTACGGGTGCTCATCGACAAACTTGGTAACGTCGTAGATCTTGTCGTGGATCACCATGTAGATGTCCTTCTTGGTGTTGTGCTCAGCAACATCCTGGTAGGTAAGTTCAACGCCCATTATGACAGATTTCAAAAACTGCTTAGGTTTTCTCCTTTCGTTTTTTGTTTACAGGTTTGTTGAGGTTGCTGTCTGGCGTGAATGCAGTAATGGATTTGAGGTGTGGTTTGTGCAAAGAGGAAGTTGTGAAGTGCTTCGAAGGGGAGGTTATTAACGGCTAAGACTTTTTTCCGTTGGCGAAATTGGCTACAAGGGGAGTGAGTTGGTGCAAGAGGGAATCGAACGAGAAGGAGGTCGCTCGGATGTTGAGCCCATTGAACACTCACACTTTATCGAGGGCCCAGGGAAATTAGGGAAGGCGCACTGCACTGGACTGCACTGTACGACTACCAGGCAACTGACAGCTGAGGAAGCTTCCACTGTGGACTGTGGGACTGTGGACACAACGGGTACAGCTTGGGGAGGGGAAAAGGGTATCGGTGGTCCGCGCAGGGGTATAATCTGAGCCAATCAGGCACACGTATATTAGTGCACAGTTGCTATGATTCGCCGGATGTGTGGGTGGGCGCTTTGGGGGAAAGAAGCTGCGGGGCCAATTTGCAAGGCAAAAGACTAGAGATGGTAGAAATCCTAGCTGGTAGTGACACTATTACGGGACTTGGACGGGAAAGGAGAATAGGTAGTCTCCGTATCGGTGTCCGTCTTCCACTCAAGACCGACAAACTTGCGCTGCCAGTATGGCATAGCGATCGATGTTAATCGGCAGAGACAACCAAGTCACCTACTCATTAAGAACGCAACGCTCCCGAGTCAGGTGTAGGTTTCGCGTTGCAAGATCGCTTTTACCGCTCCAAGCTCCCGCGGTGCACAAAGACAACTTGGCTTGTTTCGAAACGGATTGGTCGCCCCCTCCCCTCCCCTCCCCTCGTGCCTCCAACAGCCGGAATCCCGTCGGTGTCCGGGTGCTAATGGTCTGTGGCTGGGGCGGGCGGCTATTGTTCGCTGCAGCTTTTCCTTGCTACTATTGTCTCTTGCATAGCTAATTATGTAGGATTTCTCGGCCATATGGGCCTGTATATTTCCCATCTCTCGCCCAGTCGGCTTATCGAATACTCGCAATCCGGTCCCCGGTTTTTTTCGTGTTCGTAAACTTAACGACCCGCCAATCGCCGGACTTATCAGCAACCCCGACTGCGACCTCGCTGAGCCCGCCGCTGCAGCTGCAACGGCTGGCTTATCTTGTCCTAATCCCGCTGGTTTTCAGATGCGGGAACAGCATCATCCTTGACTAATACCGGTGTCTGCCGCTGTCCCGCCTTCCCATCTACACATGCATGCCATCGTTTCGGAGATTGCCTTCTTTCACCGCCGCCCACCGAGGCTCTATGAACCCGAGGGTTCCGGACTCTTCAACGGCATGAGTCTCAGTTCTGCTTCTCAAATGCGAATATAAACCAGGCTACCGGATGCCACAGCCTGCTCCAACCCGAACCACATACATCAAAGTTTTGACTGGCACATCTCTCGTCTCCATAGGGCAGTGCCTCCTACCTATTAGAACCTCCAAAGGATTCCGAAGGCACTCCGGACGGTCTCGGCATCTGCCATGTCAGTCCCGTGGAAAGCGAAAGGCGGGGAACGCGCGGGTTAGAGATCCCGCTCCTCGTGGCCAACCGCCAACGCTGACGATGGATAACCGTTCGCGTCATACTGCCTAAACAGGTATTTCTCGCCGGTCTTCGAAGCTGCTGTATTTCTCCCGCGGTGACATTAAATAATCTAACGCATTCGTTCGACGAGGCTGAGGCTGAGGCTGAGGAATGCGCCTCGCTTATCATTGTGAACACGGGAACCAGTGTGCTACCCTCGTATGTTTTAAAAAGCTTTTAACCATTTCTAGCCTGTATGCTGAATGCGCAAAAGAGCATCGTTCCAAGCATGACCCTTCCAGGAAAAGTTCCACACGTTCCCGGCTCATCGTCTCGCGCCGCCGCCAATGTCCTGGCCCAACCTGTACGAGGTGATCTTGTCCCACTCGATCTTCTGTCTCGTCACGGGCAGCTGCCGTCTTAGGCCCTTGAACGCGCCCTCGCTTAGGCTTGTGAATCCCCTGTTCAGCTCCTCCTGGTACTTCTTCTCCGACGTCGAGATCTCCTTGACGATGCCGGCGCCCGTGCCCGACGAGACCGAAGCCTGTGAGGGACGATTGGTGAGAAGCCGGACGTTGCCATCCTCGTAGTAGTGCACGTCAACCTTTACGGAACCCTCGAGGCTCGAGGAAGAGGGGTCGAAGATGTAGAGGGACCGCCAACGACCGTTCCTGAACACTATTAGTACTGACATTAAATGGAAATACTGATTTGAGCACCCGTACCAGAAGTTGTTGGGAGAGTATTTGTTCGAGACAATGATGACTGCTACCTGGGTGTCGTTCGCAGTTGGGTAGACGCCATACGCGGCATTAGGGAAGTGCTCCTGGACATAGGGACCAAGACTCTTCAATGTCGACTTGCTGCAAAGCTCTTAGCACCACGAGCATTCCACCCGAACTGTTCAACCTACATCAAGTCCGCATTTGCGCTCTCCAGCACGTAGCTTTGCACGTTGCTGGCCTTCTGTGTGCTGTGGTCGAAGGAGAAGCTCGTCGAGCTCTCGACGTCAAAGTACTGGCCGTCACCAAGCGAGCTGTGGGAGCTTATGATGACCTGCACCATCTTATTAACATCCAATATCTTCTGGCGGCCGTTTCGAACTAACCTGCTGGCTTCCGCCCGGTAGCTTCACCGTAGCGAACTGCTCCTCGTTATACTTCTTAAACGCCGGCTCGAGGCTGGAGACAATGTCGGGATCCGACGCAGTGAGCGACTTGATGTCTTTGTCGTATTAGTATCGTTCGAGCCTGTAATCCTTCTAGGGATGGCGTGCGGAGCGCGTGGCATTACCTGCGATAACATCTGCGAGCTTTAATCGGGTTAGCTTGGTTTGCAGCTATGCGGTTAGGGAGTAGTGGACGAACCTCGCCGGGGGGGGCTCCCTCCACGAAGGAGGAGACGGTCTCGACTTGGGACATTTCGAATCTACTGCACTGGGAAAAGGGCTCGGTAGGTCGTGCAAGCTAGACGTTGGACGTTGAATGGCGGTGATGCGGATGCGGATGCGGATGCGGCTGCGATGTCGAGCTGCTGCTGCTGCTCCCGACGTTGAAACGTAATGCGGGGCAATTGGAGGCGGGACTGGAGACGACGGATTGGCTAGGAAAGGGGCTAAATTGTTAGCGCTAAACCTCCATTCACGCGGAAGGAAGAGGGGCACACGAGGTACTTTCTCATCGTCACGCTGCCAAACAATCTGGCTTCCATCACTGCAATGGCATCTACATTTTACAATTCTACTGAACTCATATATCCGAAGACAATTCGCGTTTTCATCATAGGTATGTACTACATTTTGGCACCTGCCCTTCCACGTTCCAGAATCTCCCGATCCGCCGGCAATTGCCTCAATAGTCCAGCACTCTTTTGATATTGTCGTAGACCCCTGGGCAAGTCAGCATTGCTCGATGTCACGAACAGGACAGAGTCAGACTTACTTGCTACATCCGGAATGTTGAACCTCTCGTATGACAACGGGGTGTGAATGCTCCATCCCGCAACCCTCGCAACGGGCGCTTCCAGTCTCAGGAACGTGTCAGGGTCCTCTTGAATAGTAGCAGCAACTTCGGCTCCAATACCAGCATTTACCATGGCCTCGTGCACCACAACGCAGTGGCCAGTCTTACGCACACTCTGGAACACCGTCTCCTTATCCCAAGGGTACAGTGTTCTCAGATCGATGAGCTCGACAGAGATGCCCAAGTCTTCCTCAGCTCGCTGAATGGCCGACATGCACGTGTACAGAGGCTGCCCGTATGAGATGATTGTGACATCCTTGCCTTCCTTGAGGACTTCCGCCTTGGACAGAGGTAGCGTATATGCCCCCGCTGGAACCTGTTCGACGGCAGCTCTGTACAGAATCTTGGGCTCCATGAAGATGCAGGGGTCGTTGCTGCGGATGGCTGCTAGCAATAGACCCTTGGCCTGAAGAGGAGATCTGGGCATTATCACTCGCAAGCCAGGAATGTGAGTGAACAGACTCTCGGGTGACTGAGAGTGGTATAGGGCGCCGTGGCCGACGCCGCCGCAGGGCATTCGCACAGTTAGTCCGCCCACGCTGCGACCACACGCTCCGTCTCTATACCGGTACTTGGCCGCTTCGTTGACCAGTTGATCGAATGCCGGGTAGACGTAGTCAGCAAACTGGATCTCCGCGACTGGCCGCATACCCTCCGCCGCTGCTCCGATGGCGAATCCCATGATACCTTGTTCTGTGAGAGGTGTATTGAAGATACGATCGGCACCGTATGTCTCGGCCAGCTTCATCGTGCACCTAAAGACACCACCAAAGGCTACGTCTTCGCCAAACACCATGACGGAGTCATCCTCCGCCAACGCAATTGAGAGGGCGTCATTGATGGCTTGGAACAGGTTCATCTTCTTTGTCGTGCCATTTCGTACCTCCTCCGGAAGGTCTGCTGTGCTGAGGGCTGTCTGGGAGGAGTGTGCGAGTAGCGAGGTCGTCGCGTAGTCGACGGGAATGTTGAGCTTCGCATTCGGAGGGTGTGTCGAGTAAAGCCGAGAGACGGCGAGGGGAAGCTGTATTGAGGCTGACGGCGCCAGCGCTCGCCGCAATGGACGTATTGAGATAGATGACCTCATTGCGAATAATTGAGAGAGCCAAAGGAAGTGTTACGAGGAGTCAATTCCTGGATTTGGAAAGGGACTAGAGATGAAGGGATTGAGGACGGCCGGCTCAACGAGGGGGCTCTCTCGTCCTAAACCGAGGGATGGCGGGTGATGTAAGTCAAGTTCGGCTTGCGCCGGCGTTCGCGGGGCTGTAGCGGCCCTTGGCTCCCACAGACCCTTGTAGCCACTTTACGCCCTGATAAGATCGATACATCGATTGTTGTCCTGCCAACTGCCGAGCTGTCTATGCACCTCCAAAACAGGGAATTGGATTCGTTACCCTTGGCGTCAGCACGTACGTATTCACGTCTGGAATGTTGACCGAACCCAAAACATTCCAGTGCAACGGCGGCTAGCACTTTCACGGACAAACCATCGACGAAAATGTCGCCCGGTGAATCTTCCCGACCGTCGTCGCATCGGCCACGAGACTCATCGGGCAGGAAGCATCATCACAAGAAACGACGATCGCAGGGGCAAGGATCCAGACGGCCAGCCACAGACTCGGGGGAGAGCAGGGACGAGAGGAGGTCACAAGCGCTGTCTGCTGATGCGCTGGCGGCACTCAACCACGAGAACACGAAGAGGAAAAAGAGAAGGGAGTCGCGTGCGGACGGCACAAGGGATCCAGAGAGAGACGCAGAGAGGGCGGCAGAACGAGCAGAGAGGAGAAGGGCGCGGCGCGAACAACAGTACAGAGATGCGCCGCGGGAGCGTCCGAGGAGGGCGGAGCGGGAGCTGGACGGAGAAGCGATCTACGAAAAGCCAAGGAGAGAACACAAGGGCAACAAGAGACGGGTGGTCAGCGGCGCTGTGGTGGAGGAGGGACGCTCGCGCGGCCACTTGCGAGGCGGCGGATGGAGCAGTTCTGACCACAGCCTCGAGAAGGAGTACTTGATCGTAGATCCCCCACAGCCCGTGCGGAAGCGGAAGAAGCTTTGTGAGTCAAACAGGCGCGGGCATTTCTGACGATGACTAACCTTGACAGGGATTTGCCTCGGAATTTCGCTGGTGCTGCTCATCATCATCATCGTGGTGGCAGTAGTGGTCAGCAAGAACAACTCGAACAAGAGCAGCCCGTCGAAAACCACTCTGGGCGACAGCGATGAGGACAGCGTACCGATGCAGTGGCGCGGGACCTACCTTGACCCGTGGTCCTGGCTGGACACGACCGACTTCAACGTTACTTTTACCGATGAAATGGTTGGCGACCTACCCGTCATGGGCCTATACACGGACTGGGACGACTCGCAGCGCGCCAACGACAAGGTGCCAGCCATCAAAGATTCTTGGGGGTCGTACGGATCACGACCGGCCCGCGGCGTCAACGTCGGCGGGTGGCTAAACCTGGAACCCTTTATCACGCCGTCGCTATTCGACTACGACTCGCGGTTGGGTATCATTGACGAGTACACGCTTTGCCAGTACCTCGGCACGAAGAAGACGGCCGAGGTCCTCGAGAAGCACTACGCGACGTTCGTTACGGAATCGACGTTCAAGGAAATCGCCGATGCCGGCCTCGACCATGTCCGCATCCCCTTCAACTACTGGGCCGTCGAGGTCTACGACGGGGACCCGTACCTCTTCCGCACCTCCTGGCGCTACCTCCTTCGCGGCATCGAGTGGGCTCGCAAGTACGGCCTCCGGGTCAACCTCGACGTCCACGGGCTGCCCGGCAGTCAGAACGGTTGGAACCACTCCGGCCGGCAGGGCGCTATCGGCTGGCTCAACGGCAAGGACGGCGCGACGAACGCGCAGCGCAGTCTCGACATGCACGACCGGCTCTCCAAGTTCTTCGCTCAAGACCGGTACAAGAACATCATCGCCTTTTACGGGCTGGCCAACGAGCCGCGCAACGTGGAGCTGAATAACGCGGACGTGGTGTCGTGGACGGCGCAGGCGTACAAGCTGGTCAAGAGCAATGGCATCGGGGGCATCGTGGTCTTTGGCGACGGGTTCATGGGGCTGGCCAACTGGCAGGGCAAGTTGACGGGGTATAGCGATCTGGCGCTCGATGTGCACCAGTACGTCATTTTCAACACGGACCAGATCGTCTATACGCACAAGAAGAAGGTTGAGTACGCGTGTAGCGGGTGGACGCAGCAGGCGGAGCAGTCGATGGACACGTCGACGGGGTACGGGCCGACGCTCTTCGCCGAGTGGTCGCAGGCGGACACGGATTGCGCCAAGTACCTCACCAACGTCGGCTGGGGCAACCGATGGACTGGCACTTACAACACGGGCAACGCGACGACGTCGATCCTCGAGCCCCGGTGCCCGACGCAGGACACGAGGTGCGACTGCAACGCGGCCAACGGCGACGCCAACGGGTTCAGCAGCGACTACAAGAAGTTCCTGCAGATGTTCGCTGAGGCGCAGATGCACTCGTTCGAGAAGGGGTGGGGGTGGTGGTACTGGACGTGGGACACGGAGAGTGCGCCGCTGTGGAGCTACAAGAAGGGCCTCGCGGCCGGGATCCTGCCGGCCAAGGCGTACGACCGGGACTTTGACTGCTCAGGGACCGTGCCGGATTTTGACGACGTGCCAGAGTACTACCGGATGTGAGAGAGCGGACTTTCGGAGGTCCGGCGGCGGGCGGGCGGACGACTAGTAGTAGACGACGACACACGGACGACACGTAAGGATTTTGTTGCATGCAATTGGCGTTTTTTGTTTTTTTTAATTCCTTCCAGGGTTCGGCAACTGCATTTTTTTAATTGGTTTAACAGGGCATATTTCATGTATAGAGAAGAGCGACGGGCGATGATAGTCATGTAGCAAGGGAAGATTGAAGGCCATGTATGATAATGACGCACCAATGGAGATGCACACGACGAGACTCCGAGTAGATAGTCAAACAATGGATAGAGTTACATAGACCGGCATGCTCTTCGGTGATGTTTTTTCTGGTCCCAAAAAACCCTGACAGTACATTTGGCAAGCAAGCGACGGGTAAAGAGATGATGGCAGCGAACGAATGGAGCATTACCAATCCAGCACATGTCGGGTGATGTTCAAGCTTTAGTAATACTCACGGTTCGCGAATCTAGGTATTAGCAGCAGCAGCAGCAGCACGTCACTTGGGTGGCCCAATAATTAACAAGGCGGATTTAGCCAGCACCGAATAGCGGATTGGGCGCGGAGATAGAGAGTCATGGACGGAGAGAAGGGGGTTATCAATACGAATTGTTGAGGAGCTGTCAGGAAAAGCACAGGCTTTGGTGCCGGCGGCGTGGGAGCGACGTGACGCCATCCGATCCTCGCGGCTTCGGCGCTGTGCACAAGAAGCGAAGCGACGAAGCATCAGCGTCCGGATCGGGCTAACCAGCATGCTGGTGGAGGTTCACAGAGTACCTACAGTACCGGCTCAAAAGTCTTGTTACAGCAAAAAGAACACCCAATCAAGCAACTAGGAATGCACCGTGTGACCCATATTTATAAAGGATTTACACAGCATTATCATAATAACCGAATTGTTTAGCCTTGGTTTATGTGAGACAAGCATCATGTGACCCTTATTGCTGTTACAAGACTTTTGAGCTGGTACTGTACCTAGGTACCTACCTAGGTAGGGTGGGGGGGCCCAGATATGATACTTCTTAGTGTAGGCAGTTGGGGTGCGGGGATCAACCTTCCATTCCATTCCTCCCCCTCCATCAGTGAGGTCGCGATGCTGCGACGTACCTGGTTCGTCACGAACCTCCAGGAAGGACTGGCGTTTCTCTAGTGGGAGAAGAAGAAGAAGAAGAAAAAGAAGAAGAAGGGAAGGAAGAAGTAGGATCCCTTCCTCTCCCTCCCAGAGCTTCAAGGTCAATCCGGTCTAGCTTCGCTCCGGGGGCCGACCGCTCGTATGCCCAGGGTACGTGGAATTCCGCCGTCTGGTCTGTGGTTGTGTTTGTCGGGGTTGGCTTCTCCAGCGCGTACGTTACAAGACCCGTTTTAGCCCTACGACTCGTTGCCGGAAAGTTTACTAAATGATTGACAGGCGCCTCCTGTCTCACCCTATCGATGCTGCAGATGTCGAAGGGTGTCTGCTCTCTCTCGGTTTTTGCGGCGTCACGTCACCGACGGTTTGTTTCCGAAGCCGCTCCGCCGGTCCCTTTTTTCTTTCTTTTTTTCCCCTTCTGTTTTTTTTCTTTTCTTTCCACTTTCCCATGCGGCACTTTTCTCGTTTTGTGGTGCTTACTAACGGAATGCGATAAACCTGCTATTCCAACGAGATGGTTGCGGCACCCGTGTGATGGCACCAGACGAGCGCTCTCTCTCTCTCTCTCTCTCTCTCTCTCTCTCTCTCTCTCCCCCCCCACTCCCACTCCCACTCCCATTCTCACTCCATTTTTACTCTCCGATACTGATGTCCTTGGTTGGCTATTGCCGGCCGCCGCCGCGCCTCCGGGGATAAATCGCAAAGGCGGCGGCGACCCCCCCCGTTTTGCAGCAGCAGCGTCATCCATTCCCACCCGCCTTCGTCCACAGGGGCTCCACGACATGGTTGTGCCCCCCTCCCCTCCCTTCGCGTTGGCCGCAATGACGAGATCCACTTCCAGGCCGGGGTACCATTGAATCAAGAGCGAGCAACGAACCGCGTCTCTGGGCTGAATAATCTACCAAATGGTGACGGATGCGCCGCTAGCTGGAACCACTCATCCATCATTGACTAATGTAACTGCGCTCGTAGTGGTGTAGGGGATTGAGCGATACGTAGCTTGGATGATGGTCGTGCGTGATGATGGTATTCTGCCGTGCTATCCATACCCACTTACTTGACCTTGTTCGAACTGCAAACAAAAAGGAGACTATCGCCCGCTTCCCTGTTCTGTTCTTCCGATCTCGTGGTTACAGATAGGAAACAAAAGCGTTTCAACGGGAGATGTCTTTTGTTTCCGCCACTTCTTGACAAAATCTATCCACACCCTACCATCTGTTGGCCGCAAGCAAAATTGGGCCAAGCAGTCGAACCTGACCTACCTCGATCCTGGTTCTATCACGATCCACAGTAGCCTCCTGGAACTCGGAAGCCGGCCCACACCACACACCGGAACACCCTTACTTATATACCCGACATCCGCGACCCGAGTATCAAAAGGGGGGGGGGGGGGGGAGAAAGGGGGGGAACGATAATATTCAATCGTGTGGAACTGCCTGTTCTTCGCTTCAACAAAGTCAGTTGCCCGACCATGACGGACGACATCGAAAAGGCCGAGAGCCGCTCGTCCCATCCCGACAATGACAGCACCACGGTCCACGGGGAGTCGGGCTTCGAACCCATCCGCACCGGCACCATCAGCAGCGCATCGACGCGATCCGCCCGGCGCTCGCGGTCCCTCAGCCGGTCGCGCTCGCACAACGGCTATAGCTGCGACGACTACGAGCACAGAGACGACAGCCCGCAGGGGCAGGGGGGAGCGGCCGAGAAAGAGGTCGACCCCTACGAGGTGGCCTTCGACGGCGGTGACAGCGACCCCATGTGCCCACGAAGCATGGGCAAGTTCAGAAAGTGGCTCGTCGTGTCCATCGTGTCGTGCGCCAGCTTTTGCGTGTAAGTGAGACCGCCGGTATATGAGGAACGGGGGCGTTGACGTTGTGAGACAGCACCGCCGCGAGTTCCATCTACACGTCGACTTACGGCCAGATGGACGCCGAGTTCGGCAACTCCCGTATCGTGGCCACCATCGGCCTGTCGACTTTCGTCCTTGGAATCAGCCTGGGCCCCATGTTCTTGAGCCCGCTCAGCGAGTTCTGCGGCCGCCGGCCCATCTACATTGTCTCCTGGAGTATGTATCTCATCTGGCTCATCCCTTCAGCCGTCGCCCACAACATCGCGACCATGATCGTCTCCCGCTTCTTCGACGGCCTATCGGGCAGCGCCTTCCTGGCCGTGTCTGGCGGCACCGTCAGCGACTTGTTCGCCCGCCATGAGCTCCAAGCTCCGATGCTCATGTACTCGCTTGCCCCCTTCATCGGGCCCTGCATTGGCCCGCTGATTGGCGGCTTCATCAACTACAACGCCGACTGGAGGTGGACCTATTATGTGTTGATCATCTGGGCCTTTGCGCTATTAGTCGCTATTCTCGTCTTCGTACCTGAGACGTATCGTGAGTTGACCCGTGGAGGGGACGCGCCTCTTTCCCCTTCCAACCCGCCTCGGATTAGCTCCTTGCGGCTGACGTGTGCGGTACAGATCCGGTTGTCCTTCGAAACAAGGCACGCAAGATGCGAAAGGAGACGGGAGATGAGCGCTGGAAGGCCCCCGTCGAGAAGACGACAAAGTCCGTCATCAAGACCATTGGCATCTCGTTGATGCGCCCCTTTCAGCTGCTCGCCTTCGAGCCCATGGTCCTCAACCTCGACATCTTTTCGGCAATCCTCTTGGGCATATTGTACCTCTTCTTCGGCGCGTTCCCGCTCGTCTTTAGCAACGTCCACGGTTTCAACCTGTGGCAAGTCGGATTGACCTTCATGGGCATCCTCGTTGGCATGTTCCTTGCCGCCGCGACCGACCCTTTGTGGCACCATATCCGCAGCCGGCTTATAGCCGATCTGGAGAAGGAGACGGGCGTCGAGGGGGCAAGCGAGCCAGAATTCCGGCTCCCTGCAGTCATCTGCGGCGCCTTCCTGTGCCCCATTGGCATCTTTTGGTTTGGATGGAGTCTCCATCTGCACTGGATCATGCCCATCATTGGATCTGCCATCTTTGGAGCAGGGTAAGTCGGCGTTTTTACCTTCGCACAGCATCGCAAGCACGACCCAAAGCTGGAGAATGACCCGTGATTCCACGACATGCCCGTGGTCGCCTCCGGCAGGTTTCTGCAGGTTTCTGCAGGTTCATGTATCTTCGCGCTTGCTCTCGGCCGTTAGGCAAGCTTTGTCAGGCCTTACGGACCACAGTGTTGTCTCGTTTTTATCCCCCAACTTGTATGCGGGACATGCAGCTAACCGCCTTGGTGGTGTCACAGAACTCTCCTTGTCTTTACTGGCATCTTTACGTTTCTTGTAAGTGTGGCCCTCTCGCTATCGGCTCCCCGATTGTGGCGTTCCAGGGGTTTGGAATCAGTCTCAGGACCGGGGGTTACACGACGGAATTGTGCTAAAAAAGTTTGGGCTCACAGGTCGATGCTTATCCCTTGTACGCCGCCTCGGCCCTCGCAAGCAATGCGTTTGTGCGATGCATGTTTGCTGGTGAGTTACCTAGTGGCACCAACGCTCATAACCACCCGGCCGGGTGGTGTCGTGTCTCGGTTCTATGCTGACTTGGATGCCTTGGGATAGCTGCCTTCCCGTTGTTCGGGACTCAAATGTACAACAAACTGGGATATTCCTGGGCCTCGTCGTTGCTCGCTTTCTTGACGGTGGCCATGCTGCCGTTTCCATTCATCTTCTTCAAGTACGGCAAGAGGATCAGGGCCCGCAGCCGATTCGCCACTCGTGGCTAGGAGGAAGAACGCTCGAGACTGATGAATGAAGCGCATGCGATCGGTGGCGAGCGGGCCGAGTCAACGCGAGATTCAGCGACAGCTGGTGAAGGATCAGACATGAGCGGCACCGCACAGACTTTGCAGATTGGCCCGGATGACTGACAGAGGCTGCTTGGCCCTGAATGGTCGATGGCGTCGCATGCAGCTCCGTTATTGCTATTAATTTCTGGTTGGGCGCATGCACGCAACGAGCACGTTCCTGACCCAGGCGGCCGAACAAGGATGCTGTATGGCAATATTGGACGACTAACAGCAGGCGGGAGACGGCACGTAGCAGATGCGGCTGCTAGTCACGACGATCGTCATGAGGTGACGGCAGCAGCCGTCTGCAAAAGGCCATAGGCTTGGCCTGTCATTGATCGAGTGGCATCAGGTAGTGGCGACACGACAAGGTGGAGGATCACGCTACACAAGGCCGCGTATCGAATGGCTGCCAATGACGGCGGCGTGAGGCCCTGTACGGTTTTGTGCTCGCATGCAACGAGATACCCCTAATATTTGCTGCACTGCATATAGATGAAGAGGCCGATGCTCGACCCGCGGGTTATACCAAATTTGAATGCCATGATGCCATACAAAAGCTTGGGCGAGCAGCGCCTGAGTCACACAGTCAAAGGTGAAGCCAATGTTAGTACACTGCCGGCGTCTGCTTGGCCCCGAGGCAGCACGGCGTTGGCCCTGGTGGACGCGTAGATCGTATTGGATCTCACGTGCAGCACAGGAACAGTGGAAATGCCAGATGGCCAATAGTGTGGCTTGCAGTTGCGTCGTTAACGCGATGCTGTGCAACTAGGATGGGACATATCGGTAAGAAAACTGAGGGGTGTCCGAGGGACTCCGGGCCATGAGGATAGGGTCAGATTAGGTATGGACATAGACGGGTAGGTTGTTGTTAGCAAGCGTTGGGTTTCGGATTTGATGAGATTTTGATACGATTTCAAGAGGTTAACATAAGAGTAGGCCGTGGGTGAGGTGAATTGGACCGTGAATTGGACCAAACAAGGTGTGGTCAGGTCGACCAGCCTGGCCCATGCACATGTTTGGCTTGTGCGAGAGGGTTGCCGTTTCCTGTTCGGATTGAACCTGGGCCCGAGCGGCATATGCACAGGTGCAGCTTCTGCAGGCGTAGGCGCAGCTGGCGGGGGGCAGGGCAAGCCTACACTACCTAGGTACGAATAGATACGTACCCTACCAAGAGACCAGCGAAACCTTGAAGAGGTCCGGAGGAACAATGGAAAGTAAGCAAGGTCCTTCCGTTTTTCTTTTCTTTTTATTATTGTTGAAGCACACAACCTTTTGCTCATGGTTTGACACAGTACTCCGGCACAAACCTGATCAAAAGGCTCTTCAAGGGACTTGACTGACGGCGCAAAATCTGGGCAACAACGGACGCGAACAGAGAGAGAGAGAGAGAGAGAGAGAGAGAGAGAGAGAGAGAGAGTATCAGGTACTCCAGCTCTGGGCGTCTACGGCGCCTGTCTGCCGCACTAGTTGTCGTCATTCTGAAGTAGCCGATACAGAGTGGGTCGTTGGGCTGGGTAGGTACCCACATGCGCCACCCACATCCCTCTTCACTCAGCCAATGGCGGGCCTGGCATTCTGTCCAAGGAAAACCCCGCAGCCCAGCAAGCAAATCTTGACCAACGACAGTGAGGCTGGGGGGGGGATGGTGTTCGTCCTCTGTGAGTATTAGTGCATGTGTGGGTGGGTGGTACTTTGCAGTTTCTCTTTCTCGGTTACCGTCAGCTCTAGAGACGAAACCTCCTCGCGTGCTCCTCTTCCACCCGACCGAGGATAAATATCGTGACTCCAAAAATCACAGGTTCCGACTCCAACCCCGACCCCGACCCCGACGACGAAGACGTCTTCCGCTCAATTGCGCCGCCGCGACTTCGACTTCGGCTTTGGACTGCGAATGCGACCCCCCTCCACAACCATTGCTTGCCCTAAACTAGTCATCGACTTTCGCTTGCCTGCTTGCCTGTGCCTGTCTGCAACAAGCACCAGGGCTACGGCTACCTGCAGACATCACGCTTGCTGTCGACCTCTTAGAACCTCTGTCACATCTACTCCGGCTCGAAGCCGTCGCCGCCGCCAGTCCTCGATCAGCTCCCAATACCCTGTCCCCCGTCCTCGTCCCCGTGACCTCATGTGGTCCGCGACGCAACCTCCGGTCTCTAGACGGCTGCGCCAACTATCGAGTCCTAGTCCTGCCGTGACGAGTACGTCGCACAAGGAACGCCTCCTTCTCTCCGCCTACCCACCATTGGAGACGTCTGACTGCTGAGGATACGAAAACCCAAGGCTCCCTCTCCCAATTTCACCTGCGTCGCCTTGCTTGTAAGCCGCTCGTCTGCCTGCGTACGGCGCATCTGGAAGGAAGGGAGACAACAGGACCCTCCCGTCCGCACTGCGGGAGCGCACAGCGCCTGATTCGGGTCTTGCCTCTGCCATACCACAACGGTCTGGCTCGGATCCCATTCGCAAACTCGAAGCTGCCCTTGCGCGCACCCAGGCTCTGAGGACAAAAAGCCCACGCCGGTGCCGCGCTGTAGACTGTGTGCCTCGCCAATCCAGCCAGACCCCCCCGGCGTGTGTCACTCAACTCTGACCGCAGGGAGATTTTCCCAATACATTTCCTATTCTGCAACGCCTGCCCAGCGCGACGCCAGGCCAGGCCTGGCCAGGCCCGCATACCTCCGTTTGAGGGTAAGCCGTGTGGTTTCGCAAGCATAGCACCAAGAAGTTTCCTGGATCGGGCTCTGCAGTACGCTTCCGTCACTGCGTCAGCAGTTGAGTTGTCTCTTTTTGCCCCGGGGAGGCCTGTATATAAACCCAAGACGCCATGCCGGACGGCCCCGAAGACACCGGGGCAGAGGCCTCGGATGCCATGTCAGATAATGACCACGAGTACGACGCCGACACGCCCGTAAAAGACGACGACGACGACAAGATGGCTGAATCCCACGAGAGCGGCGCCGACACCAATGGCGAGGTCAAGAAGAAGTATGATCCCAAGGACCCTTCACGGCCGAGGAGGAAGAAGGCTCGCCGGGCGTGCTTCGCCTGTCAAAGAGCCCACCTGACTTGTGGTAAGCTCCGCCCGATTTCTCAGGGTCCGGCTCGTAATAGTCTCTGGTTAAGTGAAATGCTTCTGAAGTCATGTTTCGCCTCATTTTTTCCTCCCTTCGTTTTTCTATATCACTCAGACACGGGCCGTGACTGCCATGCTCCACCCGTGTGGCTCTTTGCAATGCAATCTTGCTGATGTGATGACTACAGGAGATGAACGACCATGTCAGCGATGCATTAAACGTGGACTCGCAGACGCTTGCCAGGACGGCGTCCGCAAGAAGGCAAAGTATCTTCACGATGCTCCGCCAGAGGCCCTCCGGCCCGTATTAGGACCCAACTTCAACCCAACGGCCGCGCCGACCCGTCCCAACGGCCAGCGGCATCACAGCGGCACCTCGGACACGGCCTCCACCGCAGGCAGTACCTACTTTGGCCAAACCTCGACGGCATCCTTCCCCGTCTACTCCGGGCAGCAGACATCCGTAGGGATTCCCGAGAGCCTACCGTTCCAAGCGCAACCGTCACCGATATCACCGTCTTTCCCACAACCGAGCAACCCCGCGCGGTCCCTCGCCGGCATGATCTCGCCCCAGGTCGCCAGTGACCCCTTTAATACGTTGTTTGACCCCAGCAACCCGGCAATCTTCAACTTTGATCTGGAAGGGCTCAACTTTGGCAGCCAATACGGCGCCATGGAGTTTGGCATGCTTGGCCACATGTCGTCCGGCGCGGCCGAGACACCGCCGCGCGACGGGTCCTTATCCGGACCGGGCGGTGAAGTCAATTTCGGGTCCACAAACGTCTTTAGCAACGGCAACAACCAGTTTGGCCAAGTTTACGATAGCGGTATGATCAACGATTTCATGGGTGTAGACCAGTCTTCCAACGGCATGTACCAACAAGGCAATTTGCAACATGGCCTCCCACATGCCTACGCCATTGCTGCTGGCCCAACAAGCCTACATAGTCCCGGCACAGACCAGACAGCCAGCCCGCAACCTACTAACTTTACTTTTGAAGGATCTCCGAGTGGGAACTTTGGCACTGCTGGAAACTCTCAGACTATAACCGCCCCGAGTCGCCCCAAATCCAAACCTGGACAAGCTCAGAAAAGCGGACCGCACACACTCCTGGGCAAGCGGCAGCGCGACCCGTCATCCATCTACGATACCGTCAAGGAGCCGTATCCGTACCTGGCCGGCTTCCACGCCCTCATCGACTACCTGCCAAAACGCTTCTCCGCTAACCGGACGTTACGCATCGCCAAGGCACTCGCCAGCATTCGCCCGTCATTCATCGCCTGCACCAAGACGCTCAGCCGGCAGGACCTTATCTTCATGGAGAAGTGCTTCCAACGGACCCTGTTCGAGTACGAGGAGTTTATGCACCACTGCTCCGCGCCGACCATCGTCCTGCGCCGCACGGGCGAGATCGCCGCCGTCAACAAGGAGTTCATTGCGCTGACCGGGTGGACCAAGGACGTCCTCCTGGGGAACGAGTCGAACCTGAATGTCAACACGGGCGGGGCGGGATCTACCACCAACAGCGGCCGTAACACGGGCCGCGCCGGCATCTCGACGCCCAAGCCGCCCTCCTCGACGCTCGACCAGCTCAGGGGCGAGGGCGGATCACGCAAGCAGCCCGTCTTCATCGCCGAGATCCTCGACGACGATAGCGTCGTCGAGTTCTACGACGACTTTTCGCACCTCGCGTTCGGCGACAGCCGCGGCAGCGTCAACCGCACGTGCCGGATCCTCAAGTACCGCACCAAGGAGCAGGCCGAGGCCGCAGTGTCGACGGACATGGCGCCGCAGCAGGACCCGCGCAAGAGCATGCTCAGCAACCGTGTCACCCGCATCGACGGCGAGCACGGCATCTCCAAGATCGAGAAGGACGGCAAGGTGGACTGCCGGTATTGCTGGATGATTAAACGAGACGTATTCGATATCCCCATGTTGATTGTGATGAACGTGAGTACTGGCCTCCCTTCCCACCGAGGACGTCGACGACTAACAGAAGACAGTTCCTTCCATGCTATTACCCGAACAAAGAACCGCATGGCCTGGCAGTGTAAACCGGAGATGGAGAGGAAGGAGAAGGTGAAGGATGGGTGGGAAAAGGAGTGATCAGGGCATATATGAAGGAGTGAGCATGGGCGGCGTTTTTGTTTTATCTTTTGGGTTTGAAATCGGGACAGTGCCCCGACGTGTTTTTGTTCTTTCGGTTTCTGGTTATTCCCGTCATCAATCGAGGCATGGTTTACCCCTCCGTTTGGTAGGGAAGCAGGGTAAGGGCGCATCCCTGGATCATGATTCATTCATATTCATCGGTTTCTACAAACTTTTCGCTTCGACCATACCCTTTGAAGGGGAAAGGGGGAGAAGGGGGAGGATCTCGAACGAACCCTAGAGTCCTGCCCTCCCCCCTTACTATTACGGACAGAGTCAGAACTTTTGTTATTCATCGTCTTCAAATGATTATTTCTGATATGGAAATTCTACGCTTCTATTCACCCGTGGTCTATTGAAATCGTCATGATCGCTGTAAGGGGGGAAGGGGGTGGCCGTTCAGGCCTTGGGCAGCGGCTCGACGAGCCACTTGGCATCCAACGCGCCGTCCCTCTCGGCCCCGGGCCTTAGAGCCTTGGGCGGCGCCCAGGCGTCGCGGTCGAGCGAGGCCCGCGCGACGTCGCAGTCGGTGTTGATGTCGGCGACCAGGGCCTCGAGGCTCTTGTAGTCCTTCTCCTCGCGGACGAAGCCGAGGATCAGGAGGCGCATGTGGGCGTCGTAGAAGTCGGCCGCGAACTTGTGCAGCACGTGTACCTCGGCGGAGCGGACCGTGTTCTTGTAGAAGGGGTTGTAGCCGATGGACATGACCATGGGGTACAACTGGAACTCGAGGTGAGGCTGGGCTGGGCCGGAGCCGGAGGAGGGCGGCGGGGCGACGCGGTCCGGGTGCGAGGCGGGCAGGGAGAGGGAGGCCCAGCCGAAGTAGACGCCGGACTTGGCGGTGTCTATCCAGGGAGTCTGAGAGGCATCCACGGGGAGATTTGCGGTCGGGATCCCGAGCTGTGGTGGTGGTGGGGGACTTGGTCAGCGGCTTGGTCTCTTGCGAGGCTTCTCGTGTGAGACGAGTTTTTGGTGCGGTCCAAGAATGAGTGTGGGTGAGGGAGAGGGAGGGTGCTACGCAAGTGTAGAGTATGTGGGGTGCGAAGAACGAGGCGTGCGTGCATGCCGTGAGAGACGTTGGTGAGAGACGCGACATTGACTGACCTCCTTGGACCCCCTGCCGAAGCCAGATATCACCTTACCCTCCATCTTAAGCGGGAAGGGGGCCTCGGGACCAGAGTCCGGGCCGACGATGAGAGGGCGTGCTGTCTCTTCCGCCATCTTGTCCTTGTCGGGTGAGTGTGTGAGTGATGAAGTGTCGCTGTCTGAGAGTTTTTGTGCCCCTCTGCTGTGCTGATGAAATTCGGTGGTGCTGATTAATCTACGCCTGGGTGAGCTTCGCAGTCTCGTGGATGGATGCCTTTTCGCGCAACGAGGAATGGGCTCACAAATACTATAATTCCAAGTCAGAGAACCGGTTTTCTTTCGTGTGACCTATCTCGGAAGGAAAGGAAGTCTCTTTTTTTGAGTGGGATAGGTTCAAGGCTCGAAAAAGGCTGTGGAAGGTTTGCGAGAACTGGGGAAGTGCGACTTGAAGTGAGTGGTGAGTCGTCGTCGGTGGATGAGATGTGGTGGGGCTGGACGGTTGGATGGAGGGGTTGATAAGGCTTTGGCCGTCGTTATCAAACCGAAGGAGCGGGAGGGTGCAGGAAGGGGCATCTGTTTGCTCGGCCCGGACGAGTGTGGTGGGGGGCTCTTGGGGAAGGAGTCGGCAGGTCGGAGGCTGCCCGTATTACAATGCATCACAATATTGGTGCCTGGTCGCTCCTGTCCAATACTATTTATTGCATATCCGTCCCATGTAAGATTTTCAAGTGCGGAGACCTTGTCATCATTTTCTGACAAACGACAGTCTTTTCTTCTGCATAATTGCTAGGAGACACAAAATAAAACATCACCGGTCCAAACACAATGGGCGGTATTTCATACAAAAGGGGATATCAACAAAGTCCAACAAAGCAGAACCATCAACATGGAAATCCAACTGCAGGAAGAAGCGGGAGGTTAACTTCTCGCTAACACCTAAGGAAGGTAACTTCCGCGACCGTCTATAAAGCAACACCCATTCACTGACGAGGGGCAACATCGCGTCCCACCACACGAAACAAGATTCTCCAGAGTTGTAGATGCGACTGGTTCAGAGAAGCCCTCGCTGGCGCCGTGTAATGGCAGGAAACGCTGTGCAAGACGAGACACTCACGGCTGATCAGCAAGGTCGAACACTTCCGAAGGTTCACACGAACATATCGTACCCGGGGGATGGCGGCGACCGTCCCCTCGCCCAGTCTCTACGCCCCCGTTCCACCACACCGTTCCATCGACTCACTCAGCATCCGCGCAGGACCTAAGAGCGGGGCCACGGGCCGTGCTTCCACTCCGTCCGTCCAAGTCTCACGATCTCGGAGCCGTCAATCTCCCAAACACCGGCTGGGGCCTTCCCCTGCTCCACGAGGACGGCCGCGTGCACGGCGGCGCGAGCAATGACCTCGGCCTCCTGCCCAATGCTGTCCTGGATGTTGGTGCTGACCATGCCAAGAGCCTTTACGACACTCTGGACGATGCCCTCGGCGGCACGGCTCTCCTCACGCTGACCGAGGATGAGGCCGGGCTTGAGAATGATGCCGTGGTCTAAGCCGGCCTCCTTGATGGCGTCCTCGACACCATTCTTCATCTTGCTGTAGGGTGCTTGGCTCGAGAGGGCACTGCGGGTGCCAGCACTGGAAATGAAGATGAAGGCCTTGATGTTGGCGGCCTTGGCGGCCTTGACGAGCTCGACGTTGAGGTCATGGTCAATCTTCCACTGCTCAGCGATGCTGCCGGCGGCGGCGCGTGTAGTTCCGAGAGCGGAGATGACAACGGTGGGGAGCGGTTGCAGGGCGGCCAGCTTGGGTGGCCAGGCCGAGGTATCCTTCTCGATGATGGGCTTGAGGGTTAGGCCGCCGGCCTTGGGCGGGCGGCGCGAGATGGTGTTGACGGTGGCGAAGGCCTCCGAGGTGATGAGGTTGGTGAGGATGTGGGATCCGACGAGGCCGGTAGACCCAATGACTGCGGCCGAGTGCGCCATGGCAGTTGAGATGGTGAGGGAACAAATTTCGGCGCGACGGTGGCTTTGAAGAAGCAGGCACCTGCGTTTCAATGGCAAAATGGAAGAATAAGATGATCGAGTCGAGGGCCGACCCGGCGGTGTGGTATCTGGTGTAGACGACTCGGAACTGTCTGCGATGCTGCAGGTGCCGGCGTTCTGCTCCTGTCTGTATGTGGGACAAGAAAGAAGAGAAAGAAAGAAGAAAAGAGGCGCGAGAGCGAGGTGCAGGAAGTCCGTGAGATATGTTGATGCGGGCTTTATGGGAGCTTGTTGCTTGCTTGCTTCTCCTCCCGGTTCAAGGACCTGACCTCTACGCTGTCTGTGTGCCTTTGGTGAGACAAGGCCGTGAGGGGGGAGTGGTGGGGGGGTGCGACGAGGCAAGAAGGAGGGGGGATGGCAGATTTGGGCAGCAAGGGTAGAGAGCTGGATAATGCGAATGGATGGGATGCTTGCTTGTTGACGGGGCTCCAGCTAAGGAAAAGAAGATGGTCGTCGAGTAGTGCTCCTGGGTGATGACGAAAGGCTGTCTACGGTAACTTGATGTTGGCACCTGCACTTACACCAGAGACGACGGGTGGACCGGGATGGGACTGGATGGATGAGGCAGAGTGGCTGAGAAAATCACTGCGTTGCAGAAGGGACGATTGAGAAAGTTGGAACGGCGTGATTTTTAAACTCGGCCGGGGGAGGTCGGAGCGGGTTTCTCTAGGTAGGTAGTTCACATACATAGTAAGTACAAAGTGGGTAGGGTAGGTAGATGGTAGATACCTACCTGGGTAGGATGTACTGGGGACTCTGTAAGACGGCCTCAAAAGCCATGTTGCCTACCCAGTCATGCTCGAGCCTGCTCCACACCTGTAATTCTCTTTTGGCAACTGGACAGTCTGCGTATAATCGTTGCGGGAGCCTCTTTATCCACATTGCACTCCGTTCGCATCTAGGTTCGCCAGCCTCATCTGCCTCGGTGACTCTGCCTCACCGTCTTGCCAGGACGCACTTACACCGAAACCGACCAGTCCGGCCATACAACCTTGCATGAACAGAGGATTCTGCGCACGTCCAATCATGACCAGCACCGTTGGCCTTGTCATGGTATCGGAACACCTCTCGGAACACTGAGGTACAATGGCGCGATCAACGACATGCGTTGCAGAACGACGAACATCCATCGCAAGGTGAATGTTGCCAAGGCACCATGGCGATTTCCTAGGTCTGGCAGCACCCACATTACTCATGCGGATTCTGGGGGACTCGCTACCTGATCGCCGGGATCCTGCTTCCGTTGCCGCAACAGTTGATACTTTGGCGCACCCAATAGCCGAGGATTCTTCGTTCCGGCTGGTTAAAGCATTACAAGCTAGGTTTGGAAGTGCGAACTCTCTAGTACCTACATAATGGTACTTTCTACGTCTTCGAGCCATGGCCATGCCAGTTCGCATAACGATATATAATGTCGGCTCCCAGCTCGGGCTAAACATGACCAACTTGATCCACTCGTGCTTCATTCTGGTGACAAGATGATGTGCATACATACGATACGCTCTGCCTGTGTCCAAGCTTCCGCCTCTGCGGAACCCATGGCGGAGTTTTACCAGTTGTCGGGTCATCCGAATACTCCGAAATCCGACGCCAAGGAACCCATCAACTTGCAGGAGAGATTCCGCAGGAACAAGAATCATTGTCGCGATCGCAACAGTAGGCCACTGGCATACATAGTCCGCAGTGCGGGAAACCTTCCCCTTGGGCATGGGTTGCCCAGGTCAGCCACTGGTAGAAGAAGGTGTAAGGTGCAAGATGCGGCGGACAGCCACACCAGCGTGGGGTGCCGATCCCTGCATCTGCTTTCTGTTTTGCGGCGCACCTGCGCTGGGAGCTCCCCCTCCTTTCTGCTAGCCCCTCCCCTCACCTCCTCAGTCCGAACTTGCGACAACCAATGACTGCCTAGCCACATCATCGTCGCAGCCTCGTCCTGGTCTCCCCAAGAAAGTCTTAGAAAAGGAAAAGAGAAAAAAATTACACCACATCTCAACCTCAAATTCGATCCTCGAAAGAGCTTTACCTCTGATTCCAACCCCCCGTGTCGCCCTCGACACGTCTTAGCAGTCGGACAGCCGCCCAAAATGGCTACACAATACGAAAGTGAGCATAATCTCCTCCTTCTGCTCGCCTCGTATCCTATAAACCCAAACTTCCTCCGTCATGCGTTCTCTGACTAACAACCATCCCTCCCAGTCGAGCACAACATCAAGTCTGGGCCCTCGACCCAAGAAGGGACCCGTCGCATTGACATGTCCTCCTTCACCTCCTTCCTCCAAAACCTTACCACCAACGACGCCCCCTCCACGACCCGCCACACGAACCCGCACGCAACGCCAACCCCCGTCGACGCCGCCGCCCTCTACCACCTCCTCCAGCAGCAGTTCCAGACGCTCTTCTCCACGGCCCCCAACGCCGACAACGCCCGCTTCCTCTCCGGTCTCGTCGAGGCCCTCGAGCGCGACATCGCCAGCCCGCCCACCGAGATCCCCGGCGTCTCGCAGGAGTACCTCGACTCCCTTGACCGCGTCCCCAAGAAGGCCCTCGGCAAGGACGAGGCGTGTCCGATTTGCGCGGAAAAGTTCCTCGACGACCAGTACCCCCTCGTCGTCGAGCTGCCGTGCCACAGCAGCCACCGCTTCGACCTTGAGTGCGTGAGCCCCTGGTTGCGCAGCAAGGGCAGCTGTCCCATGTGCCGCAAGGACCTGACTAAGAAGAAGGAGCAGGTCGTCGTGCCAGACGACGAGGAGGAGAACGACGACCCTGATGGATTGTACGCGTAGATCGGGGGTGTGCGAGACGTGAACATGGTAAGTTTATGGAACGGAGTCAGCATGAGATGGGCGGCAAATGTAGGTTCGACGAACAGGTGAACGAGGGATGGACAAAAGACGTGGAAGGGGCCCGGAGTTTGATAGGAGTTGGGAGGGGGCCGCAATTGATACCCCCTTTGATTTTATTTCACGGCGGACGTACAAAAAAAATAAACTAAGACGGGCCCAAGTACGTGTTTCCATGTATGCTCAATGGCCATGCATTTGACATCAAGACGACAACAACGCCATTCTCTCTCTCTCTCTCTCTCTCTCTCTCTCTCTCTCTCTCTGTCTGTCTGTCTCCTCTCCCCTGCGTAGCTGCGTAGTTGATGCTGATGATACTAGTACATGCTCAACACCTCCCATCGGTCCACCGCTCCGAGTGTTCTACCTTCCTTTCTATCCGATTATACACCATCATCTTCTCCACCTAACCCGTGCAGAAGCATCGTGCAAACGAGCTTAGACGTTACCGGCCTTGGCCGCGCTCGACCCACCGCTCTTGCCCCCCTTTCTCGTCTCCTTGCCGGGCCCGCTGTCGCCAGCGGCCTTGTCGCCCTGCGGCTTGGACGCCGCCTGGTTGGCGCCCGACACGTCGAGGGAGCCGCCGCCGGCCTCGTCCTTCTCCGTGCCGGGCCGCGTCGTCGACGGGTCAAACGCCCCGTCCTCGTGCGCCACGTCCGAGTCCCGCCCCGTCTTTGTTCCCTCGGTCCCGCTCGGGTTCAACGACTCGCGGTCTTGCGTGTCCTTGTAGGCGTGCCGCCGCGCCGCGCCGCCCGCGAATGCCCGGCTTCTGGTCGCGGCGGCGCCTGCGGTGAAGCGCGGCTGGACGGCGGCGGCGCGGAAGTTGAGTGTGCGGAGGGCTCGGGACGCCATATTTCCGTGGCGGTGTTGTGTCGGTTTTTTCGTTTTTTCGTTCTTTCCTCTTTTTGTTCTCGTTGTCGATGTTGAATGATGTAAGTTCGACTGCGGATGGGTTTGCTCCCTTTTGGTTCTTCTATCTTCGAACGGTATACTCAGTTCAGCTCGGCTCCGTTCAATTGAAAGTTTTCGATCGGTTATAGGATTTTGCTTGGATTAGGGAGAAGAGAAGATCTGTAGAGTGGTCGTAATTGTGATGAGGGAGAGCTCTCCGGGCCCGTGACGTCATCCATATGTGTGTGCAATGACGGACAGGACCAGCCGCGGCTTGTGGCATCCGGCGTACTTACCTCAGATTGTCATCAATTCATCATTGCTATTTCCACCACCGTACCTAGATCAAAGAACAATTGAAAACCCGAGTCCTTTCCGACTCATAAACCGTATAGAGCAAAATTCGCTCTGCTTTTTCGGCGACCGATATGGCGCTCTGCTGTCCCTCTCTCCCCTCTCCGTCTATGTAGACCGGACCTCGTCTATCCCTTGCGACCTTATCAGAAGAGCTCCATTGCGGTGGCCGTGGGTTTCTCGCGAATCGCTGATTACATTCGAGTAGCTGCCGGTCAGTCCCTCGCTCAGAAACATGGCGGTTTGCTTAAGTCATTGAGCCTTCCCTCCCTCATTCCTTTGAGATCTTTGGGATCCCGTCCCCGTTTAGTCATGCCAGTTTCCGGAAAGGATGCATCCGGTCATTTATCGGACGCCTCAAGGAATAGGGTTGCAATTGTTTCAATGACTCAACCTCACTGGCCGTACAACTTGGCCAAGTCAGACCGCTGGAGCGACTGGACTGGACTAGACTACTTGCAAGTCCAATGTTGGGCCCCGTCCCTTTCACGGAATGTTTAAGACACCCACGGCGGCATTCTAACGAGAAAGCAACCTGGACACCTCGGGGTCCAATCATGCCTTCATCGGCCTTCTCTTTCCAGCCGTGGCTATCCTCATCCCCCATTCGCGTTTTCCGCTCTTGTTTCCCTCGTGTCCTCTGTTGGCCAGCTTACCCCCTCTTAAGATAGCAAGGAAAAGAACAAAGAATGGACAGGGCATTATACCCTTCCGCCTGTGTTCGTCGGTCGTGCGGACAGTTGGCCCAGCACTCACGGCCAAGATACGATATCGGGCCTGGAGTGCACACCAGGTCAGGCATGCGAATCCTCTCAGTGTACCAAGAGCTACTAGGTGCATTCTGCCCTCATCTTTGATGAGTTGAGTGAACGAGTTCGATTGTTAAACTGGTGCCCCCAGGCTTTGATCACGCAAGAGATCGGATGGTTCCAAAAAGCCACATACTGTACTGGTAATGATCAAACTACTAGTATACGACACGGCAGTTTCGACGCTGCTCACAGACTGGCAAGCTGGCTCTACAGAGCCGGAGCGAAGTCTCGGTTTTGCACCAAAGATCGTAGATCTCGGCCGAAACCAATCAGGCTAGCTGTCCGTGATTCGTCAAATCACTCGCGTGGCGCGGAGTGGTCGTATACCGGCTCCCGAGACAGTTGGCCAGCCGAAAGGGGCACGCCACAAACGTTCGCACTTCTCTCATTGGCGATGCTGGCATTTGTCCCAAGACATGGCCTTGGCCCACGACGGCTTCGTTACTTGAGAGGCCTTGCTAGAGAACCGACAGCTCGTGTGCAATTCTGGTCCCGCGGAAACTGGAAGGGCACATCGGTGATGCTATCGCCCGGCGGCAGACTGAGGTCGCACATAACAAGGCCGTTCTACCGATCATCTCTCGGCCATGAACAGCGCTTGTTGACACTCTGGCATTAGTATTTCAAATGAGATTGGGATTCTTTTTGGGGGGCCCTGGCAACCCATTCAATCAAGCCCCTTCGTCGCGCGCAACTGATCATTTCTTGAAACCAAATCTCCTGCAGTCCTGTCCTCTTGGAGCACGCAATGCTCCCCGCCCAGTTGGTAAAGTCAGTCCTGTACCTTCCAGCTCGCCGGCGAGAGCCAGATTTATTTTGTCATGCACGGGGGGGGGGGCCTTGAAGCAAGCCGAAGTGGTTCTGGGGTTGGCCAGCCGAATGATTGGAATTTTAATTAGAAATCTAAAACAAGCATTTCGAACGAATACGCCGTCTTCTGACTGGCATGACCGGAGGAATCGGCATGTCACTGTCGTATGTACTACCTCTACAGGTACGTTGACCGGCCGGCGGTCGAGATAACCCACAACATGCTAATTCGTTGATGCAATTGCAAGAGCTTGCGCGCCCCTCGCATGCAATGCCTATACTACCGTACGTTGCCAATGCGGTCCCTCTTAAGGTCGCCCAAGTACACAATATAGGCATACATGCCTATGCAGGGCAGCCACAGGACTCATTGCTCCTTCGCCACATGCCTTGAGGCTTATGCTAGTCAATGAAGCACCTCTGTTTCAAATCTGGAAGATAAGCAGACCCATAGATTGACACAATAATAGGAGAGCTTGGGGTTATGGATGATGCATCAAGACGTAAAAAAGTCGTCAATGATTTCCTAGACATCCCAGGGGCCATTACTGAACCCCTGAACATGGCGGTTGCCAGACTGGGCGAAAAGACCGACCTCCGCGGCCGTATTGTTGGGGTTTTGGTTACGATCTGCACGATCAGCAGTGTTGAGCAGTGAAGTTTGTGTGCGCAGCCCACGGCAGCGTTGTTAGTGGCGGAGTGGTCAGGTAAGCCACAACTGCTGGACTATCTGGCGACTATCAGCGGCAGACACCATCGCCCATCAAATGCTGGAAGAAGAAGAAGAAAAGAAAAGAAAAAAAAAAGGGGGGGGGGGGGGGGGGGGGATTGTGACATGTGTTTGACACGGAGATGACCGGTGATGGGTGCTCCCACGTCTAGCATGCTCCTCCAGTCGGAGCTTCTGAAACGAACCTGCAAGATTCTGGGATGAGCTTTTCGTGTGAGCATGGCATTGGTCGAGAATCCCATGCCATGGTCGGTGCCTGTTCATTTGGATGTACTCGTACTACGGTATGTTGACTCGGTTTTTATTATTGAGATGGGCCTCGTCCTCGAAACTCGGATTTATCAAGAGAGGTCTTCTATTTTTGGGTTGGTCGATGGAAAAGCACACGTCTCGAGTGGGACGCTGAGCGGAAAGCCAGTCTGGATTTGTTTCTTTCCGCCGACAGCGGTTTCCATTGTAACAGTGTCTCGAGTTAGCTGGCGGTGTGGCTTGGTTGGTAGAGCGAGTGCGGATGGGAATAAGATGAGTCGCTAATCTGGGCCAGCAGCAGGAAATCTAAGGGGAGGAATCTTTCCAGAAGACTGCAAAATGTTCTTTCGTGCTCCATAAGTTTTTCGCGTCCCACATGTTCCACATGTTCTTCGTGTCTCGGATTGGGCCAGGCGTGCCTGCGCTTCGTTGTCAGGCGGGTCAACATCTGTCAAGAGTGGGGCAAGCAGCGGTACATGTACATAGTACTTACGATGCGTCGTCATCGTCGTTGGGTGCCGAACAGCAGGCCTGTACACAGTTTCGAGATGCTTTTCCTCACTTCTTTTGCTCTTGGCGGTGAAGCTGATGCGCAAGCCTCGATCATCAGTTCCTCGAAAAACAGTGGAACAGACCAGGTTTGGGGGACACCTGATGCTGACGGGGCCTCGACAGCCATTCGCGCCGACGAACATGTTTCTCGGCTCACTGCGGAGATGATGGAGCATACACGCGACGATGGGGCACGGAGTCTCAATGGTACCCAAAATCTGTTTGGCAGAAAGTCCGGGTTGCGAAGAGGTCGACCGCCAGCCGATTCGAATGTAGGTTCGCCCAATTTCCCTTGTGATGGTTGGTGTTAGTCAGGTTTGTCAGTCGTGTGGCAGAAGGGCATACGCAGAGAGGAACAGAGAGGCGAGCTAAGGAAACCTGAAAGGGACGAAAGGGCACCATAGCATTCTCCATACGTGGGGGCGGCAGGGATGCCAAATCGACTTGCTGCCGCCCTGTTGATACATTGACTGCTCTGAATCCGGCAAAAGCAAATGTACGGCGCCCGCTTGCGGGGCAGGACATAACGAAGACGTGGTGGCGTCCCTTGCATCCGTCTTGTTGTGATGCAGTTTGCAAAGACGAAGAAGGAGAAGTGGTGTAATTTGACACTGGGTTGGTTACATGCCTTTCAGGTCCGTGATTCCCGGCGCTGGGCTCTCACGTCCCTTAGTGGATCTTGACATGCGGTCAAGATCCATGGTACCGGTGTTTAAGCAGAGAGTCCAAGTACCTATTTTGGTAGCGTGAGTCTCTGGGAATTTCTCAACATCGTAGCCGAAACATGGCTCTGCGAATTTCGATGATAGGCCGGTTTGCTGGCCAGTAGCTTGCACCGCGGCAGCATCCATATGTATGGCGGAAGAGGGAAAGAGAGGGGGAAGTTGGGCAACGGACGGCCGGCCGGCAACTAGGGCGAAGGCCCGGGTCGGTTTGTCGGCGGTTGGCCTCGTGGCCACGACATTTTGATCTAGGGGCGCCTAACTTAGCACGGCGCGATATAGGCCTGGGCGTTGGCTCGTTATCTGCTGCCATCCATGACCATTGCAACGATGGCTGGTCGACCATGAACTCGTCGGTGATTGGCGACTTGGTTTAACTTCGTGTACAAAACCTTCTCGAGTCCCCAAGGTACTGCATCGAACCTTGTCTTCAAGGGAATAGCTATGGCCTGCCCCTCGAATTCGTCCAGTAACCAAGCGTAAGCGTTCGACGGTCCAGATGCGGCTGGCCCATCGAAGGCCGCCGATGTGTTAGGTTTGGGTTGAGTCAAGTCGCGGCCGCGGTCGACGCTAATCAATGTCAGTTGCTTGATGGGGCTGTTTGTCGTACCCAGGATCGATTGGCTGCGGTGGCACCGGCGACGGCTCTTGACTTGGACGTAAAGAGGAAACATGATGCGAATGTCTACCTGTAGGGAGAAGCCGCGCAATGAAGCACGGTCAGGTTTGGTCGAGTCGAGCGAGATTGGTTGTGCCATGGATGTTGTTCCAGAAGCGGCGTGTTACTTGATGCGTGGCGTCCCCTGTCTAACTCGTTGCCGAAGGTGATGTAAGACGATTACGCCAAGGGGCAGGGAGTAAGAGTAGGTAGGTGGGTAGGTAGGTAGGTGCGAGAGCTTCGGGTAGGTAGAGAGGTTGGCCGTGACTTTGTTCCTCAACCATCTCGATCCAAACGCAGGAGTTGGTTGCCGCAACTGCCACACTAGGTTCTGGCTGAACGGCATAGGGATGGCATATGTCGCACGCCGCACCACGCGACATGTGGTGGGCATCCGGCAAAGGCGTTGGGCAGTCGGCTCCAGCTTCGGGCGAGACTCCTATTCGTGTTTCCTCAGCTGTCAGACAAGTAAGTGCACGTTTCGGACCTTTTGGTGGGTGTCTGTAGGTAAAAAAAGAGAAAGAAAGAAAAACAACGGCATATGTATCTGGAATAATGAAAATAGAACGATACCGTACGTTTCTATTGACTCGGGTGGGGGGAGCGTGTGGTTACCTGGAGTTCGGGCACAACACCTCGCTACCTATGTGGGTAAGTAGTTAGATAGGTAGGTAGGTAGGTAGGTAGGTAGGTATAAACTTGGCGGATGTCGCAGCTAGCGATGCTTTTCTCAACCAATGGATGGATGGTAAACTCCTGCCTGAGAGTACTAGGTAAAACCAGGTAAATCTACCCTCAGCACGGGTATTCCGGAGCAGGATCCGTGGGCCAAGGAAAGTTCTTCACGACCATTACCTTACCGTGTCATCGATACAGAGAGAATGAGAGAAATGAACCGGACCCAGTTGACGACGAAAACAAGGAAAGGAAACAAACGGTTGCCTACGGGGGCTTTGCTCATGTGCTCTGCCACCAGGTGCGGCTTGGCGAGATGGCATTTCCCATCTACCCACCTAACATGCAGCCACGAGAGGTCATGTTACCTGCGCTTAGGCGCCTACATGGTAAATTGTTCCGTCTTTGGCGGCCTGCTCGGTTCTGGAAGGCTCCTCCCTCATCTTTCACTGTTGCATCATCCGAGACTTGACGCCGATCAGCAGTCGGCTCGGCTCTTGTCTAGCAGGCATCTATCTACATAGTATACTACCTACCTAGGGAGGAGGCCTATATAGTAGTGCAAGCGATAGGGTTGATTGTGGGTGGAGAGCCTCGGACTCTCTTATCTGGGGAACAGGGCCAATCCTCACCATGGGTCGTCCGTCAGCCTGTAGCAATGGGAAATGAGAGCGTAGAAAAGCAACAGCAGGACCAGGGCATCTCGGACTGCTGCAGGTCGTCTTGCTTTGTCGATTACCGGCATGATCCATCGTTCAATCATTCGGCAAACCCTCTTCAACCCCACCACCCTTGTCCTCAACTCTCGCCGATGAGGATGCAAGTACTCTCTCTCTCTCTCTCTCTCTCTCTCTCCCTCTCACTCTCTCACTCTCTCGCTCTCACCTTACTCTGACCATGATCCCTGCCTCGTTGCACAAGCCTGCCGGTTCCCACTCTCGCTCCCACGCACGCTGCCATTCACATCATGTTGAGCCTACCCCCCCCCTGTTGGGAGCAAGAGGCGCGGAGGCCCACCTTGTAATTCCAAAAGGTAGGTGCGGATACCTAGTGTAGGTACTCCGTAGACAACGTGGGACGGACGGGGTTCCTACTCTGTAGTGTGTATCCGTAGATGCATCCTGGCCTAGCTTGACCTACGTACATTACCGATCGCGACGGTCTCTAGGGGTTTCCTGGGCTTATGGGTGAAGAAGCCAACCTTGGGGGCCGTGGAAAGCATACCGAAGAAGCACGGCTGCACAATGTTGTAGTGTGGCAACGGCAACGGCAACGGCAACGGCAGCGGCAGGCAGCACGACGTTACAAAGCAAAATCGCATGGCAGCCGCAGGCCGACTCTGCGTCCGTAGAAGAAAACCTTGACGAGCCTGAGTGAAGGGAGAAACGACGTGGTCCTGGCCACCGAAGCCAAACTCCCGCATATTAGGTAGTGTACATCAGCTAGTGATGTATAGTGCCCTTCCCCGGGGGGGCATTCAAGTACCTAGGCACTCGGCTTCAACGTAGGTAGATACCATGATACCGTTGCGTACGGCACATTTTCCTATGCCGACATTAGCTAGCTGCGCTTTGAAGGGATGAATTGAGCAGAGCGGCCGATGTGCTTACACATTGACGGACCGACGTTGTCTATCGGTTCATGTTCACTCTTGGCAGGTTTTGCTTTCCTCGCTCGGCCCGGGCTGGTCCTTGAAGCTGGACTCCCCTGCAAGTAAACCAGGAGGAGAGAAAGTCCATACAAGAGAAGAAAACAAGATGAATCAGAATAGTTTACACTTGGCTGCTGCTACTGTTCGCTTATTACCATGTGGGAGAAGGAGGCGAGATGCTATATTATTATCGTGTAATTTGTCTGCACTCTTGTGCCTCTTACATTTTCCTGATCTACCCTGTCAGGAGTTTGCTGGCCGTCTCTTATTAAGTCTGTGTCAGTGCTGGACCGTCAGTCTGAGGGCAGATAGTCACTTGCTTACAGTAGGTAGGTAGTTAGGTAGGTAGTGTAGCCCCTGGCATCAACACTACCTAGCAGCAGCTTCAAACTTAAGTTACATGTAGGTAATTAACAACCACCCCCCAGACGCCTACTAATATGTATATCGTTGGCCTATCTACAAATACCTGTCTTGGCTTACTTTCTGTAGGTAGGGAGTGTGTACTTGGGCCCGTGAGCCCCCTGGTCTTTTTCTTTTGTCCCTCTCGTCCCCTCCCCCCTCCTCTCCTCTTGTCCCCTCTCTCTCTCTTTCGCACTCTCTCGCTCTCCTCTCCCCTGTTGTTGCAGCTAGACCGGCCACTCCCCCCCATCTCCCAAGCCCCATTTATTCTTTACTTCCTCTCTCTGCTCTTCGTCCATCCACCCTTTGCTCCCCATTCCTCACCAAGTCTCCGGTTCGACACCGTCATTCGAGGCAACTTGCGCAGCACAACCCCCCCGTCACCCCTGTCACCCCGTGCCAGCTGACTGCAATAAGGCCCCACTCCTATCTATCCTACCTGTGCTCCATTCGTGTTGCCAGTGCACTCACACTCTTGTCCTCGTCTCTCCTTCTTGCCTTGCCTTACTTTGCTTTCCACCTCTTCGCAATTGGAAAAAAAAAAAAAAACCATTATTGTTTCCATTCCCATTCACTCGCCGCCTTCGTCCCCGCCCCCCAAAACCAACAACAAGAAATACCGAAAACCAAAAAAACCAAACAAACTACTGTCCCCCCACGTCTGGATCATGGTGCACTCGACTCGACATCTTTTTCCTTAGATCCGAACAAGTGCAGACGCGAGACGCTTCTTGAGAAAGACGACTGTTGCACGTCGCAATGGGCAATAGCCAGGGCAAGCCCATCGACTTGGATGGTGAAGGTACGTGTTTCGCAGCCCATCCTCTCCCCGAATGCACAGTACAGCACAGCACCGCAACCACCACCACCACCACCACCGTAATCCTACACCACCTTGACCGCCACTAAGCGGGAGGTGAAAAAGACAATTACCACCGTCTCGAGCTGTCGTGCAATCGCTGCTCCTATGGCACTGCACCGCGTCTCCCAATCCCGGCCTTTCCTACTCCTCTCTCCCGCCGCTTATTGCTGCCACCTCGATCTCTTGTGCCGCCAAGCTAATCCATCTCGTCTCTCTCTGTCCAGTCAACCTCAACCATTTCCGCCTGCTACGAGTTGTCGGCAGAGGTGCCTTTGGCAAGGTGCGGATCGTCGAAAGAAAAGACACAAATCTCTCCTTCGCCCTCAAGTACATCCGAAAAGATGAAGGTACATATCACCGCCTCCCCTGCCGCCTTGTCTGGTTGCCTCTTCCCCTCTCCGGCCGCTGAGACGTGAGGCCTGGCGCGTTACAACCTTTTGATACTGACGACTGGCCCTCGCAATAGTTGTACGATCCGAGAGTGTGCGGAACATCATACGAGAGCGTCGAATGCTCGAGCACGTGAACCATCCTTTTATCTGCAACTTGCGATACAGTTTTCAAGATATCGAATACATGTAGGAGGCATAGCTCTTTCGACACCATCCGCCGCCCGTTGCTGACCATCCATTCACTAGGTACCTAGTTGTCGATTTGATGAGCGGCGGTGACCTACGATTCCACATTTCGAGAAAGACCTTTACCGAGGACGCAGTGCGCTTTTGGATTGCCGAACTGGGATGCGCTCTTCGGTACATTCACAGCCAAAACATCATCCATCGCGACGTGAAACCCGACAATGTTCTCCTTGACGCCGACGGCCATGTGCATTTGACCGACTTTGTAAGTCGTCTCGCAGCATCTCTTTACGCCCGTGTTTGCTAATTCGGTCAGAATGTCGCCTCCGATATCATTCCTGGAAAGGTTTTGTCGAGCAAGTCGGGCACGCTGGCATACCTTGCCCCCGAAGTGTATGCCGGCAAGGGCTATGACGTGCGTGCAGACTGGTGGTCACTGGGTGTCCTCTTCTATGAATGCATATACAACAAGGTAGGGCAAGCACCATCAACTAACGGTTGGCGGCCGTTTTCACTGACAGTACCTTGCAGAGGCCATTTGACGGCAATTCGGAAAGCACCTTGAGCCAACAAATCCAGCTCGCCAATCCCAAATACCCTATCACTTCACCGCCCGTCAGCTTACCCTGTTTATATGCCATCCGAGATGCCTTGGACGTCAACCGCGACAAGCGAATGGGCTCCACGTGGGAGAGTTTTACCAAGCACGAATTCTTCATGATGATCGACTTCGAGGCTCTCGAGCGGAAAGAAATCGAGCCTGTCTTCGTTCCGGCTGCCGACAAGACCAACTTCGATGCCACGTACGACCTCGAGGAGCTATTGTTGGAGGAGGCTCCCCTCGAAGCGAGAGCCAGACGACAGAAGCCTCGTGAGCGGCTAAAGGAGGACGCCTCTGACAAGGAAATCAGAGAGGATGAACTGTACCGCATGATTGAAAACGAGTTTCGTCCATTTGACTACACGTTGGCTGCATACAAGAAGTATGGACCTGCTCCTTCTTTTCCCTCAGCTCCTCGTACTGACACTTTTAGAATCACTGGTCAAGTCGACGAAAGTGGATACGTCAATGGCGACATGGTAATGATGAACCAGCCGCAGGCTTTGACGACCGATGAGGCCACACCCGTGGCAATGGCTACGAATGGGGGGTCGTCGAAAGCCGCGCAGCCTCCAGGCCCGATACGAAAAAGCTCAAGCTTGGAAAAGGCGCCGGGGAGTGGTCAAGCCGGCGTGCCTCGTCGACCAATCTCCAAACCACCCCCGATACCACACTACCCCAGCCAGTATTCCACCCAGAAGTCGATGCCGCCGGGAGCAGGACAGAGGGTCACTAGCCCGACTGGCGGCATGCAAGTCACACTGGATGGTGGCGGCAGCTGGTCTGACCTCGCCCGGCAGGATGCCACGCTACCAACGGACGCCAACACAATTAGCGAAAGCAAATCCGAAAGCTCTGGCGGCGTGTTCGGCTTCCTCAGGGGAAAGAAGGGGAGAGGACATAGCCCGAAGCCGAAGGAAAGAGGAGTATTGGGTAAAGAAGGTGCAAGGCAAGTCATTGGCTAGAAGACAATGGCAGTCTATCTCAAGACTTGGATAGATACGCAGGGAGAGAAGGATCGATACCCGAGGAACTAAAGAATGCATGAGAGGGCTACTTACCAAGGCACTGCAGCACCCAGGGTGCGGATTGCCCAAGGACGGCCAGATCGTGGCACGCCAACACCCAATATCGGAGTCCATGCGCCTTGGCGGCTCATGGGACTGAATTGTGCTATGGGGGATTTTCAGGGGAGAGGCCACGTCGCCGAGACAGTAGACATCGTGCGGGGGGGCCTGCTCAGAATGTGTTGCTGTCTGCAGGCTGAGGTTCTCGCCGGTGGGCGAGATGATGGTGGTTTCTCCCTATAACGCGGGGCCGGAGTCAACTATTGCGGCTACCACCCTTGGCAGGCCGGGAATCATAGCTAACATCGCAACCTGTCAAGTCACAGGATCTAAGAGCATGCCATAATCGGCCCGATGAGGGCAGCTGATTCATGGAGCAAAGCATCGGATGGACGGACTGTAGAGCAGCAGAGAGGCAAAAGGTCAACCCATGGAGAAATATACCCTTTGTAATATCAATCTGCTTTGCATATCGCATATACACTACATAGCTGATTCGAGTGTGCCTGTAGTCTCGTGCTAGCTATGTAAGTCCGATTTGTCTACAGAGGTTTGGGGTTCATGAAGCTTGAGCCGTGAGATCAAAGACTGCTTATCCCGAATGACTAAACCGTTGTCCCATCACCTCCCGTCACGCCCAATCTGAGAGTGAGACAGCAAGTTCGTTGAGTTTATCGTCTGCCTCAGGACGGAGGGGTTGGATGACGTTTGGACGATTCAAGTAAGCACGGTCCCAGTCTCCGACCTCGTCGTTGGCTGCACCCGCCGTGCTGCAACCGGCGGTCACTCTCTGGAAAGGGGGGAGAGGGAGGCGCTCGCCCGCCTGGCCCCCACCCAACCTTACTGCAAGGTTCCGGCGTGCCAGTCAAGGTACCTACCGGTACACTGAGGTGGTCCTCCGGTCCCAAAGTCCTAAGGTAGGTAGGTATTTCGATCGGGTGAGCGAGTGAGGGGTACGTAGCAGGCAAAGGGTATGGACCCAAGCACCGGGAACCTGCACGCGGTGCCCCAAGATGTGATGGGGAGAGTTAGAGAGGGGGCCTGCTTCTTCTTTCTCAAGTGCCGACTGTATACCGCCTTGGCAGCATAGGGGGTTAGCTGGAGAGTACACGGCCGGAGGCGGAGAGGGAGGAAAGTGATCGGATGCCGGCCCCCGCTTCCGTTGAACCCACGTGTCCAGAGAACCCCCTTCCCCCCAGCAAATAGGCGTTGGCTAGCGTTTCCGTCCCTGCCGACCTAGGACGGCCGAAGCGGGTTGCTTATCGTGGGTCACATCTCACCTCACCGCCCATCCGTCCGTCCTCACTTCTTCCTGATCGAATCGTCTTCAACTTTCATCCCACCGAGTCGCGCGTGTGTGTGTTGTCCATTCCCTCCACCCGCCTGTTCATGCATGGCTGTACCCTCTTTGGTTTTTTTCGTGTATTCTTGCCTTTTCCACTTCTTTTTAGCTTTTTGGTCGTTTCTTCCCTCCTCAGCCACTTGTCACACCATTTCGACCGTTTAGTCTGTCTTTTTCATGGTACACCCCCACAAACCCAAACCTTGAACTAGGGAAGGGAACGGAGAGAGGCGTGGGGTCCGACGAGACGTCGGAGGTCGTACACAGCGGAGGAAGTAAGATGGAGAGTAAAGCGTATTTACTTGTGACCCTTCCAATCCCCAACACCAGACCCCCCCCTCGCACGCCGATCCTCGTTGTATCAGAGATGCGACGGCACGTCTGCCGTATTACAATGCCTCAGCCTACTGGTGCCGGCTGTGACTGCTCTTCATGGCTCATGTCCCAGTTACTGATGACGGCCGTCACACCCGCCGGCCTGCACGCGCTGATGATTTTCGAGAGAGGGTTTTTTTTTCAGTTTTTTTTTCCCCCCTCGAAGGGGGTGGGAGGATGAGTGCGGCTGCGGGCGGCTGCGGAAGTAGTTTGGCAGATAGGTAAATACCTGGGTAGGTAGGTAGGCAGATAGTCTGACGGGCAAACACGTAGGCACAGGCCCAATGCCCAGCCGGAAAGATGTATGAATGAACGGCAGGAGGGTAAATTGCGGCTACAAGGTTGGTCGCAACTCTCGTCATGGTCTGACTTGAAATATCATGTCATGTCCTCCCAGACCGGTCCGGGATGTCTCGCCCAAGCAAAAAGGCAAAAAAAAAAAAAAAAAAAAGGTCAGCGGCCGCCGTAGTACCTAGAGGGGAGAGGGTAAGAGGGGAGGGGAAGGGGGCCGGGATGGGATGTGTGGCTGCCGTTGAGGAAGGAACATAGCAAAAGGGCCGGAAATGTCATATAGACATACGGACGGACATACGGACGGACATACGGACGGACAGACGGACGGACGGACGGACGGACGGCCTGCGTAGTGCCCGGATCTACGAAGCCAGCAGTTCTATCCGGCTCTCGCAAGGCTAGGCCGGGTTATGTCTCGTTGTGATGCTTCGCCCTCTGTGACACGCATTCTGTGGAGAATAACGCCGCCTCCCGCCTCCCCTCCCCCCAACTTGCCGAAGCCCCGAGCACAAACCCCTGAGGAACTCAATGGCTCCAGGCATGTGGTTGAACCTTGATTGCCGAATCGGCTGCGGGACTAAGATGAGCATGTTAGTTGGCAAACGGCAAACGTCTGTTTCCTTCGAGACGACAAACATGTGCCGGTTTGAAGTCGCCTCAAATAAAAAAATAAAAAAAATGTAGTCCAATATGGAGATTGTTATTCCTTCGCCAAAAAAGACATGCTTATTGTAGCAGGGGGGGAAAGAAAGATTACATCTGCAAGTATCGAGATCCCTCCACTCAGAAAGGGGCCGTCTGGCCACCTTAGACGCCATCACCATAACCTCTTTGAACCACACTCAAACTCTCGGAGGAGTCTCTCGCTAAGTACAGAGCAGTACCTGTATTTCGTCCAACGAGATCCCCTTATCCGTACCTAGATTTCCGAAACGGAAAGAAACAACCATTCGCCTTGCTGTTGGGGTCGAAACAAACCTCGAGTTCGCCCTGTTTTGGTCCGTGATATAACGCCTGTCATCTCCAATGTTACCGACCGATTCCTCAGATATGCCTTCTGACCTGACCGCCTAACCCGTTACCCATGGTACCTATGCCAATGTACATTTAAATGTCGAAAAGGCGACTTAGGTTCTCGGCTTGTTCTTTTCTTGGCCGTTAAAGCAGGCTGCCGCATCCTTGCCCATCCACTTGTTGACAACGGTTTGGAAGTCCGTCTCAGAAACAACCGGACCTTGGCCGGAGCACTTTGCTTTCTTCTGGAGCTCGGAGCATAAGCCATCAAGATCGAATTCGCCGGCCTGCACACTAGGACAACTCTGAAGCTTCTCCCTGTGGACTTGGTGAGTAATTGAAGCAATGGCCTTCGATTGGGCTGGATCGTACCAAATCTTGTTGCAGTTGTAATTCTCGGCCTTGACGGCCTCCTTAATCAAATCATCGTCTGCATTCTTGGCAGCATCGATTTGGTCGATGAGGTTCTTCTTGGGCACAACAGGGCTGAGGGCCATGTTATACGGCGTAATGAAGTCGGCGTCGATGGCATCGTTGAAGAAGCTGTCGTCGAAGGTGGTGCCCGCAAGGACGTTGTCTTGCGGTTCGCGATAGTCACCAAAGAGCTGGGGATCGAATTGTCCGCCGTTCTGCTGCGCAAGCCAATCAAAGTTACCAGTGTCGATGCCTGCGAACAAAGATTGCTGGTTGGCAGACTCTTCGCCAATGGTCGTCATGGTGTCGACGGGCTTGAAACCCATGGGCGACTGGGTGGACGGCTCAGGAGAGGTACCGCAAGATGAACTTGGACCTCCCCCGTTGGACTGCGACGACGCTGACGGTGAGCTGGTCGATGTACCGTTGTTAATACCATACGAGCCAGAGTCCACACTGGTGCGCGATGTACCAGTGCCTGTAGAGCCAGTGGCGAGGGATGGGCTGAAAAGGGAAGTGAAGTTGGTCAAGTCGTCCTTGGTGCCAAAGTCAAGCCCAGCAAAGACGCCAGGGCTGTTGTTTTTGTCCAGAGGGCTGACAGGGTTGCTCTCGTTGACGTTGGGCGACGAGGACGACCTCGCACTCTGGGCAGACTTGTTGAGCATCTGGGACCCTGGCAGGACGCCAAATTTAGGAAACTCAAACTGGAAGTTGACATCGCTCAGGTTGCCGATGGCGGATGCTCCGAATCCCATGGGCGACTTGGTATGGGGTACGGACCGGGTGCTCATGGCTGCCATCTTGGTCTTGTACTCGTTGAGCTCCGCAGTCATCCGTTCGATTTGGGCACGGAGCTGGCTGTTCTCGCTATTAGCGTCTTTTGACGCTTTCTCTAGTTCTTCCACCTTGGTCTCGAGATCCTTCAGGTGCTTCTCTTTGCGCTCGCGAAATGCCCGCTGGGCAGCGCGGTTCTGGGCCTTGCGTTTCTGTGTGGTTGTTAGTATGGCTTTGGGGATAGGGGATAACGGGTCCAACCGTACTGAGCTTGGCTCGGAGGTAAGCGGCTTACGTCCAGGCTTCTTCGGAACCTTTTCGTTACCCTCGCGCCTCTTTGCATCATTTCCAGGCAAGTCTTCGTCTTCCTCATCGTCGGGATGGGCTCTCTTGTCGGTACCATCGTTCTCAGTCGAGTCCGACTTGGTTGACTGGGCCGACTGGGCACCTCCGGGGATGTCGCCGATCATCTTACCTTGGCCGACGGTGCTGACATCGAAGTCGAAGCTGGAGTCGCCGAAGTCGTAATCGTAGTTGTCAAGGTAAGGGCTCTCCTGGAAGCCATGGGCGGCACCCTGCGCCGGCGAGGTTTGGTAAGAGGAAGGTGACATGGAGGTGTCTTTTGTGGTGGTGGGTGACTGGTTTGCGAGCTGCTGCTTGTTCGAGTTGAGAGCGGCGAACAGCAGGCTTTGCTGCTGCGGAGTCAAGATAAAATTGGTTGGGAAACCACTGTTCGTTGCCGAGGCCATTGCGAAAGGAATACAGAAGGGCGAGGAGACGTAGGGAAACAGGAGTCAATTCGGAGAGGACGGCAGGCAGACTCGGGAGGCCGATTGCGGCTCGGGATGCAGGGGTTGAGATGACTCGGGGTTCCAGGCAGACAGCGATGTCTTAGTGGTGTTGGGAGGAAGGGTCGACTATCACGCGACACTTTGTGACCTTGGTCGTCCTTGGGCGTTGAAGTTGCCGTCGACAAAGGTAGGAAAACCGTACGGGATTCAGTGCAAATGGCCCGAGTGCTAAGAGTGACGAAATGGACCAAGTCTGGGGTAGGATGGAGGTGGTAGAGTTGATGCCTTTGCGTCTTACAGTTGATGCCTGACTTAGAGGCCGGTCTCCAAGACCACCGTATTTCTCTGTGGACGGCTTTCGTAAGAACCAGAATCCACGGGGTTCGGGAAAGGAGGCGTGATTTGGAGAGGGTGTGCGGTGATGCGTAAGAGTTCGAAGGGGAGGAAAAAAGATGTTGGCTTGTTGTGGGAAGTGGAGAGAATCGAACTGAATGGATGACTGCAGACGGCGAGGAGGAAGAACTGCAGCGCCCTTCAGTGTCAATTTGTCAGCGGAAGGGAAGGAGAAAATGGAGGGGTCGGCTAATGGAGCCGGGGGAGTTCAAGGCGCATGGGACCCGTGCTAGGGCCATTGAGGCTTATCTATTGGTTGAAGGGATGGTTATCGCCGGTAGACCCAAAGGGCGCAGCTATCGATTGCGCATCATCCAGTCGTCGATATGACTGCCTGGTGGCACAATTGTCCATGTTTTCCCCTCCTTCTCATCCGCGCCCGCCACCCCTCTTCTTAGGACCATTTTTTACATAAGGTGAGGTACCTAGTTTCTAGTGTCTGAGTACGATTACCCTTTTTAGCCGAGAGATTTGCATTCCTATCTTCATCCCTCTTCCTTCCAGGTAGAAGAAGGCCACATTCGCCACGCATCTTTTTTGCTGTCTCCGCGTCTTGCATTTGCGATTCTGGGAAGGACATGGCATCGGCGAGACGCAATCACCGGGAGGGTGATAGAGACGTACCCTTGGGAGCGGATGCTTCGGCGGATGAATCAAAGGATACCAAGTATTGTCTAGCGTTTTCGTCCCGTCTTCTCTACCTAGAGTAGGTATCGGATCATTACGACTTCGCTCCTGGGCCTAGGCTCACCTAGCATCAGCCCGGTGGCCACAACCTGTCAGCATTGGCTGGTGGCTCAGTACCTAGTGTGTCGCATGATGTGGAGATAGGCTTACTCATTGCCCAACATTGCTAGTGGCGGGTCCAGGACCCAAGAAACGAGCACATTTGGTCAGTTTAGGCTGGCTGTTGAGGAGGGCTGCTAATTCTTCAAACGGCGTGGCCGATCCCAGGGTCATCCTTCACACAACAGCAGCAGTGGTGTACTGCCTTCTACGGCCTGTGCAGGTGCTGTATAACGTCCGGAGTGCCACGTCCGCCGAAAGTGCCTCCGCCAGCCCTCCTGTACCCACCGGATACCTCGCACCGATGCGTTAATGCCGGCCAAGGCCCGAGTGTATTTACATAGCAGGCAACTCCATGCTCACATTCGCTTCTCCGCCCGGAGAGATGTCAAAGTCCGGCTAATGGCCGAGGCTTTTATTCATCAGGAATGCCCTTCGAGACTGCCCAGACCTTGCTCGACTGCCAACGCGAGATAGCAGATAAAAGGGTCGTTGTTTGGAAATAGGGCTATACGTGTGCATCAGAGCAACCGTCTAGACACATCCCATGCGTGGGGAACGTGCTACTCCCCCGAGGACTGCGTTGCTGTGTCCAGTCGAAGATGACAAATGACACAGCAAACCTGTCTCTATCATCGGTTTGCGACGCTCACAGCACGCAATCCGAAAGGCGAGGAACATGACACGGATTTCACGTTACTTAACAGTCTATGTTTGCAGCACAAGACTAGAGTTCTCGGCTCCCCTGCCCTACCAACTGCCTAGTGGGGTATTGTTGAGGGGGCCTACTGATCTGCCCGCTTTGCTGTCTTCCTTGCATAAGTCGACACAACTTAAGGCGTCCAGATCCGAGCTGTTCCGTCCGAAAAGCTTACATACTGTACACCCTTAACCTTATAACATAACGAAGAGGCTTAACCAGGTACCAAGGTACAAAGAAATAGCCTGTTGCAGAGCATTCCTGTTTCCGAGGGATTTCTTAAATTGACCCGAGCGAATGCAGGTAGCTAACCCGCATACGGAAATGGCGAATCGTCAAATGGTTGCAACTAACGGACCAGTAGAGGCAGTTGGTGAGCCAACAGACAACTTTACAGGCTCAGACCATCCGATGAGGAGAGCACGCAACTTGGACTAAGCCCCTGAATTATCCATTGAAACTTGCCACTTGGGGGGGAGTCATTGTCGTCGTTTTGTTGTATCAAGATAGTTGGGAGGTACGTGGCCTAACCAGCTGTCGGTGAGCGAAGCGCCGAGGCCACCTGCCTTGACGTCTTTAGTTATCGGAAGCTGTCATGGTGAGCTCGTTCGCAGGTCACTTCGTGCAGGAACAGGAAACAACTCACTTGTGACTCGCCCCTGTCATCAACACTTATCCGGAATTTCGAGGGAGTTATCTGCTGCCTAACCGTGACGATTCGGAATGCTCCATTCTTCCGGCAGTGGCCGCACCAGGTCTCCACCTATTGTTCACTAGTAGTACTTAGGTACCGGTAGGTAGGTAGGTACCTTACTTATCTAGGTAGGTACGTATCCATACACGACAGCATATAACATGCCCCGCATTGACCAGCGTGCAGCCGCCCACCCCGCCCGTCAGGGGGAAAGGCAGCCTCATGTCAGAAGCCCGACATCATTCGTCCGCCAGCTTCGACACCTCGCAAGACTCGCTTCAACCTTGATCCACGCCCGTCGGCCTAGCTTCGCAAAGACCCTTCGAATAACACCGTATAACGTCAGCGACTACTTGAGCGCGCACTCGGTAACCTTGCGATGGACTTGGCCTACGATCACATCCAGGAGAGCTCCCTCCCCAAGGATGCCGACAAGAAGTCGGGCGACACCAAGAACCCTACGTCGGACCAGCCGCAGCACTCGCTCAACGATGACTTCCAGGAGGCATACAAGGCCATTTCGTCTAGCGCCTGGGGCATGCGTATCGGCGGTTTCTTGGGAAACGCTGTGAGGCAGGTAAGAAGACGCGGTGTGGTTCTCCAACGGGCAGGGCGGCTAATCCGATGTCAGGGACAAGAAGTCTACAAAGAAGCCTCCAAGGAAGTCACCGAGCTTGGCGAAGATGCGGCCAAGGGCTTTACGTCCATAATCACCCGAACCCGGTCGCTGACCGTCAACGCGGCCCAAGGGGAACCCTCGGGGGATGGGAGCAAGGAGGCCGACGGCCAAACGACGCCGACCAAGACAAGAGATCAGGCATCGGATGAAGCGATGAGCAGCGGTTCAGAGAACTACCTAGCGAGGCTTCGCTCCGAGGCGGCCAAGCGGCTCAAGGATTTGCAAAAGGCTGAGGACGCCGCCGATGAGGCTCTCCTCCGTTTCGGCACCAATATCAGCAATTTCCTCAAAGAGGCGGTCAGCATCGCGCCGCCTTCCGACTCCAACAACCAGGGGAACACTGTTCTGTTCGAGAGCAAGGATGCGCAGGGCAAACGGGTCATTCATGCCTCGAGGCAGGACGCCCAGCTTCACGTCATCCACACGAGCACCGAGAGTTTCGCAAAGGACCCTGCAACGGACGAGTTTGCTACATGGGCCAAGATGTTTGACGTCGAGAAGAAGACGGCGGATATTAGCGACGACTTGAACAAATACCCCGAGCTGCGAATGACGATGGAGAAGCTTGTGCCTGATCAGGTCCCTTATGCTGAGTTTTGGAAGAGATATTACTTCCTTAGACATGGTCTCGAGGCTGCCGAGACCCGACGACGTGACTTACTGAAGGGTGAGTGCCACAGCCTTGAGACATAACGACTATGCTAATGAATACACAGCTGCATCTGCCGAAGATGAAGTCGGCTGGGACGATGACTCTGAAGACGAGGCTGCTTCGGCCCCAGTCCCTGCTCCCGCTCCTGCTCCTACTCCGAAGGTCGAACAAAAACAAGTCCGCCCACCGTCGGCCGAGTCTTCCACCACCATCCAACCACCTGCTCAAAGCTCTGGTCTCAAGCCTGCCGCCGAGTCCCGTAAGTCAAACGACGAGAAGTCCCAGGCTGACAGCGACACAAGCTACGACGTCGTGGGTGCCACGTCCGGTGTGCCTAGTCAAGCCCCCAACAGCCCCAAGGACTCTCGCAAGGTCGACGACAGCGATGACGACTGGGAGTGAGCTTGGTTCCTAATTTGCTTATTTTGCTGGCTGGCGTTGGTTGGTTTTGAACGTTTCCGGCTCGAATAATAGCTCATAATTTGCGGATATTTGTACATCAGCCACGGCTCGTAGTGCACCGTTTCCTTTGGGACCAAGTCGAATTCTTTTTTGTACTTTTTTCCCTTTCTCTCGCGCGAGTTGCTTATCTCTTCTTCCTCGTGACCGTGGTGAATCCGTCCTCGTCGACCTCTGGCTCCGACTTCTCCTTGGGTGCACGCACAAGCTGCGGGGCGTCGTCCATGTCGACGTCCTCATCCTCATCGTCCTCACTGTCGTCCTCCCAGTCGGTCTCCTGGTCGCCGCCCTCAACCTTCTTGTACAGCCCCTCGACCTTTGCGCCCTTGCGACTCTCCCACTTATTGCGGAGGCTGTCGACCGCCTCGAAGTTGCCCTTGGCGATGTCGCCCCTCAGTTTGACGATCTGCTCGGCGACATCAAAGCCAGTTTCGTCATCGACGTTGACCTCGAACTCGTCCAGCATAATCTGCAGCAGCATGGTCTCGACGTACTCGGTGTCGGGCTCTTCGGGGGCGTTGGCGGCGGGGACGGCCTGGCCATTTGTGATCTTGGAGAACTCGGGGAAGGCCTCGGCGACGGCGCCGGCAAACCAGTCCCTCTTGTCGGCCGAGTCTGGGCCGCCCCAATTGTTCTGGACGGCGAGGGACAGCGCTGGCCACATGTGTAGCGATAAGGCCACGGCCTGCTCGAAGTTTGACTGGCAGGCCTCTGGGGAAGGGGAAGGTTTATGTTAGTATCGTGCCATGTATGTATAGTTCGAGCCTCGGGCACGTAGACTTGCCTGCCGTGATGGGGCTGGAAGATCCCGTGGTTGCCATGTTGACTAATTTGCTGTCTCGCGGGGTACTTGGAGGGGCAGTTATTTTCCCCCCTCGTCAGTGACGGTGCTGCCAAAATTGATAATCATAATTTTTTTTTTGAGAAGGGAGGATGACGGTGCGTGCGACTCTTAGCACTGTATAAAGCGCTGTGCGGGGCTTCCCGGTGATTCCGCAATTTGGCTTGGACAAGGGTCCTATAAGATTGGGCTGCCAAATTCATGAACAAGGTCGGTAAAAGTAAGCTTCGACTGGAGCAAATGCCAAGTTGGTTCGCCAAGCGTTACGCTGGGGCTTGTTTGATTACCGGTACCTCAGAAGCTTGCTTCCCCTGGAGATTCGATGCAATTCGATGCTCATGTCGGTACCTTTTGAAGCTGTACGCCCTCAGATATGCCCCTAGGCGCTGGTCACGCCTGCCGGACATTGCCATCCACTTGGGCGCTGAAGTGATGTCATCAGTCCCCTATTCCGAGCGCTCTCGGGGGGTTCAAGGACAATTTTCCTCTGTGCTCCTCAACGACGCGATGGTCTGTCCACAACTTATTTCTCGCGAGGATCGCCCATCGCTGCCGGGAGCTTCAAAAGGCCTTGTGTGCCCACCGTCCGCCGTCAACGGGGAGCACTGCAACCTCAGTCGCTAGCTTTACCCAGACGACCATGAATCCGTTGAAGCTCAACACCACTTCGGTGTCATTGGCCGTCACACCAACCGTTGTATCCACCCTCTTCTCGCATGTGAGTCCCCTATTCCGCGTCCCTTTCCCCAGTTTTCCCCAGATTTGTCGTCGTTGGAAGCGCGACGCAGCTCAGTCAATCAGTCGCGTAACGTACGGGTTAACTGACCTCTCGAACAGTACTTCAACCGCAAAACATCGAAGCAGCGACCTGACGCTCATTTGTCCTATGACGAGGGCCTACACCTCGTCCGAACTTTCCTCGAATTCGCATCCCAGCACACTGTCGAGGAACTGCAAGCGTTCACGGCACAATGGGTTCCTCACCCGCAATGGGTCAAGGTCGAGGACGTTGCGATCCCCGAAGACCAGATTGAGAGATCCGCCGAACTGATCGAGGGACAATTGGGGTCGGCAGGCGTGAGGGCGGTCGGGGGACGGAAATGGTGGAGATGGCGGAAGACGCAGAGCCCGCTTAAGGCCGAGTGGATCGAGATGCGAGCCGACTACAACGAACGGAAGAAGAACGGCGGCGCAACCAGGAGGGTGATGCTCTACGTTCATGGAGGGGTCTACTTCTTTGGCAGCGTCGACGAGCACCGATACCAGATGCAGCGGCATGCCCGCAAACTGAAGGCTAGAGTGTTCGCACCGCGTTATCGACTGGCGCCGCAGTTCCCCTTTCCCTGCGGCTTGCAAGACTGCTTGGCAGCCTATCTCTACCTGCTTAATGATCAAGATCCTACGACTATCGTTTTGGCCGGTGACTCAGCGGGTGGTGGGATGATCTTGTCAATTCTGTGCCTCTTGAGAGATCAGGGCATCCCGCTTCCGGCCGGAGCAGTACTTATCAGCCCATGGGTAGATCTCACCCACTCGTTTCCAAGCGTCTCTGACACCAACGAGCTCGACTACATTCCGTCTTCTGGCTTTCATCACAAGCCATCCAGAGCTTGGCCGCCTCCGAACGAGGACGATATGGAGATGTTGAGAGCACAAGCTATCAAAGTACGAGCGGGTAAAGAGAAAAGTGCTACGAAACTCAACACCCTAGAGAATAAGCAGGCTGCACCAATTGCACTGAACGGAGGTGATGGAACCGCACAGGATAGCCCTGAATCTTCGGACGCGGCAGATCCTCATAAGACAGCATTGCAGATATCTGTGACTATCAATGGCGACCTTATTACTGTCAAGGAACAGATTCAAGTAGGTTCTTTGGCCCTGACTACTTGCAGACTCTAACAGCTTCAGTTATACACGACAAATGCGCTGCTATCGCATCCGCTGGTTAGCCCTGTTATGCAGCCAACGCTTGGTGGCCTCCCGCCGTTGTTGATCATGGTAGGAGGTGGCGAAATGCTCCGCGACGAACAGATCTACCTTGCCCACAAATGCGCCAGCCCGGCCAAATATCCACCTCCTGATATGGACGAAGCAGGCCTGGCACAGTTACAACAGTATAAGCCCACAGATGTACAGCTTCAGGTTTGGGATGACCTTTGTCACGTAGCTCCGACTCTCAGTTTCACCCGACCCGCCAAACACATGTATCGAGCGGCTGCACAGTTTGGCGCCTGGGCCCTTGCAAGGGCCCAACAGACAGAGATTAAGGTCGCGGATAACAATGATGAAATCTCCGATATTTCAAGCTCAGCCTCTGATGCGGATAATGCTCAGCCAGAACAGACGGAAGGATCTACTTCAAAACAGGTCAATAAGGTGGGCAAAGCTGGTATACCACTGCCGCCGTTCAAAAATCATATGATCCGACAAAGGATTACCACTCATGGCGTCATACATGACCTTGCTCCTGAGTCGGAACTGCCAGGCTGTATCATGAAGCCAGAAGAGGTCGGCGTTGTTAAAGGAACACCAGTGAGGAGGTGGCTTGACACCAAGGCTCAGTTCGATAAGAAATTCTCGACTGCCAAAGCTAAGGTGCATAAAGCCATCATTAAAGAACTTGCGGATGGCTACGTAGACCTTGGTGATGGCGAGAAGCCGCCACCCACTGCTCTGGTGGGGCGGAGGAAAGCATCGGAAGATTTGGTGGACAGGAAGAAGACGAAGAGCATCGGCTTGGCATTGTGGTCACTTTGGGGTTCAAAGCATGACGAGACGACAACGGGAAGGGAGAAGAAGGCAGACTCCAATGTAAAGACGTCCACTCCGGATTTTTCGCCAAGAGGTGGTGAGGGAGCGAGATCGTTCCAAGACGTTGAGAACCAGGAGCCGGTGCCGGCTGCATCGGTTGGAGGCAAGAGGCAAAATGTCGTGGACGAAAAACAAGCATCGCAGGTATCCGGCTCCCAGGTTCAAGAGTCTCAGATCACCGCGGTAGATGACACTCCGGTGGCTGCTCTCATCGAGATGAGAAAAGAGCAAGAAAACAAGAATGAAGAGGCTGCCAGTGCCGCCGGTTGCCTGACTCCCGACTTCGTGCCTGGGACTGGTGTTGCCGGCAAGCGGCCTTTTCTCGATGGCATCGCCTTACCTTTCAGCTTGGGCAAGAAGGACGCAGACACGGCGAGCATGATGACGCTTATGTCTGGAGATGGCAGTCGACCGATCAGCCCCATGCCGTCTGTTAGCCCAGCGGATACTCCCGACGTCAACAAGATATCAGCCTCCGAGGCCACCACTCAGGTCACCGAGGCTGAGCACACTCGGTCTCAGCTTGACAACTTCGTCGCGGCGGCGGAGGACCTACCCCTTGCGAAGGGCAAGGGCAAGGAGAAGGAGGTTGCCAGTGGGGATTTTGGGCTGACCACGTAGTTGTGTACAGAGATACCAATACCCCTGTATTCCGTATCCATGTTTTATAGTGATAGATTTCTGTTTTCTTGGCTTAGCCCACCAGTCTAGTCTAACCCGAATGCTGCACACTCTCGAATGCTCTCCGTCTTGTGATAGTAGGTTTTTTTTCTGTTAAATACATGTTGTTACAGTGCCGAGGGTATATGTAGCTCTTGTACAATCCGTTCGGGTCTCGCATACCCCCTTCCCCTGCTTATCTCCTAACGTTATGCTGTCCCAGTCCCAACCGATGCTCGTTGCCGAGAGGGGTCTCTCTCCTGTCTTTTCTATGCCACTAGATCTGTTTCCGATCACCCCTTAATCGACGCCGTTCTGCTGCTTCCAGGCGTCGAGGTAAAGCTGGGGGTCACGAGGACCCTCTTTCGTGGGATACGCTCCCTTCACGGGGCGGATGGCATCGGAGACGAAGGGTGTGAGCTAGAATGCCAGGAAATATCAGCAAATCTCTTCCACCTGACTTCTGTATTCTTGAGAGTCCTGTACTCTAGGAGGAGGACCGAGCGGGCCGCAGAATTCAATTCATTGAAAAAAATAAAAGAACCGACCTTGGTGCTGTTCAAGCCCTCTGGCACGACGTACGTCCGCACCTTGTGCCACTCGATGACGTATCCACCAAACTTGGTGTGCCGACCCATGGCCCCCGTGCGGTTTCCTTTGTAGAAGCCCTTGTTGACGTCCTTTGTCGTCAGGCGCAGGTGCTTGTACTTGAGCACCTGCAGGATGGGGGACGGCCTCATGATGGGCGGTCTTGTCGGGGTCGCGGCCCGGCGGCGGTTCTATTAGAATGATGGTTTGCGGCTTGGGCAATGGAAATGAAATGAGAATGCGGCCAATCGATCGGTCGTCGTTAAGAGAAACTATAAGCTCCGCGGGTTGCGTCCGGGTTCGTCCTCGCCGTCGTCGTCGTCGTCGCCTTCCTCGGAGGCTTGGGGGTTGCGTGATGGTCTAGTTAGCTTACCCAGAAATTTTGGCGCTGCGCGATTGCGCCGGATTAAGAGTTTTTCCTTTGCCGAGGCATATCCCTGTCAAACTACCCACGGTCCGGCGGCAAACATGGGTACGTGCATATCAGACACCCGAGATCGGGTATCCACAGTGGGGATTCGGTGCCGGAATGTACCGGATTGGGTCCGAAGGTGCCGAAATCCTTCTGACGATGATCAATAGCATTCCATTGCTGGTACTCTTCCGTAAGTCCCTCTTTATGGCGGTGGACAATTGGTACTTATAGTATAAACCAGCATGTTGACGGAGATCCAATGGTCGAAATAACCATTCAATACTTTTACGACGACTCAACCGGTCGGTTTTCTCTCTTTTCGCTCGGAATATACTTCCGCATGTACCGGGAAAGGTCATCGTCCCGCATCTTGGGCCTATCTACATCACCTGATGCGTTCCTCGTGGTCTGAACAACGAGATTGAAACTAGCTTTCCAATAGCATTGCCGGCATTATGGAGTTCAGTCCCGCTCTGAAATTTGGCAGCATCTCCAAATATGGAACAGAGGTGAGTTTCGAATAAAAGCAAGACAATGAACCTAGTGAGACACGAAGGGCGATAATACCAAATTTGTCCCTAGACGGCGCTTTTACCCAGACCGATTGATATGACGTTGCCAATTATGGAATTCCAGATGCCGCAATATTGATCTTTGAGAAATTGTGAGCGTGAATTATGTTGGTCGGCTTTGAGTCTCCTATCTCTCTATGATATGAAAGGAAGACATGCGGCAACGTCGTTCTCGGAGGAAAGACATGTAAAGTAGCACGCTATCAGTCGGAAATGTTAAAGTCCTCAGTATAAAGCTCTTCTCCCCCCTTATTTCCACAGAGCATAAGGACTCATCTCTAAAGGTTTTTCATTGGTCTCCGATAGTCAAATGGAGCTGTCGGTACGTTTCGCAGGTTGTGAAAGGTAAAGCTTGGATGGCAGTTCGTGTGAAATGTTGAACGGCCGAGCTAGGCTGATTTATCATGGAAAGGTGACGACAGTTTCTGAAGTTAACGAGTCCTTATTGCGCGCTGTACCGGTTAGCTTCCAGAGACATCAAAAGAAGGGAAGGTAGTATGCTTGAGGGAGCAAAGTCGCTCTTGAAGAAGCGCGGCCTGGTCATAACCTGCTATCTAGTACTGAAGAGAAATGCATTCGAATGGAGACGACCGGTCGGCAGTGCATACGTGCCAACATGTCGACAAAGGGGTTCTCGGGCGACGATGTCAAAGTTTGCCAGCTATGATGGATTACGCCCATGTAGAGGTGGGACAAATAAGAATGTTTAGACAGCTCAGCAAACACTCACACAAACCTGGAGGGAGATCTTGTGGACAAGGCTGGGTTGCCAATGCCAGTCCTATATTGTAGCGAACTATATCAGCATCGAGAACATGCATGATCAAGCGGTTTCATGTTCTTTTCTAGTCCTTATCAGCATAGCAAATATTCCTTCAATCTAAAGAACCACTTCAACGGTGTCTCGTTAGAGCGCCAGGAGGACCTTGGATATCGAAAGTACAGCGCCAAGATCCTCCTGGACTGTTGAGAATAAGAGGAGCACGATGCGTGTTTTAATCGATGTTGTCATGCATGAGATATTGACATTAGCTTACGTGCCTATCTGGATATTTACCGGGGACCACTGAGATCAAATCAATGCACTATGGTCACCAGAATCAAAGCATCGTTCCGATGATTGCTTTTCTTCACCAAAGGCTCCGTGGCTACAGTATCCTTCGGCAAATGGCGACCATTGCCTCGGCGGAGCGCTGTACCTCCGCCTCCCATCCATGAATTCGACTCAAAGGGTGCCCGCCTGCAACAGCAGAATCTTCCCAGCTAGAAATTGTTGAAGAATGGTGTTAATGCTGTGATGTTGGAAAAAATGACCACGCTGGAGCGTCTTTTCCGAGAACCATTGGCAACTTTCAATATTGTCAACCCAGATAACTTTTTACATGTTCAGCCAACTGCTTTACACCCGCAGCCAGGCTCCTTGCCATCAGCGATGCAGGCTCTAATGCCTGTAAATATATATATATATATATATATATATATATAACAGAAAACCAGGAGTGTCCCGTATGCCGCTTCTAGGAGGACGGGGCTGGGGGGAGGTATTTAGCGGGGTTTTCGCGAGCAATAGTTGGAACGGTCATTCTGCTACTGCAGCACTTCATAGGGCTACCTTACGGGTTAAAATTTGATTAGGTTCAACAGCAGGAAAGACCAAGATCGACAGCACATGTATACTGGAAAGTATAGACGATAAAAAGGAACTGCCAGTGTTTCAGTCTCTTCAGCTGTGTTGAAGAGCTTTCTCCGCCAGATACGGCATGACCGACAAAGTTTGCCTGGGTCGTAGTGCCAAGATCCAGCTGCCACCCGACAGTGGTGCATAAGGCCAAGTTATTCCCACGACGCCATATGAAGAACCAAGAGTCCGGCGGTGTATAATATGCTTGGTAGCGGATTTCCTACTTCAGATAGCGTCTTGTTTAGATTGGTGGCATGTTGATGGCGGGTTGCGGATTGAGAAGTCTTGGACGGCCGGAAGTTACACCTAGCAGGCAAGGCCTGATATGGGGGGTCAATGACCACCCCACCCGGATCCGCAGCCGCCGAATCCCGGATGGTTTCATCGGCATCGCCGCCTAGCCACAGAACCCGAACCACTGACCTCATTCAAACGAGCGACGTAAAGTCTTGTGAGCTCACCTAGGAAGGTCCGAAGTAAGAGATTCAGCCAAGTCAGCAATAAATCCAGTAGCCTTGACTCAAAGACCCTGTGATTGCATCGAAATCCCAACTCTTCAACCTCTCTCAGATGCTGTGTGCGGAGCCTGGCTCGGTAGAAAATACGGATTGAAATTGATGAAGCGCTGCAAGCTTTCCCAAACTAGGCTAACATGCCGGTTCGGACTAGGTTTTTGAGAATAGAATAAACATATGCTCCTCCGTTGAAGGAGATCCCCTTGCTTGAATTGAGCCAGTGTTGCATTCTGTCTTCGCCTGATACAAGCCCCCGCGAGGTCAACCAGAGCATTACCCCATGCGTGTGTATCATACATAGTACATCCTCGGCTCCAAGCCGGGGTGAGTTGCCTCTGTCGGTTATTGAGAACCGTAGTACTGCAGACACGGTTGGGCACCCCACTGTTCTCTGGTTCCCCATCGCAACCTCTGCGTGTCTTAAGCCAAGCAGGGTACGTGGGCTACTACTGGCCAGATGTAGCCGACAAGAATCGAAAACTCCTTTGACACTCTAAACATAGGCTAATACGACTGCAACATTCACAGACAAAGACAAGGTGTACCTAGATGGGCAAGCACCTTAGGAATCACCGTGCTGGTGGAGAAAAAACCGATGAAGGGACGTGCGTTGATGGGCTCATGGTGACACAGCCAAGGGGTGGTGGCTTTTCCATGTTCTACACTATATTGACAATAGCCTTCAGGGTACCAGGATTCAGGAATAATCTAGTCCGCGGCCAGGTTCTCTTGCACAGCCAAAGAAGTCTGCGATCTGCGTCGTGTAGATGGTGGAGTGTCGAGCAGGTTTTGGGGACATGTCCGGGATCGTTTATCCCCGCCCTCCATCCTCCCTCCTATCTGCTCCGTAAGCTCGTCCCATGATCCGAACCCTTCCTCCGCCTAGCCAAGACTGGGGACGATGAATAGGAGGACATATAGCCAAGTATTGGACTCCGGGGTAAGACTACGACTTGGCTGAACTGCTTGGCTGCACTTTCTCATACTGCCTCAGCCGCCAAGCGTACCACTCATTTCACTTGGCGATCACTCACAGAGTACGAGAGGAGAGTTCGGGCGAGCAGAGTCGCAGTTGGCGCGATATTCCTATCAAGCCAAGCGCTACCCGCCTGTCACAACATCTTTTACATCTCCCTCCCCCCATGCCTCTCCGACGACGGGACCACATAATGAATAGGCAGGGAAAGTTGCTAACAAAACTTCAGACACTTGTGAGGCTTTGTGCATGGATAATAAACCCTCGTAGACCGTTTTTTGTGCTTCACAAGCTACCCTATTACGTTTCTCTGCAGGAAGCGCCACCTACCGTCCCCATAGTCGTTTCATGGTTCGCCAAAGCTGCTCTCGAAGTTGGATAACTGCACACTATTGTGGTGCCACAGTTGTTGCAGGTTTGTCCCGCTTGTTCCCGTTCGTTCCCGTCGTTGCATGTTGCATGTACCTTGTCGAAACAGGGTGGTGTACAATGGCTGGGTAGCTCTTTTGACAATTTCATGGAGATTGATAAAACAGATTATACAATATTGGCCCGAATGCCAAGTACCTTGCCCCCGGTCCCCGGCCCCTCTTATATTTTCTCTGCCTTTTATTACCTGCGCTCGCTGCCCCTCCTCCATGTCTATCCGTCCTTCCCATTCTGCTTAGTTCCGGCCATGCTAAATCTCGGTCTCAGTTACTTGAGCTGTGTCCTTCTTCGTTCGTAAAAGGATGTCTTTTAGCGTTCTCTTGGTCTTCTTTTGCTGCCTCTCGTACCTGGAAATGACATGGTAAGACACTGATCACAGATGAGAGGTTGGAGGTTCGCTTACAATGGCTTGTGCTCCTCATGAGGGTCATGCGCTTCTGAGTAGTCGACGTGGACGAAAGCTCTCTCGACATCTCCCAGGCCTGGAGAAGGTCAGGCGTGCACATTGCCGCGCTTCTAATGAATGAACTCACCTTCAACCTTTCGCTGTAATTCCTGTGCAACGTCATGGGATATTTTCAGGGGGGTGGACTCGTCCATGACGATATCAATCTCAACATAATATTTCTGCCCAGCATGATACGCTCGGCACTGTTCACAGTCAGACGGTTTCGTTGTATTGGGCAACGAGATTCTTACCGTGTCGACCTTCAGAATGCGAGTATCGTGAGTCATTGACATGTAAATGAGCTTGGAGACAAAGTCCCTTGGTGCTGACTTGCCAACCAGAAGCCAAACCTGGTCAAATGCATTCGAAACCCAGGAGAATAGGATAAGAAGTGCGATGCAAATGGCACCGATAGGGTCCAGATACCACACAAATCGGTCTCCGACGACGGACATGATGAGTCCAAAGCTATTGACAATAATGTCGTTGCGGTGGTCGATCTATGGCTTTATTTAGTAGGTGTCATCCCAACTGGTGGGTGGGGTGACCATACAAAGAAGACGTGCACCGAGGGATATTTTCGGTAAGCAAAACAGTATACCATCAAGGAGCCCTTGGCAAAGATGGCTACACCGACGATAACGATGGGAACGATGTGCAACTGCTCAGAGGTGCGTTGACCCTCGCCGAGTGCGCGGCCTGACTCAACCTGTGCCCCATGTCAGCGTCTCAAACAACTCAGCCAACGCATGACTTGGCAACTTACCAAAAGCTGAATAGCGACGGTGGTCATCAGTGCACAGAACAAGATGATGCCAATCGTCTCTATCCTGGTTCGTCCCTATTATGACCCACTTGTCAGACGCAAAAAATACGTAGATGATCTCCCCGCCTGGCCAAGGCGTTGCGATAACTTACCACAGGGTACTTGTATATACTAGGCCTGGCCGCCATCCGTGAGGTGATTAGCATGACAAAGGAGGAGACTAGGTCCATCTGGTCATCGTCACTTGGTCAACCTCTGCAGAGAAACAATGTAGGAGCTAAGGGATCTACTAACGAAAGCGTCGGCTGCAGTAGCGAAAAGCTGAATTTCACGAGTCAACAAAGTCCATAAGAACAGGGACTTGGGCGCCAGTTTACCGATAGAGACCCGGTCGAGACGGCAGCATAAAGCTGGATGACGAACAGGCAGAAATTGACAGTGAAGGAGGCGTTGACGGCGAATTTAATTTTAGGGGCTACTCGCGCATCTTCAGCAATCTGCTGTCTCTCCTCGTCCTCGGCCCCAAGAAATTGGTCAATGAGCTCATTCTGTCGGTTATAGAACTTCTTCAGCTTCCTCTTGTTGCCCTTGGGATGATCGATGCCCATTTGCTTCTTGGAGACATTATCACGGCGGTGCCGACCGAAGTCGTAGGGATCGGGCCGGTAGGTATCGACGGTGGACGCGTCTGCGGCGTCAACGTTGGAGTGCGGGCCCCTGGAGGAGGTTCTAACGACCTCGCTTTTGCTAGCTGTATCGTTCGATGTAGATACGAAGGGTCCTTCGGGCTCGACTCTGTTGTCCGTGCCAGACGCTGGGGCGGGAGAGATGGTGTCTGTGTCGCCTTGATGGTGATTGTTGAGTTCCTTGTTCTCCTCACCACTGGATGTGGTTTCCATGTGACCGGCAGAGTTTCCCTGGGAGGCGACTGAAGTGAGGGTCAGCGAAGGCTGGTCGGTTGTCATATGAGATGGAGCAATGACAAGCGGTGGTCAGTGGGCAAGGCAAGCCGATGCGAGTAGCATCTCTGCACATGTTTGCGAGGATGTGGTGAGCCAGCATATGGAGGGAACAAGTGAGGCAATGGAGTGCTTGGTGAAGGGGGGGGGGGGGGGGGGGTGAAGGGGTGTGACCGGTAAAGAGACCGAGCCGAAACCCACGTACAAGGTGATGGTTGGCCACCTTCCTCAGACTCGCGTGGAATATGCATTTTTGGGAAATATCGAGCTGGGTTGTGTCTTGGTGAAGGGGGATGTAGAAGAAGGTGAGGATGCGATTAGAGAGTGGTCGTGATATAATAAACAGCGACGGCACCTTACGTCCTGTTCATGTCAAGTTTTTTTTTTCTCTCGCCCTTGTGACCTCCAGGGGAGGTAACCAACTACAAAGTCCGGGGCCAAGCTTGGGTCCTCGAATTAACAAGATGGCAGGAAGCTCACTGCCGGAGACTTGCCCCAATGCGATCACAAGGGCTAGCTAGACCTCGAGAGGGGGGGGGGGGGGGGCAAACCCCTGGAGGGCGACAAGAAGATTCGAGTTTGCGCGTTTCCGCTCATTCTAGTGATTGCAACTCCACCGGTTGACCAGTCGAGTGGTGGTGATCGCGCACGAGGTTGGCAGCTCAGGAGACATCTATTTGCGTCTTCCTGGTCGGGACAGGTGGTGCCGGTTAAATTACAAGTGTAAGCGAGGGTGCACCGCAGTTGGCAAGCAGAGTCGAGCGGGGCTATAGGTCACATCGGGGCCAGGTCCATGACAAGCAGCAGAGATGGCCCCTGCAAGAGTTGTGACGATGCTACGAATTTGTGGCCAATATGTGGTGTCCACTGCAACAACAGAGATGGCCCCTGCAAGAGTTGTGACGATGCTACGAACTTGTAGCCAATATGTGGTGAGGACGATCAGGACGAGGGTCCGGGCGAGTACGACGCCGATTGGCCTTGACAATGACAGCGTTTCACACCGACGGCAGCCCAGCAATCCGCGTGGGGATACAGAGACAGTCCCATTGTGCCAAGAGTTTGAGGCTGTTACAGAGTTTAGGCAAGTCGACGCTAAAGCGTAATCCTTCTCATGTCGTTGGCTGTCGCTCTTGCCGTCATTGCACGAGACTTTGGTACCACTTTCTCAAACCGACCCGGGCAGGGTTTTGGCAAGGTTCCACTCAAGGCTGTCCCCAGCCTGGGCACTCGGAACAAGTTGCTTGTTTGTTTCGTTTGAAGCAAGAATGAACGACATCAACACGCAATCGGCCCCACCCGGTGTCGTTTGCACCTCCTCTTTCCCATGCATACTCGCCTAGGTACTCCGTACTACCCTACCTACTACTAAGCACCGAAGGTACTAGTCGCGAACGCTTGCCAACTCCAGTTTGAGTGCAACCATCAACTCGGATGCAATACTTTCTTTTGACCGTTTAGCAGCAACACGCGGCCGGCCTTTCGCCTGGGCCCATTCATTATCTGTCATCCCAGACATCGAGAGCTCCTCTTTTCCATCACTTTCTTTGGTTGCCCAAGTTTTACCAGCCCTGGTCAGAAACCCTTCGTGCGGGACGATTGACGAGTTCTCGGCGCCAATCTGCCATCCCATCCCGACAGTGAGCCCATTCATACCCATTCTGTCAGCTGTCTGGCCTTCTTGACCCATCCACCATGGTCGCCAAAACCCACACTCCGACCAAGCCCCCGACCTGCGCTGTCGCGCGGTATGGCCGTTGCTACTCAGCCAGGCAAAACTTAGACTCGACTGCTTGCCCGACACAGACGATGCAGCAAATATCCCGCCAGACGCTGGCGGAGTGGACCACACGAGACAGCTACAGAGGGCAAAGCGGACCCTAAGCAGATCGCGCGACGTGCACCCCCCCCCCCCCCCCCCCCCCCCCCCCGTCCTGCGGTTCCTTTGAGATTTGGCAGATGGACGTGCAAAAACACCCGTAGTGATGGTTACCGGTAGCCCCCCTGTGGCACATTGCCAGCCCAGCCAAGCCGAGCCAAGCCGAGCTAACAGGCAGAAAGCTAATTCACTCGAGAAAAGGGTCATGCGTGTGTGTGGCTCGACTCTTGGCTTTCGACGACTGTGCCGGTCACGCTCTCTCTTGCCTAGTTTAGTCCTCCCCGGCCTCCGCCTCTCAGCCTCCCCCTCCCCCGCGCTTCCCTGTGGCTGTCCACAACGAGAGCCTCACCAAAAGTCAAATCGAGTTTAAGAATTCTCCGACGGGCGTCCCTAGCCGCACTCCTCCGGGGGACGCCGTTTCATACAATCCAAATCTTACAAATACCGACTGGGGGGGCCCAATTTTCTGTGCACCCCACGACACAACCCCCTTCTCGCTTGGCTGTTACCCGATAGAAGATCGACCGTCGTCTCGTTACGGATGTCGTCCATCACCAGCAATTATACCCCATTATTAGTTTGACTATCGATTTTCCACGCCAAGCGCTACGGGTCTGAAGCTGGTTGATTCGAGACGAAAGGTTGGATTAGCCACCACTTACCATACCATCCGATCGACTGCCCATACACCCATCAGCAGTTTCTTATCCGTCAGGTCGAACCGGGCTCTCAGACACCCAGTCTCGCCTATACCGGCAAACCATGCTTGAACGAACCACATACTGCGTAGGACCTGGATGCTGGCCGGGGCCATCGATGCCAGAGACGACCTGGGTGTCAGGCACCGCGGCTGTTGCAAATCGGTCTCCCGTTCTCTCCCTCGCCCCGATGGACACGCATCGCCGTCTGCGCTGAACCTCGTGTTGGTTCAGGTCCTCCCGCCTCCCGCATCCCGCCTCCCGCCTCCCGCAGGGCGGACGCTAAGGCCACATCCCACCCAGGCTCACCCTCAGCTCCTCCACCCCTGGTAACGTCTTCTATTTCTGAATCAGCTGGGCTGTACGGAGTACACGTCCCACTGTCCCATGTCGACGTTTAATCTTGCCTTACCCGTCCGCCTGTACATGGGCACGCATTGTGCCGCCTGTCATACTCAATGCCTATTAAAGCAAGTCGAGCCCAGACTTCAACCAACCACTTTCTGCTCGTCACAAGAGCGTCTGTTGTCGTTCTATTCTTTTCTCGCCCGTTTCTTCCTGCCGTTTTTCTTTCCTTTCTTCCTGTCTCTTCCTGTCCTTTCCCCTTAGGCTTTCAACTTACGACAGCAGGGACTCGATCAGCATTTTCGTCTGTTCTACCCCTGAAGCTGCGGGACAGCTTCTTGTGTCCCCTTGTTTTCAGTCGCCCTTCCTTTCGCAAATGAGTGGTTGTCAGTAGGCGGCCCCGGATCATTTGGCTGCCATTTCCTTTCTCAGTCCTCCCTTTTTTATCTAGGGTTACCAACCAGGCAGTAACTCCCTTCTCACAACGCATACCGCTTTTTAATCGAAATGGACGAAATGAAGGAGCCCAAGCCGCAATGCGGCAGTGGAAAAACAGGCAGCGACGAATACGACGTCGGACTGCATGTTGCTGGTCTCTGTAAGCTGGAACCAGGGAGTCATTTTGGCACCGAGCAGATTGGCTAACTTGGCGCAGTTCTGGTCTTGGCCTTTTCCATCTTTGGTGCTGGGTTTCCCGTTGTGTCCAAGAAGGTCAAGTGGTTGAATGTACCTCCCAAGGTTTTTTTCGCATGCAAGCATTTCGGTACCGGTGTGCTCATTGCAACTGCTTTTGTCCATGTAAGTGGCTTCATTCTGTCTCTTGGACTCTATGGGACTGTGACTAACGTGCCACAGCTTCTGCCAACCGCCTTCGGCAACCTCATGAACCCATGCCTCCCAGACCTCTTCACCGATGACTACCCGCCGCTCCCCGGTGCCATCATGATGGGTTCCATGTTCATTCTGTTCTGTATCGAGATGTGGATCAACGCCAAGATAGGAGGCCATAGCCACGGAGGTCCCACTGGTGATGTGATGCACTCTCACGGTCCCGCACCAGGCGCCCCTTCGCGCCCCCCACGTTTCGCTCGTGAAAGCTTCGACGCCGAGGTCGACAGCCTCGACTTCGAGAAGAGGGTTGCACAGCGCGCCTACGGCGACGACAAGTCCCGCGCGCCCCCCTACGGCGAGCAGAACCCAAACGTCCTATCCGACTCCGATATGCCTCCTTGGTTCGTCGTCTTCTACGAGCAGTACGTGCGTCAGCGCATGGAGATGATGAACATGATCCGCTCCACCCAGGAGAAGCAAACGTCCCAGGTCGCCGTGACGGAGGTTAAGCAGGAAGATCCATTTTACGATGCCGAGGGCCAACCGGTTGACCCGGCCGTGTACCGTAAGATGTCTCTCAACATTACCATGCTCGAAGGTGGTATCCTGTTCCACTCGGTGTTCGTTGGTATGACCATCTCCATCACCATTGACGGTTTCATTATCCTCCTCGTCGCCATTCTGTTCCACCAAATGTTCGAGGGTCTTGGTCTGGGTTCCCGTATTGCCGCCGTGCCGTATCCCAAGGGCAGCATCCGCCCCTGGGTTTTGGTCGTCGCCTTCGGTACTACGGCTCCAATTGGACAAGCCATCGGACTGTTCACCAGAAGCACCTACGATCCCGAAAGCGCATTCGGTCTCATCATCGTTGGTGTGTTCAACGCAATGTAAGCTCCAATCCCAGTGTGACTAGAGAGCTCGGCTAACATGATGAAGCTCCTCCGGCCTGCTCCTCTATGCTGCCCTGGTAGACCTCTTGGCTGAGGATTTCCTTTCCGAAGAGGCCAACCGTATTCTCAGCAGCAAGGACAAGATCCATGCTTTCTGTTTCGTTCTTGCAGGAGGTCAGTAGAAACGCCCCATCCTGTTATCGAGATGAATCCTAGACTAACTCCTCTTCAGCCGCCGGCATGTCCATCGTCGGTATCTTCGCCTAAGCCATTACCAACACTGTCTGGGAATATAACTCCCCCTTCCCTTTTCCCTCGACCCGTCTCCCGCGAGAGGAACCAACCAGTGCAGTCGAACTGCGACGTCTCTTCCTCAGGACCGCACGAGGATACACAAGACGCAAACCATCCCGCGTTCGACTGGACTTTGATAGCAAAGGATTAACGACCGTTATTCACCAATGCTGCGCCAGATTTTGTTACGCGAAGCCAGGGGGGAACGGACTGTCATGGATACCAACAGCAGCCCTCACAGAATCTACCACACTCGTTATTTCTTTGCTATCATTATTCCGGGTGCAATTCGCTGCCGGGAACTTTGTACAATAGTGGTGTTGCGACACGCAGTCTTGCTCAGTAGACTACATGTCAAACGCAAATTCGCTTAACTGGCAACAATTTCTTTTGGAGCGTCATCGGATCAAGTATACATGAGCATTTATTATGGTGCTAGGTAATTCCCAAGGGCATACAAACACTCACGAGTAACGATGTAAAGACATGGAAATTGGCATCTTATACAATAGCAACTTCCGAAATCATACTAGCAAGAAAAAGGAAGAAAAAAAAAAGATGAGATTGGACAACACAGCATACCGTGATGTACATTTACACACTCGTAGCACCAGACTTTCCGTAGTCTCACATAAGTCTCTTCTAGTCATGCCTTACGGGCCGCCGTGTGACAAAGCCACCAGCGAAGTTCGCTCTAACCATAGCACGAAAAATCAGTCAGGATGTTGCTTCCACTCAGTTGGTGTGCGAGCACTCAAAAAAAAAGAGGGGTGTGAGGCTATGGTTGGCCAAAAGGGTCTAGTAGCCGAGCAAGCCTCGATTAAATTTTAACTTTTTTTACACTAGGGATCGATGAATAAAGACAGGCGAGAGGACCTGATGCCAAGCTATCTCGCGCAAAGCTGACAACGTGAACGTAGGGGGATATTGGAAACACCAAGAAGGACGAAGCCAAGTCGACAGGGAGGCTTAGTAGGGGGGGATTCGAACAAGGCAAGGCGGCGGTCCCGTGAACTCGGGCAAGGTTTATGGGAAAGACAAAGAAGCATTCGAGCCCAGAGATCCCTGCTGACGGTCGGGAAACCAAGCCTCTCTTCATTTCTTCTTCGTTTTGATGTTCTCCCCACACCTTGCATTTCGGAACCGGAAATCATATTTCGCGGCGTCGTTATTTTATTTTTATATTCTGCCTCCAGGCACTGGCCCACGTCACTGCTCCCCGTATCCTTGACGGTTGACGGCGGAAGGGTGCCAAGGTTGTTGTTTTAACCATGTCATACGTAAGGTTTGTCCCGCGGGCCGGACAATTTACTGCTGCTACGGGGGGTTTAAAGGTGCTGAAAGGGTGTGGTAGGGGGTAGGGGAGGGGGGCGAAGCAACGGTGTTGGCTGTACGATGCATGCTCGCAGAGCCTCCTCCCCTGCGCAACTCGTGTGACGGTACAGACAGCCTGACATGGCATGGCGAAGGACGTGGTGTCACTTTTTGCGACTAAAAATAAGATTTCAGGCAATCTGAAGCAGCCGAAAGGGGGGGGTGGGGGAGAGGGTCAAAACTCCAGACGAAAGGGGGAGGGAAGTGGGAAGAGGTTGTAGACCTGTTGTACCTTGCAGGGTGGCTGCTTGAAAGGACGCGATGGCAACGCAAGCGGCTGTGTTTCTAGAACCTTGATTTCACCTTCCCTGGCATGCCTGAGTGCTTCCTATCTCTTTCTGCCTTTTTTCCTCCTTCCCCCCCCCCCTTTTTTTTTTCTTCCCCTGCAGTATGCCCGCGCCAATCTCACGCCGGGAGCAGCCGTTTGCACTCCCTCCCTCCATTACGTTCAGTGCCGCTGACCTGGCGAAGAGGCCCTTCCCCCTTGTTATATAGTAGTATTTTCTTCTGTGATTTATACAAATTGCCTCACTGGCGTATGACTCAGGGGTAACCGATGGTAGGATCATTAAGGTGCGAGCCCATACAGCCGAGTTGAGGATTGGCTTTCTTGGGAAGCGTTCCCAAAGTGCTTGCCATTGGTTCAGGACTCGATTGGATGGTCGTTTTGGAAAAAACGAGGACGGGGCAAGAAGTACCGAACTGTGTTCGGCAGAGACGGCCTCTCTGCCAAGATTTATCACGATCGATCCAGGTCACTTCATGTCCTGCACTTACTGGGGCCTGGGGAGGGTGTCAGGATTTCCTCCCCTACAACGAGAAGGGAGGGGAGGGTTGGGCCAGGCAAAAACAAGGGTAAGGCGAACGAAACATTCAAACTGTGGGAAAGGGTGGATGAAAGCCCAATGATGACGCGGCCGTGCCCTGCGGCATCTGTTGTTCGGCGTTTTTTCAAGGGTTTCGGGTTTGACATTTGCAGCTATTAACCCCGGCCGGAAGGCCTGCGAAGAGAATGAGAGGGGCATGTTGACCTCGGTGGCTGGCTTGTGTATGTATCAGAACCCGATGCGGAAGGTGGAGGCGGGGGGGGGACCCTTTTTTCCTTCAAGTTTTCTTCTTTACAAATACAGAGTCTTGGCGCTCGTATGATGACCGCAATGCTACGGTATATCGAGAGAGTCCCTAAGGCCCGCCCCCCCTTTGTGGATGATTCTCATCCGACGTTCGAGGGAGAGACAGGCAGAGTGGTGGCCCGATCGGGGCCGAGGGAATTGGGACAAGGGCAAGCGAAACAGAAACTCGAACCGGGAGGTTGTAAGGCCGCTTGGACGCTGGCCATGGGGAGAAAGACAGAGAGGAGGACTGCATTTCGTTGTCATTGCGTTATTGGAGCAACTCCAGACTGCTCCCGCTTTTCTCTCTCTCTCTCTCTCTCTCTCTCTCGTTATGTTCTACTCGAGATGGAAAGGGGTATTCGGAGTTGAAATAAGATTTCCAGGCTAGCGAAATTGTGGTAAACGACCCTGTGAACGATACAGGTCCCATTTCATGGCTCGAGTAGAGTAAATACTAATACAGGAGGGGAGGAGGAACACGCACAGAGCCAGTGGTTCTTGCCAAGGCAGATCCGGAGAGTCTATCCAAACCTTCTTGAAATGTGAAGTACGCGTGTTAAAGAGGTAGGTCGAAACAACATACCGAGAAAGAAGGACAATGATGTCAATGTCGATAAGGGGTGCTAGCAAAGTTTATGGCCTTCTGGATGATGCCCAAGCTGGGTTAAGGTGTAAACGATCAAGGTTTCTTTGTGTTCATCAGACTTTTGAAATATGATTGTCATTCGCCCCTCGTCTTTTCTTATCATTCAAACTCTGCAATTCTTATTATTCAAACTTTGCAATACAATATCTACAGAGAAGGCGGCCAAAGCTGACCTAAAGGTTCTGCCTAGATCCTTTACTGACTGGTCGCCCCTGAAAGACGGTACCGTGCCAAGGAAGCAGTAGCAACACATCCTATACGACAGTCACTGTGGCGTTGCCACGGATATTGTCGCTGGAAGAGCCAACGAGGACGGTGAAGTCACCCGGCTCGACGACGTACTGCAGCTTCCTGTCCCACAGGCCCCAGCCGGAGACGGGCAGATCGATGGAAACGTTGGCAGTCTCGCCAGCCTTGATGAAGACCTTTGAGAAGCCGCGGAGCTGCTTGTTGGGCACGGCGACGGACGAGAGCATGTCCTTGATGTAGACCTGAACGACCTCGGCGCCGTCACGGGTTGAGTTGTTGGTTACTTTGACGTTGAGCGTGACAGTGTCAGTCGGGGAAACGGTCGAAGAGGAGACGCTGATATCGGCGTACTTAAAGTTGCTGTAGGAGAGGCCGTAACCGAACTATAAATATGTTAGAACAGCGTTCTCCTTGCCCAAAGCGCCTGAGGCTAGGCTCACCTCATACAGAGGCAGAGGATTCGATAGAACGTAGTCGCTGCCAAAGACCAGAGTACCGTTAAGGTACTCTCTACCCGGGTTGGGGGATGCGCGGGCCGAGTTGAGGTAGTTATAGTAGACTGGGGTGGTGCCGACGTCGTGGGGGAAGGCGACGGAGAGCTTTCCAGAGGGGTTCACGTTGCCGTACAGGATGTCGGCCAGTGCATGACCGCCCTCTTCGCCCTGATAGAACATCTGGACCAGCGCACCGGCCTCGTCCGAGATCCAAGGCTCAGTGACGGGCTTTCCAGAGCTGAAGACGACGACGGTGGGCTTGCCAGTGTCAATGATGGCCTTGACCAGGTGGCTCATGGCGCCGACGAGCTTAAAGTCGTGGACGTCAATGTGCTCACCAGTGGTGGCGTTCAGACCGGCCCAAAGCTCGTTCTGGTCGCGGGACCAGGTTCCCACAACCACGACGGCGACGTCGGCGGCCTCAGCAGCAGCGATGGCTTCGGGGAAGCCGGACTGGTCATTGGACCAGCGCTCGCCACCCTTGGCGTAGGTGACGGTGCCCTCGCTGGCGGCCCTGATACCGTCGAGGGGGGTGACACCACGCTCCATGGCAGTGTGGATGACATAGTCGCCGTACTGAAGTCTTGTTAGCGTTCGGTTGTAGTCTGTATGCTTGGGTCACCTGCGTTGACATAACCGTGGGCCATGGGACCGATGACGGCGACATGGGCATCCTTCTTCAGTGGCAAGGTCTCGTTGTGGTTCTCGAGCAGAACGATGCTCTCAGCGTCCAGATCACGAGCAACCTTGCGGTGCTCCTCGGTGTTGACGTAGTCAAAGAACTTGTCATTGGGGACGCCGGTGTAGGGGTGCTCGAAAAGGCCGGACTTGAATTTGGCACGAAGGACACGGGAAACGGCGGTGTCGACAATGTTCTCGGGCAGAGTCCCGTTGGCGACGAGCTCGGGGACGTACTGAAAGCTGTAGCGGCCACCACCCATCTCGGCGTCATTACCGGCTGGTAGGGTCTAGTATCATGTGAGCAAGCTGTCACGGGCTGAAGGGGAGGT